ATAAGTGAGTGGGCAGAATCTCTGGCTTTGTAAAGATTGGTTTTGTTAGGGCTACATGAAAAAACAACTCCTAAAAGCTGCAGAGTTTGCAAGCCCTTTCCTCTTTCCCTGACACAGTAAGTTTGTGCCAGGGAATACTCCAATCAGAGGCTTCTCTTCCTCTGTGCTGAAGCTGCGAGCATGCATGCGATTCGGCTTTCCAATGCTTCTCAGTGATCTGTACTATAACTAACAGAAGCAGTAGAAAACCTACTTGTCTAAAAGCTAGGTATGTGCTTCTGTTGAATTCAGTACTTTTACAAGCTGTAACAAATGACAACCTCCAACAAGCTGCAGTGTTCCTTTAATTGGATTTGTTTAAGCCGAGACATGTTGGACTGAGGAGCTGTTTGTTGTGGTTTTATTTTTAAGACTTTACTGCTTTTAATGTGTCTATACTGTAGTTTTCCCCATCTTTGTTTAACAGTGTGGAAGCCAATAGATATTGCCAGCTCCTATGTGGGCACCCATATGCTAACTTATTGACTTGTACAGAGCCTGACATCTGCTCTTTATCAAGGGAGTGGTCCTGCACACATACTCATTTTTATATATGTTAAAGGTAGAGCACTCTTTTTTTTTTTTTTTTTTTTTTCTTTTTTCCTCTCTCTCTTTATTTCACACTTTGCTTACAATTGGTGGCTACCAGGGTGAGCTGTAGTGTTTGTTTCTTGGAATATGTATTTAAGGAAGGAAAAATTAGGTCATATGTGGAAACGCTGGTCTGTGATTTGCACTTAAGGGAAACTTGTTAATTTGTTCAGCAAATTTCTGTACTCAAGGGAACACTCAAACAGTTGTAGTGGTTATGTCCACCACCGTAAGTCGTCAAATTGCTTTAGAACAGTTTAGCTTCTTCCTTTGGATTCACTGTGCATCGCTCCAAACCTCCACTTCTTCCTATGGAATACAAAAGCTCATGCTGACACTTGGACAAGTAGCTAAACCCTACACTGCAGTGCTCAGTCAGGATAGGAACATCCAGTTCTCTGACGTTGCAAGTAGAGAAGAGCAGCTGCGGATAGCAGATTTTAAACAGTTTGACCCCTTATAATGGAGTGGTGCCTGGGCTCCTGGCACCATAACCACTACAGAGCTACTGCTGGTAGGTCAGACATTGCTTTTATAGCTCCCCAAAACACGTAGTGAAGGTAGGTCATGGGTGGGGCTAACATTAACGGGTGACCGTGAGAAATGCCGGTCTATTAGCCTAAGTGCGAGTTATAGGCTTAGCGGCGGGAGTTAGTCCTCAGTGACTCAATAGGTATGCATATTTTGCAAGATTAGTAATTAAAAGAAAAGTATTAACCAGAAAGCAAAATAACATTAGTAACGTGGTGTGTATATTCACAAATCAAGAGAGTGGCGGAATGTGTGGTATCCTGAAGGATGTGCAAGCGTCCGATCAGAGTGTGTCCCTCAGGCTGTATCACCTGTTGGTAGCGTGCGTCGGGACGATCTTGGTATAAACTTCATCGCTGTGGAGGGGTCCAACCAGGACTTAGTGGCAGTGTAGCAGTCAGGCCCAGACAGGTCAAGTGGGAGTCCAGTTCCTGTGAGCTCTTCGCCCGGTAGGTAGAGGCCTTGGAAGGTAAAGGTGATGAGACGTGGCACTCCCCAGCGCTAGGGGATATTTTTGGAGCGTAGGTGTTGTAGGCTTGTTTGGAGCGACTTTTGCCAGCTGAGTGTGCTCCTCTTGAGATTAGAAAACAATGAGTTGTGAGAGTCCTCGAATGGAGGGGTCCAACCAGGACTTAGGCAGTGGTTTCCGGCAGTGTAGCAGTCAGGCCCAGACAGGTCAAGTGGGAGTCCAGTTCCTGTGAGCTCTTCGCCCGGTAGGTAGATGAGACGTGGCACTCCCCAGCGCTAGGGGATATTTTTGGAGCGCAGGTGTTGTAGGCTAGTTTGGAGCGACTTTCGTCAGCTGAGTGTGCTCCTCTTGAGATTAGGAAACAATGAGTTGTGAGAGTCCTCGAATGGTAGAGGGGTTTGCCCTCAGGCCGCTGTTAGCAGGGTGGTCTTGTCCTGGAGGGATTGGAATCGCACAATGAGGTCTGCTGTCGTGGTTGGGGGTGCATTTGCCCGACTTGGGCAGGCGGAACATTCCGTCTATTTTCACAGCTTTTGGTTGTAGCAGTGTCTCTAGTAAGCAACGTATGTAATGTGGGAGATCAGCCTGTCCCATGGCATCAGGCACCATTCTGATCTTCAAATTGTTTTCGTCTGTGGTCCTCCATGGCCTCTACCTTTTCGGCTTTACCAAGTTGTTTGTGGAGATCTGAGACTCTGCTCCAGTGTGGTTATGCGGGTGTCTCGTGAGCTCGCAGTGGCCTCTAGGAGGGTAAGCCTTGTGGTGGCCTCCTCAGTAGCCTCTTTAAAGTATGCCCTGCCTGAGTTCTGCAAACATCTTTACCGTTCGCAGTGACTGGGTCCCCAGATGGTGGTGGTTGGGCCTTGTGCACTTTGGGCAGGGTCACCGAGGCACCTGGTCTCAGGTCTGAGTAGGCATCTGAGGAGTCGGAGAAACCCTCCTTCCCATGCGGCCTTCTGCGAGTTCCGCAGTAATTCGCCGATGTCGCTGCTGTTAGAGGCTTTGTCTGGCCTTGTTTTTTTTTTTTTTTTTCTGCCCATCACCTCACTGATCGGTATTTAAGGTAAGGAGGTGGTAGGTGAACTGATTCCGCCGTTAAATCTGTTATTTAGCTTGTTTTGCCACTGAGCTCTTCAAGACCTGTCTGCTTTGGTCTGCAGCCGGCTCCTCCCGCCCCCCAGGTGGGTGTCTATTACAGCTCTCCCCTGCAGTAACCATTAAAGCCTTTTCTCCCATCTCTCACTTACTCCACCAGGGTCAAGGTAAGAGATTGTATTTTGTTTTCTTTTTGGAGTATTCTACTCCATTGCTGATAGTGGGTACACTCTGCTCCAAGTAAATCTTTTTAATTATGTTGCTGTTGCTTGATTTGTTACTGATCTGTGACCTTGTTTGCTCCCCTAAATCAATGTGTGTTAAAAACTTTTAACCTCCAGAGAGTCATTCAAGCCCTTCATATGTCCTGATTTCATAGCTCTAAGGAAGCATGTAAACACAAGTAGATTTATTGATCGCACAGCTAATCTTTTTGATTTATCTTGGGTTTGTCTGGCCATGGTGTAATGTAAAAGTTGGTAGAAGATTTAAAAGGGGAAAAAAATAAAAAATAAAGAAATAAGCAAGTAAAAAAAATGCATTTTAGAGCAGCTCTGTCAGTGAGGAATTAAATGCACTGCGATTTCATTACTAATATGTCAGTCCCGTCCGCGGATCTCTTTGACTTATTTGAAACACTTATGCATTTAAATAACTTATTTAGTAGCAATTGGTGCAGGGGAGGAATGAAGGCAATAAAACATTTAGAGATGTCAAACCCCTTGCTGAGTCTGATTTCACTTTCTGTGGTTCATTTGTAGGTGTCTTTTATAGCCACTATATAAATCTTCATGTACCTTCTTACAGACAATGATTTCCATAACACAATGTGCATTATCACATGGAGTTGGTGATGCAGTTTTTTTGCCCTGGGGAATGGTGTTTTTTTTTTTTTTTTTAATTTATTTATTCATTTTTGCATTTTGTAGGTTTTGAGATTTTTAGAAATTCTTTCTCTTTTTTTCCTGTTATGTGGCATTTTTGCATCCTTGTGCTTACAAAAGCCCAACTAAAGTCTCTGAAAAGGCACAGTGCTTACGTTAAAAAGCCTGCAGGGACAGGCACTAGACACCATAACTACATTAAGCTCTAGTTATTCTGGTGACTATAGTGTCCCTTGTAAATGCAGTTATAAGAACACTTACTAAAATGCTTGTATTTAGTTTTCAAAGTAGGGTTGGCAATTGGTGACCTGAATATTAGTTTGACCACTGCATTATGCAGATTAATGTGTGGGTTTTTTAACTGATTCACAGCTGCGGGCTCTAGTAGTCTAAACTGGTGTTCAACGTTATGGCCACCTACAACTAATATTTGTAAATAGCATGGATAAAGGTTTATATAATACAAATGCAGCACAGACATGCCATTTTTACATTGTTGAACAGTATTATGAGGTCAAACATTTAAATGCCTCCTTGATATCCCAAATAGGGTTATTCTAGCATTGGTTAAATCACGTTTAACAGGTACCAGATCATTCTCTCAAGAACACTGCTCTTTCTCTTAGGTTATGCATTACCTGGGACAGTATATAATGGTGAAACAGCTCTACGACAAGCAACAGCAGCATATTGTCCACTGTGGCACTGATGAACTTGGGGAGTTGCTGGGCATTACAACCTTCTCTGTTAAGGACCCAAGGTAATTTCTTTTTCTCTGCAAGTGTCTTATTTTTCAATACTGTCGAATGACCCACTCTGTAACCATATCCCTTCGACACTTTTTCTTTCATCGATGCAATCCTTGGTAGCCCAGTACAAATATATTGTTAGCTTTTATAACTTAAATTTTTAGGTGTTCTTGCCTACTTTTGTGAGCTAGATATTACCTTTCTAATTTATTGGATATTTCTCCAGGTCACTTCTTTTTGTGTTAAGTTCTGTGTATTGCTGACAACAAATTATAGTAATAGATATTCCAAATTCACTTTATCTTAAAGGGACAGTCCGGGCACCAATACAACATTAATGCATTTGATAGATTTTTAACCTCATTAATATGTTGTATTTTCGCATGCTTAAATCTTTATAGTTCTTGTATTAAAATAAAATGTTTTGCAGAATGCTACACAATAAGTCTCCATCTGTAGCCACACCCCCTCACTCAGGAAAATTACACCCTTATCAAAGGTATGCACAGTGTGAGAAACTAAACCGGTAATGATATCCTTACTATATGTCTCTTTGGGTGTCCTCTAATTCAAGTTGCTTTGCAGTTCAGAGCGGTCAGTGGCTGAGCTGTGTGCATGCTTTTGTTAAGGAAGATATTTTTTGAGTGAGAGGGTGTGGTTAAAGAGGTAGGCTTAATGTGCAGCATTCTGCAAAAACTTTTTGTGTGCAAAAACTATAAAGATTTGAGCATGCAAACAAAAATTGCATATGAATTGGGCCTAAATTTATCAAATGTGTTAAATTTGTATTGGTGAAATGACGGTTATGCCCCGAGATTCATCGGATAAATTTGCTCCACACCCTATACAGTTTTACCTATAAACATTAGGCATAATCTTCTCCTTTTCTTCATAATCAAACCATGGAAGATAACAAGAATCAAATTTAACCTACAAGGCAACACTTTAGAGTCCTCACATGTCTAATCCCCTCTTCCACGATGGCATAGTGAAACTAGCTGTTTAAAACCTCACACTCCGGCTCTCTGGCCCGCATTGGAAACAGCATAGACTTTTCCACTCAAATATATTGACCCTTGCACAAATACGGGCCAATTTTTCAGCATTTCCACATACCTACAGATTCAAAGTTGTACTACCTCGATTCTACCACACTTTACTGGTATTGATTAGGCTCACTCCCTGGATTTGGAATCCATCCCAAGTTCAATGGTCTGCTTGTTTTTTTTTTTTTTGTTTTTTTTAATGCCCATACTCGCATGGTTTTAGACCGTTCCCCCTTTTGCATCTCCCTAATCGGATCCCCACTTTCAGATATACATAATGTCTTTTTGTTTTATTAAAATGAAATCTGTCATCTACTATACACTCTGCATAATTTCCAGTAATTAATATTTGGAGAATAGTTGTATTGGTGGTTGGAGTGTCCCTTTTAAGTATCCCTATTGCTGTAATTTAGTTACTTCTCAGTAACTGTTACAGTTAACACAGGTGGATGGTAATTATTTTAAGATCTGCCAGCCATATGTACTCTTCTTATCCAAAATGAAAACCATATAAAGGTAATAGCGAGATATTGAGAGACTATACACTAGCCAGAATTTCTGCAGTGCTTTGTTCACTCTTCATAAGCCAATGTTTTGGTCTTTTAAAATATGTCTTTATTTTTTTTACAGTCCCCTATATGAAATGCTGAAGAAGAACCTCTATCGAATCTCTTATTCAGGTAGATACTCACATTTGCTTTGCTTTACTTACTGTCAATGAAGGAGCTCAAATTAGGTTGTAATTTCCTTCCTCCCTTCATGCTAATCTGCATTTTCACCATTAGTTATTGGATCACACCAGTATTCCCTAACAAGTACATTTGGGTTGTGTTTAAATGGTTTAGTTGTTCATTTTGGCAAGTAGGCAAGTTGGAGATTCCCAGAAAGTCTTGTTCAAAGGACTACTGTCCTCAAATGTTCACTTCTCATTTTTGAAAACTTTAATACATTTAAAAGAACACTCTGAGCACCATAAAAGCTAAACTTTAAATGAAAATTTTTATGGCACCAGGAAGTTCCTGGCGCTGGCTCACCATTAGAAGTTAAACCATAAAGTCTGCGTTCCAGTGACTGATCACTCTGCCCCTTCACTGCCCTGTCCTTTCACTATCTAAAATCCTGCTGTAGGCCAATCAGTGAAGCCCTTTCCATTAGCTAGGATTTCAGGTAGCGGAAGGATAGAGGGAGCAAAGTGATTTATAAACAGTTTTGCACCCTAAAGGTGAGCTAGCATCAGCGACCTCCTGGCACCATAACTTAATTGTTGGAGTAAATGGTGTATATTGATTTGTTTTGAGAAAAAAATAACTTATCAGCTGCTTTGTGTGAGCCTGCAAAAGCAGGCAACTTAGGTTGAGCAGCAGCTTGTCAGATATTAGTTTCTGACCCAACATGGCTGGTCAGCCAAATAGTGAAATTTTCTCAAACAAATCAATATAAATCATTTATAAAAAAATAAGTTTCAATAAAGCAGACTTGTTTAAATAACATTGAAATAAAAAACACATAGGTAATCCTGTAAAGCCTTTGTCAGTTATATCAGAACACATAACTTTCTTAGTGATAAAGCACATTCAACCCTTTCTTTGCCCCGGTAAAACTTTGGAATATAAGAACCTATATTACTGGGGAAGGGGTTTTTTGTTTTTCTTTTCCCATTCACCTCACAGATGCTGAACAGAGTCCCTCAAGAGACCACGTGCAGGAAGCTGGCAAATTGGATCAGGAGAAGGTAAAACCCGGTATTTGTTGACCTTGTACAGAGTTTCCCTTCTCTGTACCTGCCGGCGTTGGATCTCCAGATCAGTTTTCAAACCGTTCAGGTTCCACTGGAGTCCACGGAGCAGGGACAGAGTCACCCTTCTCTGTTCCCAAAATACTCTCACAGCTCTACACTCAAGGCTGTAAGAGTGATGCAGCAGTTGTACCGGCCGCCTGACTCCAAGATATTTGCTAAATTCATCATATATAAAGATTAACCATAATGGGATTTGGAATGAATTTAAACGGGAGGCTTGCCATATGTCCTTAAAACTTTCTTGACATTTCAGTAAGAAAATCTTTGGGATTAAAATAAAAATGAACTTTTAAATAAATATTATGTTTCTTATCACCATGAAGGATTGTAATTCTGTGTTGGTTGATAATACAAAGTTTGAGATCATTTCTCCAATAAAACATCCTGTTTTTTACTTTACAATTTATCAAAGTGGTTTAACTTTGCTTATAGTGCAGGTGGCCGGTAATTAATTGCTGCATCTCCTTCTACAAAACCGCAGCATAATGGTACTAATTCATATTCTCTCCACATTGTTCATTCTTAGAGTTTCGACGAAGGAATATTCATCTCAGAAAGTCAAGATGCTTGTGACAGTACAACTGGAGTTGCTTACTCATCTCTTAAGCGTCCTGTGATAGAAGGTGAATTCACAGTGCTGTTTGTTACACGTTTGACTTTCCTTGTTTTCGTAGTTTTGAAACCATGTTAGAGAAAATAAAGACGGACCTCATCACTTTTTTTATTAAAGGATCACGAATAGGGTCCGGAACACAAACATGTATTCCTGATCCTATAGTGTTAAAACCACCATCTAGCCCCCCTGGTCCCCTCGTGTAAAACCTTACTGTATTCAAGCCTGAAGCTGTAACTCTGCATGCTATTTGTCCCAGAAGAACAAGCAGTCTGCTGACTTCATCAGATGTGGTAGTCTGATCCAATCACAATGCTTCCCCATAGGATTGGCTGAGACTGACAAGGAGGCAGATCAGGGGCAGAGCCAGCATGATTCAAACACAGCCATGGCCAATCAGCATCTCCTCATTTAGATGAATTGAATCAGTGAATCTCTGAGGAAAGTTCAGTGTCTGCATGCAGAGGGAGGAGACACAATGTTTGGATGCATTTTAGGCAGCCATGATCCAGGAAGGATCTCTAACAGCCATCTGAGGAGTGGCCAGTGAAGTTATCACTAGGCTGTAATGTAAACACTGCATTTTCTCTGAAAAGACCGTGTTTACAGCAAAAAGCCGGAAGGTAATGATTATAATCACCAGAACAAATTAAATAAGCTGTAGTTGTTCTGGTGACTATAGTGTCCCTTGAAACACATTATGCAAGCACAGGATTCACATGCATACACTCCATATCAGTATGCATAAGCATTTGCATATTATATAGCGCCATCAGTTAACATAGCGACCTACACACAGACACTTTTATACACAATTACATGAACTTTTAATTCTGTTGCTTCTACATTTTGTGTTTCTCTCTAGCTCTTGCTCTCCTCTTCCTTCTTCCCTCCCTCCCCCCACTCCCCTATGCAATAAGGCAAGACTAAAGGTTACTTATCACTGCAAAGCTATGTGATCTTTATCACTTGCCTAGCATTTACCTATTTCTTAGCATTTTGGTACCTGCTGTACTAACTATTCCTTGTGTACTGCATATTTACTGCTAAGGAAATCAAGGAAAATACTATGTAAATATGTTTTAGGTGGCACAATGGTTGGATAAAATCAAAAGGCTTAAAATTTAATCATAGCAGTTTGGAGTCAAATATATTTTAAAATCGTAGTTAACTTTTTTAAGTCTCCCTGAACAACCATATGTATCTGAAGGAACTTGTCATATTTCTCCTACAAATGTATCATGCTGTCTAGGAGCCATTGCAGGTTGTTCAGGATTTGAAGTCAGCACTGCATGGTTCCTGAATTGTTTGTCTGACAAACCAATGTCTACAATGTTTACAGAGTTTTAACTGCCCGTGCTTTGATGTATTGTTTAATGCCATTCCTTTTGGTCACAGATGTCATCCAAGCAGCCACTGCTACAGTATGGATTGCACTGGGACACAAGTGGTGTGAGTTGAAGGGCTGAATTTCCAGTCACTAGTGTCTAGTGGGAGAGGGGTAATTTTGATCCCTGAATCATGTGTTCAAGATTGAACTACATCAATATTCATAGGGACACTACTTAAAGTGGTTTGTCTGGAGACCATTTTTATGGCGAAACTCTAAATCACTTGCTTTTTCCACTGGTAAATGGGCACAAATACCATGAGGCTGTCATCTTATTAGTAAATAAACTGTGTGCTAAAATAGAATGTAAGCATTTGTGATCTAAACAATTTTCCACTCAACTAGATCCACACTTTCTCAAAGCTTTTAACCCCTTAAGGACACATGACAGAAATATTCCGTCATGACTCCCTTTAATTCCAGAAGTTGTGTCCTTAATGGGTTAATTAATGGGACACTATAGTCACCAACACTACAGCTTATTGTAGTTGTTCCACTGAATATAGCATGTCCCTGCAAGCTTTTTGCTGTAAATACTGTCTTTTAAGAGAAAAGGCATTGTTTACATTACACACAGATAACGAGAAGGGCTGCGCCAAAAGGATAGAAATATGAATGAACTCAAACAATAAATATAAAATTTCGTATTCTAGTAAATGAGTCTTTGTTATGAATAAAGTCTATTTAGTTACTTGGAAGTGTAGAGTCCTCAATGTTCTAAGTGTTTCAGCCGTTCGGTATATATAAAAGACAAAAGCGAGGGTAGCCAATGGTGCAGTATGTACAAACCAATAGGATTAAAATGAAGAAATATATACAGTCAACTCACATTTTAAAAAGCTATAGCCAGCTCACGGTGTGGAAGGTGTACAGCAGTATAATCCCTGATTTAGAGGAAATGTGGTCAACATCCTCCAGAGGGATGGTGTCCAACACTCAGGAGAAAAGTGTATATATATAAAAAACCAAAAAAAAAAACGGATAGTGCTTTCAGTAATATAAAATAATGCAAATGGACATAAATAAAAATTAGAACCTAGCTAGAAGGATTTTATATAGGTGTATGGACATTTAAGATTGGCTACAAACCTGTGACGTCATTTTGATGCCAATCAGGTAAAGACATATTTTACATATTTACAAATGTGTTTACAGACTTTCAATGCAATTTATACGTGTAACTTGATTTCTTATATAAATTGGAATAAAAACGAGTGTTTACTGCTTTAATCTAAACCATTATAGCGAGTCACGTGAAACAGATGAAAACAGAAATGACAAATGTACATTTATAGAAAATTCTTATATGGTTATCCAAACCCAAATAAACATATTTTTAAAAATACAGAAATAAGAACATTTAAAAATGACAACATTCATGGATTGTTTCTATATCCACAAACCTTTTGCATTACAAGAAATTATTTATTTAAAAAAACATCTATTCTAAATTGTTTCAAAAATACAAAATACTAAAATGCAATTTGTATACACCATCTTAACAACAAACAGATACCTACTAGCACCACCATGCATCAAAAAGTGGGAGGAAGACCTCGAGGAACCCATGACAGAAGCGGACTGCGACAAAAGTATCACTCTGATACAAAAAACACCGAGCTCGGCACGCACACAAGAAAACTCGTACAAGATACTCACCAGATGGTACCTAACACCGACGCGCTCCACGCCAGGAACCCGGAAATCCCAGACACATGCTGGAGATGCGAGGAGGAGACTGGTACGTTCACACACATATGGTGGACTTGCGCTCGCATTAGACCATTCTGGGAAAAAATCCGGACGATAATACATGAGGTTACAGATGAGCTCCTGCCACACTCCCCAGCCGCTTTCCTTCTACACCATACCACCATGGCGACATCAACATACAAGAGATCTGTCATCTCTAGACTCCTAAACGATGCGAAAGTGACCATCCCCATCTATTGGAAACAAACTAGCACACCTCCCATAATGAAGTGGATAGAGGAGGTGGAAGCCACAAGGACACTTGAAGACGTGAAAGCAGAAACCCTGAACCTCAGAGACCGACACACCAAACGCTGGTTCCACTGGACGAGGCTAACTGCGCCAGACTCCTTCAGACAACACCTAAACGCGCCGTAAGCAGAGACTGGAGGGAGAGAGAAATACAACAAGACAAACCGAAGACGGCGAGACGCAACGAGCCGGGCAGGCGACGGGTGGCGGGCAGCAGACCACCCTGACACACACTCAGTCAACACCACGACACAATGACAACTGATGACACCGGAGACGAATAGACCGCCTACAGACACAACACTCGCGAGCCACACACATAGCCACCTAAGGGGCTACAAACACGAATAAAGACAACTAACCATATAGCTATTACACTAACGGACGCCAAACATCACCAAGCAGGACCACAACCTAGCACTAACACCACACCCAACTCCTCGACACATAAGACAACAACGAAACCAAAGCTAGCACAGTAAGTGCGATAATGGGTACACAACAACAACACACACAACTAAAGACTACAAAACAAGTCAATACCCCCAAATGCCTCTATGAAGGCAACATGATCCCTCCCCCACACATACAGCTGTCTACGCCTCTGCACAGACACCTATCTGCTAAACCAGAAATACATACACCATAGATAATCTACTGCAAAACCAATAAACATATTCCAAATAAAGTCGACACACACACTGAAAACCAGACATCCAGGCAGGCAACCGCGCAATAGGACCGAGGGATACCCAACACTTAGAATACACAAACCACCGAGGCCCCTTACAACATACGCTAAAGCACCCTAACCCACTAAACTGAATAGACACACCGAATACAAGGATAACTACAGAACAGAAATGGTTACATATGACCATGAAACACCAAGATACACAAGGCAATGGATACAGAGACGCAAGAGCAGTAATCAGGCACACGTACCAGAGCACGATAGGACAAGGTTAAACATCAGATAAAAGCCTGATGGAGGGGACACAAATAGGAAGTTAACTGACCGAATGCCATTAACAGAGAAGCAGGATACAACAGAGCCGCTAAGGCACCCCGGGTTTAGACACAACGCAACACATCAGCAAAAAGACACGGAACCCGCAGGCACAGACAATTTAAAATGCCCAAAGCAGGAACACTCAAAACCACATACGCCTGTGCAAACGCAATAAAGACACACTACTAGCCGCATAGCTATACAATACGAGCAAATACATATGCATATATATGCTGTACCACAAACGCAACGACTAACCAGCCTCTGCGTAGGCGACGAGAGACAAACAAATGTACCCCTTCTTTAATGTTTGAACGACTGATCATAGTGATATCCCTATCATTCATACCCAACATAAATAAGTCTTGCATATGCCTCCCTTACCTAACATCACACATAGACAAATAGCCCCGACCTAGGCGGCATGCACACACGAAATAGATACCCAGATGGGGAGCATAGTATTTACGGTTTATAACGTTATGATTAGGCCTCCTCTACCTAACGCATTATACGAATACGAGGCTTTAACTATTGCGGCATGCACACACGCAATAGACGATGAGTCGCTGAGAAAGGCATACCACTACCCACACTAAAACAAATGTATCTACGGGTTATCACTCAGTGGCAGAACGACTACTTCTCGACCACATTACCTCATTAGGCCTTAGATTAACGTAAAGCACTATCGACTTCCCAAAGTCATCATATGGCTATTAAGATACGCTGACACACACGGAAATACAGAAACTAAATGTGATAAACCTGGATGATCTGAAACGCATGCCTTCAAGTGGACAACTATCTGCTTTTATGTACACAAACCGTTAAACACGCTTCTGCGCATGCGAATATATGCATGTATACACTTGTTCAGACCTGCAAATCTCTGCGTAGGTGATTGTTCGCATTAACAGAAAACTGTTTGATACCTGCATTGTTGTTGTAATGACAATAAACATATTTAATACAAAAATGCAATCTGCTCAGGAGAATAAAAAGGAAACGTTCTAAAATATATAAACATTATAAAAAATTCTAAAAAAAAATGTAAAATCAAATTCTATATTGAGTCCCTTTGGCTCCAAAGTGTCTAGTTTGTATACCCATTTCATTTTTTCTTTTCCTATATTGTTTATATGATTACCACCTCACCAAGATTTATTAACTATTTTCATCCCTAAAAAAGTAAGACCATTTGGATCCGGATTGTGATATTTTTTTTAAATGCGCTGAAACGCTGTGTTTCTCGTAACTCTTGCGGATGTTGTTTATATGTTCATAAAGCCTCTTGTGTAACGGACGAATAGTACGACCCACATATTGTAGGCCGCATGGACAAATTAAAAGATAAATAACGTTCTTACTAAAACAAGTAATAAAATCCTTTATATAAAAGATCTCATCTTTATTTTTTGTCCTAAATTCCAAAAGGGTATTAGTAAATTTAGGACAAAATATAAAGATGAGCATAACCTTCATCACTATGTATTTTACTTAGGACGTTTGCGACTTTATTATTTAGAATCTGGGTTAGGGGATCTCCTTATCTATTACTATCTAGGACTTATACACTCAGTTTACTTTATCTCTAGTTAGCCGCTTATCCCTACTCTGAGCTCTTCAGTTATCCTATTATAGGTTCTTGAGAGATATGTATCATCCTGTCACTCGACTTCTGTCGACCTAGGGTACATTGATCTTACGGAGCACTTTTTCTCCTACTATAGATGCATTCAGTACGCGGCATCTAGACAACGCTAATAAGTCTTTGGTTAATCTATAATTTTTTTCCTAAGGGGTTAAGGTGTTATATTATAGAGGCTTATTTTTACCTCCTTGTGCCCGGCCGGGCCGATCAACTACCCTTTTCCCTCTTTGCAAGGTACCCTGTCTATGTCTAGCTCTGGGTAATAGAGGGAGGATTATAATACGGGTTTAAGGATTTCCTATCGGCTAGTATACCGACTTTATTACTAGTTCGAGTTCACACTGCCGCTCATCCTCCCCAAATACTCCTATTTGCCCTGTCTGCAGTATTGATCTTGGAGCTCCCCCAACGATAGGAAGTAATTTGAATATATCCTCTGGGGATATCCTTTTTAGGCAATACTCGTATGTGCAACTATATGCATTTTGTTCTATTAAGGGTTTCATTAGTGTCTATCACCCTAGTGGATACATTTTACTTCATTGTGCTCACACCTCTACTTTATATGTGTTACAAATGAGCTGTTAAGTTACTCTATTCTAATAGTAGCCACCCTATATACTGTGTGTTCGCTGCATATTTTGCATATTAGCAGATGATCCTATTTTTAACACTACTGTACATACTTTTCACATTGGTTTATTTCTTTCCCCAAGAGGGACTAATAAAGATTTATAGTTTTTTATTTATTTATTTATTTTAGTTCTATTTATGCTCTATGACTGGCAATCTATTGCATTACATTGGTGGAGCAGCCACATTCAGGGTATAGAGACTGAGTTTGATTGCACTGTTCCAGTTAACCCATCCCAGTCTCTTCTATTTTTATTATTACTTTGGGTTATGTCCTAATACCCTTCAACCAACACAACTCCAGTGAATGATCGTTTTGGTCTTTCACTGTTGCTGTATTCTCTCTAAAAGGGGAAACGAATATGAGATCGACGCATTACATGCAAAGCAAGAAAATTCAAGCCGTGATTTGTCATAAGTGTGATGATTATGGCTTACAGTTTATGAAAACCCCCAAATCCACAGTCTCAGTAAATTAGAATATTACATGCAATCAATAAAACAAGGAGTGTACATAGAACGATATCAGACCTCTGAAAAGTATAAGCATGCATATGGACTCAGTACTTGGTTTGGGCCCCTTTTGCAGCAATTATTGCCTCAATGCAGCGTGGCATGGAAGCTATCAGCCTGTGGCACTGCTGTGTTATGGAAGACCAGGATGCTTCAATAGCGGCCTTCAGCTCTTCTGCATTGTTTGGTCTCATGTCTCATCTTTCTCTTGGCAATGCTCCATACATTCTCTATGGGTTTCAGGTCAGGCGAGTTTGCTGGCCAATCAAGCACAGTAATCCCACAGTCATTGAACCAGGCTTTGGTGCTTTGGCAGTGTGGGTAGGTTCCTGCTGGAAAATGAAGTCAGCATCCCCGTACAGCTCGTTTGCGGAAGGAAGCATGAAGTGCTCCAAAATCTCCTGGTAGACGGCTGCGTTGACCCTGGACTTAATGAAGCACAGTGGACCAACACCAGCAGATGCCATGGCTCCCCAAATCAACACAGACTGTGGAAACTTCACACTGGACTTCAAGCATCTTGCAGTGCGTGCCTCTCCCTTCTTCCTACAGACTCTGGGTCCTTGGTTTCCATATGAGATGCAAATGTTGCTCTCATCAGAAAAGAGGACTTTGGACCACTGAGCAACATACCAGGTCTGTTTTTCTTTGGCCCAGGGAAGACGCTTCTGACGTTGTTTTTGTTCAGGAGCGGCTTGACAAGTGGAATACGACATCTGAAGCCCATGTCCAGGATCCGTCTGTGTGTGGTGGCTTTTGATGCACTGACTCCAGCCTCAGTCCACTCCTTGTGAAAGTCCCCAACACTTTTGAACGGCCTTTCCTGACAATCCTCTCCAGGCTGCGGTCATCCCTGCTGCTTGTGCACCCTTTTCTTCCACATAACTTTCTATTAATGTGCTTTGATACAGCACTTTGGGAGCATCCAACTTCCTTTGCAATTACCTTTTGAGACTTTCCCTCCTTATGGAGGGTGTCAATGATGGTTTTCTGCACAACTGTCAGGTCAGCCGTCTTCCCCATGATTTGTGATTCCTACTGAACCAGACTGAGAGACCATTTAAAGGCTCAGAAACTCTTTGCAGGTGTTATGGCTTACTCATCTGATTAGAGTGGGACACTGTGAGCCTAGAATATTGCACCTTTTCACAATATTCTAATTTACTGAGATTGTGGATTTGGGGTTTTCATGATCTATAAGACATAATCATGGCACTTATGACAAATCATGGCTTGAACTATCTTGCTTTGCATGTAATGCGTCTATCTCAAATTAGTTTCCCCTTTTACATTGCATTACTGAAATAAATGAACTTCTGCACGATATTCTTATTTTTAGAGTATCACATGTATGTATGTATGTATGTGTGTGTATATATGTGTATATATATGATACCGGCACTCAAGGAATTTCGAAAGTTTAATTTTCAATGTGCATCTGAAATCGACATTTCAGCTCCTCCATCGGGAACGTCGTGCCCGTTAATTTAGTTTGCTACTTCCTGGTTAGTCATCTGACCACGAAGATGGTCCTGATAGGTTGAACCTCACGTCGACTAGACAACCAAGGACGCTCACGTCCCATTGGAAGAGATTCAATATTATGAATACAGATTTCAGACAGACTTAATCTGTCAGCCGGTAGCACAAAGACGGCACCTGAAACTTGTTCCCCGCATGTTACCCGATGGTTAGATGGAGATGTCCGAGCTTACAAAGTACTTCATTAATCCACAACTGTTTAAACACCCTAGATTAGGCTATTATCCAGTAATATCCCCCATGTGAAAGATGCTGTATATAGCACCCTAATTGTACAATACAAAAATCAATAAAAAAAAAATCATGCATAATTATATTAGAATCAAATTATATTCATTTTTATTAATATAATTATGCATGGTTTTTTTATTGATTTTTGTATTGTACAATTAGGGTGCTATATACAGCATCTTTCACATGGGGGATATTACTGGATAATAGCCTAATCTAGGGTGTTTAAACAGTTGTGGATTAATGAAGTACTTTGTTTGTAAGCTCGGACATCTCCATCTAACCATCGGGTAACATGCAGGGAACAAGTTTCAGGTGCCATCTTTGTGCTACCGGCTGACAGATTAAGTCTGTCTGAAATCGGTATTCATAATATTGAATCTCCTCCAATGGGACGTGAGCGTCCTTGGTTGTCTAGCCGACGTGAGGTTCAACCCATCAGGACCATCTTCGTGGTCAGATGACTAACCAGGAAGTAGCAGCAAACTAAATTAACGGGCACGACGTTCCCGATGGTGGTTGGCGATGAACAACAGCTGATGAGTAACAGCTGAATGTGAGTATGTAATTTTAACATTTCCTATATAAGTGTGTTTTTTCACTGTTAAGAATGTCTGTCCTGATGAAAGCTCCCTAGAGGAGCTGAAACATCGATTTCAGATGCACATTGAAAAGTAAACTTTTGAAATTCCTTGAGTGCCGGTATCCTTTCTTTATCTACATCTGAGCCACCAGAGCACCAGGTACTGTGTTTGTTTTTTATTTTATTTATTTTTTTAAGTTGGAGTGCGAGGGCTCTTTGTGTGTGTGTATGTATGTGTATATATATTTTACACACACACACACTCTCTCTGCATTCATTATATATATATATATATATATATATATATATATATATATATATATATATATATATATATATATATATATATATATATATAGAGAGAGAGAGACATAATATATACATATATGCACATTGAGGGTGTAGGGCACACTACAGCGGTATTGGCTGCACACTCCTGATGGTGGCACTTCCCCCATGAGTCCGGGACCCCCAGGACTGGCAGATCCATGACAACCATCATGGTTGTCATTCACTGATGTTGGCCCTGGTGCCTGGAACTCTTATTGGTAGCCTGTCCAGGTTCTGCAATATGAACTGTCTTCTCCAGCCTGTCAGTAACTATCATGTAGCATAGGGTAACCTTGTGGATGGCGAGTATATGTGTTATGGAGGTATTTTAAAGAATGGGGATATCCCTTGTGTGTTGTGACTAGCTGTGATCTGAGGTATATTATTATTATTATTATTATTATTATTATTATTATTATTATTATCATCATTTATATAGCGCCAACAGATTCCGTAGCGCTTTACAATATTTTGAGAGGGGGGATGTAACAATAAATAGGACAATTACAAGAAAAACTTACAGGAACAATAGGTTGAAGAGGACCCTGCTCAAACAAGCTTACAGACTATAGGAGGTGGGGTATTAGAAACATTAGGACAAGAAATATGAAGTAGGAGTGAAGCAGAGCTGGAGGAGAGAGCAAAGCACTGTTCCATAGGAGAGAGCAGGAGACAGGTATGTAAGGTAGAGATTACTCTGGGAGGCCATAAACTTTCCTGAAGAGATGGGTTTTAAGGCCCTTCTTAAATGATTGAAGACTAGGGGAGAGTCTGATGGCAGTAGGCAAGCTATTCCATAGGAGAGGAGCCGCCCGCGAGAGGTCCTGCAAGCGCGAGTTGGCCGTACGGGTGCGAGCAGCGGTCAGGAGGTGGTACGTGGAGGGGCATATTTATGGATCAGTGAAGAGATATAAGCAGGGCTAGAACGGTTCAGTGCTTTAAATGTATGGGTTAGCACTTTGAATTGACTCCTATAGCATACAGGGAGCCAATGTAAGGACCGGCAGAGGGGTGAGGTGTGAGAGGACCGACTAGAGAGGAAGATCAGTCTAGCTGCAGCATTCATGACAGACTGTAGCGGGGCAATACGGCTTTTGGGGAGACCAATCAGGAGAGGGTTACAGTAATCCATGCGGGAAATTACTAGAGCATGGACAAGCTCCTTGGTAGCATCTTGCGTAAGAAAGGATACATTGCTTTGTTATCAACTCATCTAGCATTAGCACGTGCCGTATAAGCTGTTTAAATGGTGATATAGAACAGCTCAACTCTCTAATTCCAATATTCGTTTGTTTTGCAAAGTTCCCCTTTACAAAAAATGTTATTAAATTATTCTCTAATTTTTTGTTTCTGTTTTGTTTTTCACCATTGTGTAATTCAAATGATATTCCTTCAAAATAACAGTTGTTATTGTACTGCCCTTTTAAGAATGAAAATGACTTTGGTACAGCTCAAAGTGCAGAGGGGGAATCTATAAAAATCCTATCTACTTAAAGGGTTGCTGAAACCACCTTGATAATTCAGTGATTTCAAGTGCCCAGTGCAGTGTTTCTGTTTTAAACACACTGAACATTCACAGATATTTTTAATTGTATGACTGAGCCTAGTTGCACCCCCAGAACTCTGTTCCGAACTACCTAATGTCGATTCTGTGCGCAAAGTACTGCCTTCAAGGAGAAACATTACCAACCTTAATAAAATTGCTAATTTAAAAAAAATAAAACTAAATGTCTCACCCTTGCATGCTCTCTGAGCAGGCAAAATGGTCCTGATAGTGAAGCCTGTGATTTGACAGCACAAGGATCCTGGCTTACGTCAGGAGTGGGTGTTAAAGTCAGTGCCAGGAGCTTTGCCGGCGCTGGTTTCCAGGTTACAGGTAAGTAGGGGGGACCTAATGCATAGCCAAGTGCATCACTAGGGGAAGGCCAGAGGGGGCTATGCCCCCCCTCCCCCAGATCAGGCTGTACCCCTTCTTGTGCCCCCCCAATTGGAAGTGAAGTTACTGCTTGCTGCTCTGGACTCCTAAGATGTTAGTGAGAGCCCAACTCCCGAGCAGATGGACCCTGCAGGCAAAGAAAGTCCCCTGCCTATAAACACCAGACACCAGCTGAAGGGACCAGGAAACAGGCTGTGCTCACTGTGCACCTCTCTCCTGCTCCGCCAACAGAAACAAAGGGGAGACTTCCTGCAGACTGGACAATAGTTCCTCCTCCACAGCACTAGCACAGGTTTGACCCACATGGAGCATAAGTTGGCTGATTATTTTGTGTATGTTTGTTTGTGTGTAAATAAAGTGTGCTAGTGACATTGTGTGTATACTTAATAATAGTGTGTGTTAGTGAGAGTCTGCTAGTGACATTGTGTGTATACTTAATAAGTGTGTGTTAGTGAGAGTGTGTGACGTGTGTATACTTCAGTAAGCGTGTGTGTTAGTGAGAGTGTGTAAGTGACATTGTGTGTATACTTCATAATAGTGTGTGTTAGTTAGAGTGTGACATTGTGTGTATACTTCAGTTAGAGTGTGTGTTATTGAGTGTGTGAGTGACCATGCTACCAATTATATTCATAATACATTTTAAAGATTATAATGAAAAAAAGATGATGCTGAGGGAGGGGAGGGTGATGCTGAGGGAGGGGAGGGTGATGCTGAGGGAGGGGGGTGATGCTGAGGAGGGGGGTTGATGTAGATGTTGAGGGAGGGGGGTTGATGGTGAAGGGCTGATGCTGAGGGTGGTGATGCTGAGGGTGGTGGGGGGGGGGGGGGGGGGGGGGGGGGGGGGGGGGGGGGGGGGGGGGGGGGGGGGGGGGGGGGGGGGGGGGGGGGGGGGGGTGATGCTTCAGCACCGCGTCACTATGGTTACCAGACGCGATCGCGGCCACTTTGTGGCACAGTCATCACGTAAATGCTCTTCACAGATGCGCGGTCACTATCACCTATTCACACAGCGTCTGAGCACGGATCACAGGGGGCATACCTGCACTGGATAAGTGATTATTTCTCAATAGTTTATGTCTTATAGAAACTCTTTGTTCATTTGTATGCACATCTTCCGGGTCAAGACGTTGATTGTTCTATTCAACTCAAATTCACTTTGAAAAATCCTCTGGAGTGCTTTCTTCATTTATATTTCCATATTCCCTTGCTGTGCAGACCCGAGGTGGATTGAATTTAAACTTTTAAAGGTAGAGTGCCAGACTTCCTTGTATATGTATGTGTATATATATATATATATATATATATACACACACACGTTTTGTAATTGCACCCCTACTTTTGTCCCTGGCCCCCCATGTGCCTCCCCTAAATATGAATGCGGGGATGTTCGTAGTGCCCAATAGGGCATTTACCTAGGAGAATGTTCCTCCTCCTAAGGGATTGGAAATAAAATAAAGATTCTTAAAGATAGGCCTGAAATAATATAACCCTAACACTTTTTCTGCAGTAGATGGTTGATTCCTCCAACCACCACCTCTGTCAAAGCATGTGCTATTTCTAAGCTAGGCAAAGCTAAGCTGAACACATATAAAAGCATGCAATATAATAAATTGAAAAGGTCAGTCCACTCCTTTGTTTCTATAACCTACTTACCTAACTAGTTTTACCAGTCACAATTCTTTTAAAAAATGCACAGAATGTTCATTACACCCATGTTTTCCTTTGTGATCAATTGCGCAACAAAATATTTACATGCTGTAGTACTAATTATGGTATTTGTCAGAGAAACTACTTGTCACCATCATACCTTGTGTGCAACCTTGTGGCATCATTATTTTAGAAAATGTAGTAGATAAATTAACACAGACTTCTATTTTTCTAGCTAATTGTTGATTCCCTTGGTTTCTAGTGGCTCTAAAGATTTTCAAAAGCATTTTCATTTTCCCCTGCCTAGTTTAATGTAGACAGCTACTCAGCAAATCACAACATTTTTTGACATCACACTACAGTTACAAGATAGTCTTTAGGTTGTGAGATTGGAGCTAGGCTTGCCGTAACCTGGTTAGATTTATATAAAGAAAAGTTTAGTTAATGCAATGTTAATAAAAAACTTTGGTAGATACACACAGTTTAAATCAGTTGAACATCGACCTATAATTGAAGGGCTAATGGACATTTCCCATACCAATTAGTTATAAGTTCTAGAAGTCACACGGCTATAGGAGTTTCTCTAATCACAGATCCAAGTAATAATCAAACATACAGTAGGAAACTCAAACATATAGACAGCACGGGGATTGCAAGTAGCTAAGCCAGCTGTTAGGTCTTCAATAAATATCAATAAGCGTGAACAAGGACTGACAAGGTCAAATCAAGTAGGCTACATTATGCTGTCAGAATTTCCATAGTTTAACAGAAAACCAGTGCTTGCCTGAAGGCCGGCCAATCTTCCTCTGTGACGGTAGCCAAAAACAGATAGGAAACATTCAAGCCAACAAATGATGCAAGCAGTGGTATGCTAGCAATTTTTGGATGCAAAGTGACTATTTTGGTTCAAGAGAAGCTTCTCTCTTTGGATTCCATCAACTTAGTTCTTTATCACTGTGTCTTAATGCAATAAACATTTCAATATATTCTCTATGTGCAGCTATGTCACATTTTCATACCCCTTTATTGTGCCAATAGACTGTTTGTTTTTTGTTTGTTTTTTTTGGGGGGGGAGGATAAATGTTATTCCATCTTTGAAGGTAGCATTCTAATTAGCTTACGTTGTTCAATTGTTCTCCCCTTTTGTATTTTCTCCCAAGTAAAGTTAAATTCTAGAATAAAAAGGAATCATGATGGAATATTTCCGTCATGTGTCCTTAAGGGGTTAATACTATTACTCTTTTTTTTTATTTTATTTTTTTAAGCAAAGTTTTGTTTTCTTAAAATAGACGTAGGCAAACAAAATGTCAAACAGCTCATTTCAATTTCTGATAACATAGAGACAATTGTTACTTATATCGGTAGGTAAAGGTATTGTTGAAACATCATTTACAAAATATCCAGGTTTCCATTTGCATGAAAGCTATTGAATAAACATAGACTTGCAAAACCTGTAGTAAACTTATATGGTTCTCTATCCTTTAACTTCTAAACAAACAGGTTAAGCCACTCCTTTACACTTCCATTTCACCTTCCAACATACTGTAAAATATCAGCCTGTTGAAGAGGAGCCTACATCCAGCAGTGTTCATGGTATGTTCTTCAATTCTGTACAAAAATCTTAAAATGTCTGTCTCCTCTCCAGAGTTAGAATGTGGTATTCTGTAGAATGTGACTGGGTGTTTTTTGTTTAAGAAATTATGTCATCTAAACCATATTCAAACATGATTCAATATATAGGAAAGAAAACAAATAGTAATAATCAATAGCACTATACTATGCATAGAATAAAAACTATTTCAAAGTAAAATTTTATTTTAGAGAACTGATACGCAAAATTTAACTAAAATAGGAACATTCTGACTATATATAAAAAGATAAATAAAAAGATAAAAAGTAGATAAAAAGATTATCATTTTGACTATAGAGTTTAGTGAAAAAAAACACCAAACATTTTCAATAAAGCGAAATGAAATATGCATGCAGACAAACAAAAAGTACTTTGTAACGTGTTTGAAAATCATGATAACATGGTTTAGCCCTCTGGTTATGTTTGCAGCTAATTTACACGGTTTATTTTAAATGAATAATGTTTTACTCTGGGCTTTATCTACTAGACTGCACTTTATAGATAATTTAAATCTGGATGGCAACATTTAGAAACCTGTGATTATAGCTGATTTGGAGACTTTTTCCAGAATAATGTTTTTAATGTACAGCGCTACGGAATCTGATGGCGCTATATAAATAATAAAATAATAATAAAAATAATAATTGTGCCATTTCAATTTTAATTTGCTAAAAGTCAGGGATTAGTCATTAACACCACCCCTCCCCCATGTGTATATTGCTATTGTTTCATGAAAATATTTGAGAAGTACGTTAGTAATATCATTTTCTTTGGATGCAACCTCTGTCTATGTCTGGGAATTTTAATAGTTAACCTACTTCTTACATGTTGACACATTTCTAATGAATAAATATATTTACAGAATGAACATCTTCTTAGAACTGTATTCTGTCTGTTTGTCTTTCTATCTATAAATTATAACACGAAGGTAAACTAGAGGACACTGAGACATTTGGGGACACTGGGAGACTTGGGGACACTGAGACTATGTATCAGTGTCCCTATGTATCATTGTCTCAGTGTCCCATGTATCTGTGTCCCCATGTTGCCCCGTGTCTCCATGTTGCCCAGTACCCCCTATTGAGACATGGGGACACTGGGAGACATGGGGACACTGAGACACTAGGGACACAGACACTAGGGACACAGACACTAGGGACACTGGGAGACATGAAAACACTGAAACACTGGTTGGGAGACATGGGTACACAGACACTTGGGGACATTGTGTCCTTAGTGTCTCAGTGTCCCCATGTGTGTCTGTTTCCCTGTGTCCCCATGTGTCTGTGTCCCCATGTCTCCCAGCGTCCCCTAGTGTCTCAGTGTTCCCAGGTCTCAGGGTCCCCTAGTGTCTCAGTGTCCCCATGTCTTAGTATCCCATTGTCTCAGTGTCCCCATATGTGTCTGTGTCCCTGTGTCTCAGTGTCCCCAGAGGTCTCCATGTGTCACCAGGTCTCAGTGTCACTTAGTGTCTCAGTGTCCACATGTCTCCCTGCAGCCTTTACCCCATCCCACACTTCCCTGAGCTGTTATCTGTCTTTGCAGGCTGGGAGCTGCTGTCTGGACTCTCTGTGCTGTGTAGCTGCTCCCCCGCAGATCAGTGAGTTGAGAGATGCAGATATGCTGTAACTTCCTATCCCTGCCCCTCTCAACACACAGTGACCCCAACGGGCCAGTGTTGGTATTGCAGAGTAATCTCTGTTTATACTGAGAAAAATACCGGCATTTGTATTGCTGTTACTACTGCAATATCGGCAGCGGCCAGGCAGCCTCAAATAAATACCGGCCAGGGGGCAATCCTAAGAGTAGTGTGTAAAAAATAAATAAAAAATAAGTGAAGACATTTTTTTTTTTTTTAAATCAATGGGCCTATTCCCTGGGCCTAGAGCTGAAGCTCCATCAGCCCCTATGTTAATCCGGCCCTGCCTCTGTCGCCTGATAGTATATGTCCCTTAAATGCCAATTAAAGCTTTCTGAAATATTAAGAAATAATATTATATTATAAATAAATGCAATGTCAAAGTATTTCTCTGCTTGTTAAGATTATTGGGTATCCCTGTTACAGTAAAAAAGAATTTGCAGAATTCAAACTCATCTTCTATACTGCATCGTCCCAGTTTCGCTGCCGGAGCCAATCCTCTTCTCCTGAGATAATCTATCATCATTCATCATAGATCTCTGATGATATCGTGTCATTCCAATGCTTCTCATAAAGAGAGACAAATGTGGATATCACCATTTCTCACAATTGGCATACAAAGTGCACGAATGGCAATCGCTACAATCTGACAAAATATGCTTCTCACAGAGAAGCATTAAAACTAAGGTTCCGCTACGAGAATCACTCACACTGCACTACAGTTGAAAGTGATCTCTCTCGAATCTCCCTGATAGTGGAGACGTGTAAGAATTTATAAAACGGCTGTCTCTTTATGATCACGTTTCAAAAAGAATTAAAAAGGGACAAGTTGTTAACCCCTAAAGGAACTGGCACGTTCCTTTAATGCATGACTGTACAACAATATTACTTCCATTAAATGTTACAAAATAATATAGAACCCACTCCATGTCATATCAACAATTTCTCTTGGTCTACTGAGAATAATATTTAATTTCCTAAAGGTTTCATTATGTAAAATATAAGCTATGTGTATATTCAAAGTTAATGAGTGTTTTAACATCTATGGTGTACATTGTTTAGTTTGTTTTAGTTTTTTTTTTTTCATTTTGCTTCCTCATTCCAATCTAGACAATGTGTTTCTTAACAGCTAATTTCAGGTCTACCTGTAATTCAAAATGTGCTTATTTAGGAAATTCGATAAAAGGTTGCTGACACATATGACAAGAATTTTTTGTGCATGACCTTTACATGCCAATGGGTGTCAGGCAAATCCTAGTTTGCGAAGTTATAGACTGAGTTATCTGTACTAGTAAATTAAGTAAACAGTAATTTCAGCCCATGAAATGAACGATTGGGCGGCTGTGTTGTCATTAAAACTGAGCGATTTGCCAAGAAAATCAGATGAACACACCTGAAAGATAATACAATAAGTAAAAGAATATTATTATTTCTATTATTATAAGGCCAAACCAAACACAGCGACATCCTGTATTATTTTTAATATTACTCACATTAATGAGTGCACTGAAGAATACTGTGTATATGAAGCCTATAAAGACAATTTACTCAAAATGACACAGGAAACCTTGTATTATTGATGTCGGACTCGGCCCATAGGGGTAGAGTGGGACACAAGTATATGGTAAGCATAATGGAATTGTGTAACTTTTTAATCCTCCAAGATATTGTTATGATTCATTGTTATGCTCCTATGATTTAATGTGGTGTGAAGTAATTGGAACCAAACCTAGCAGAGAGGCAGCTTGCATGCATCTTACTCAGAGACTATAGGTCCCTACAATAAAAGATTATCTTCCAGCTCCAAAGATGTTAATGGGCAATGGACAAGTGAGATCTATGAGGCTTTAATTAGCATAACATTGGCAGGAGAATGTATGTGCCCATAAAGGGTTAACCCATACAGACACTATGAAATAGGACCTGGAAATTGGGATTTCAAATTGTAATCTTTGCTGGCATCCAATGGGTTAAGTCTGGATGAAAACTGAGGCTATGTGAACCATAAATGGTTAAATTGTGCGGCTAGGGTGCATTTTGGTTGGCAGGACTGCATGGGGTTAATTATATGCTTATTTTACTGCTTAAAATGTAATGTCTTATTTAGTTTTACATGATGACATGTGCTTTAAAATAACTAGCTAACTAACCAACCAACTACATAAAAAAGCAAATAAATAAATAAATAAGAATGTGGTCCAGGTGAAGTGTGGAGGAAACACACATAAACATTTTAACAGGTATGTTTAGTTTGCATACAAATCAGTGTGGCATGCATCATTTAAAATTTACTACATAAATGGTGTACAGCAGATCCATACCTCCCAAATGTCCCGATTTAGGGACAGTCCCTGTTTTGGCCCCAAATCATTCTGTCCCATTTTCTATCCTCATGTTCCTCTTTTCCAAAAGCTCCATTTTATTGTTGTATCTTCTTGTATAACAGAGTGCGACAGCAATAATACAGTAATGTGTCTTTAAATTACACTAAATGTGTTTGGAGCACAGTCTATATAAATATGATACATTATACTTGTTCTAAAAACATGTAAGTTGCATAAATTGTCATTAGTAATAATACACTTTTGCTTAATACAATAGTTTTGGTGCAAAGACCAAAACACTCCCACTTACTCCCCTAAAATTAAAGTGTCCCTTTAATCCCTTTGTCTATTTGAAATGTTGGGAGGTATGCAGATCAGATCATGTAAACTTCTGGAAATCTGGAGGATAAAAAGGTTAAGAGTTAAGAATTTATTGATATCTCTTTCATAATTTTTTTAGAATTGATGACATGTGTATAGCAAGTAAAACACAATTAATTTATATATGTATTATTTTTATAGCAACTGGAGCAAGGATGGCGATTACCTTTGGTGACTATAAATTGAAACCCAGCCATTTTCTTCTATCGGTTCTAATCACCATATCAGTCGTATTAGGGTTTAGTTATCTGAACGAAACTTCCCGAAGTATCCAACTGCAGGTATAATATTCCCTTACTTTTTATTTACACAATGAAGTGCTTCTTATTTTTTCTTTTTAATTAACTTAACGCCACATGCGGCTAAGGTGCTGGTCCATGCCACTGTCCTCTCTCGGCCTTGACGACTGCAATCCGCTTCTCAGTGGTCTTACATGCTCCCAACTCGCCCTATTGCAGCGAGGCTCATCTTCCTGTCCGCCCGCACCTCCCATGCCTCACCCCTCTGTCAGTCCCTGCATTGGCTTCCTGTAAGATATAGGATTCAATATAAAATTCTGGTTCTTGCTGTCAAATCTCTACATAATGCCAGTCCCACATATCTATCTTCCCTAATACACAAGTATGTCCCGTCTAGGCCCCTACGCTCTGCCGAAGACCTGCGTCTATCCTCTGTTCATACTCCCACCTCTGATGCTCGCCTTCAAGACTTCTCCTGCACCGTTCCTGTGGAACTCACTTTCTTTTCCGTTAGATGCTCACTCAGTCTCCACTCCCTCTGTTTTTGTGTGTCAAACTTGTCTTGTTACAATTACATGTTTGTTAGACCATCCATTGTAAAGCGCTACGTTATTTGTTGGTGTTGTATAAATATAATAATAATAATTATGGGATGGAATGTTGTGTAACAAAGGCTGAATTTGCATAAAAGTTAACCTTATGCACAATTAGCACATTTACATAATAATAAATGCATATTTATGATATGAGGCAGTGCCTAACAAAATCCTTGAATAACCAAGGGTAACAAGGAGTCCTTCTGTGATGGGTGACAGAGGGAAAGAGTTATATCTATCGAGATCTTGCATGCACCCTGTCTCCCAGTGCTTCTCTATTGGTTGGGAGATTGTTAGTACTGGTGATGTCTTGCATGGAGTGGGACTGCAGTGAAGGATGTTATCACACCTGGATTAAAGGTAAATTATCTTATAATTTTACAGTTTTTCTGATAGGGGAAGGAGGAACAGAGACTTACAAACACTCCAGTGTTATAAATGAATGTATTTATTCACAATGGTTGAAGGGACACTATAGGCACCAGAACAACCTTTGCTGAATGAAGTGGTCTTGGTGTAAAGATCATGCCCCTGCAGTATCACTGCTCAATTCAATTCAAAAGCCATTTAGGAGTTACGTCAGCCACATCTCCTCTGTATGTTTCCTACAGTCTTTCTACACATTTAAAGTAAAGAGAGATCTAATGATTACACTCCCTTTGTTGCACAGTCGGTTTAGTTTAGAATTTCTTAACTCCTGCTTTGTTAGTAGCTTGCTAGTGCCTACAGGAGCCTCTGTTAAATTAACAGAGCAGGAGATAAAAGTGTCTGATAGGAACTCACTGTGCTGATTAAAAATGAAAAAAAAAATTCCATGTAGGCTGTGTGAGTCGCAGCCAGGGGAGTTGTGGCTAGGGCTCCATTAAAAAGTGATTTAACTCCTAAATGGCAGAATGTTGAGCAGTGAAACTGCAGGGGCATGATCTATACACAACAACTGCTTCATTAAGCTAAAATTTTTGATGCTTAGAGTATCCCTTTAAGCTAAGCAAAATATTCAGTCAAATTCTAACATTAAAAAATTTGAAATGGGCAAGGCTCCTTTTTAGCCTTGTTACTTCATAAATGAGGTATCAATGAGAATACTATAATACCTAGGAGATGTAACCAATCACATCTTATTTTCACTGCAGTAGCATACATGTTGTGTACATAATGCACAGCAAAAATCTAACATGTGAAAACCACAAAAAAACACAATACTACTCCAAAATTTAGCAGATATTGGTGACAAAATTATCATTCGAAATGTTTAAAATGAATTGTGTACTTTCATAAAAATATATATTTATGTGTGTCAAATGTATTTTTTTTCTTTGCTGCTAATAAACTTAGAGGTCAAACATACTAAATGTGGAGAACTTTAAGCCTTTAATAATCCTTGTGCTCCTTGTAATTTATGACCTGTAACTGCCTGTATTTATTAAATATCATACATGTATGATGTATTAAAGAAATCAAGGCAAATATTAATTGACTTTGTTATATACACATTATTATAGGCAAAATTATAACAGATAGATATAAAGATGATTGAGAGCTTAGGAGATTCCATTAGTTTTCCTGAGTGAGTCAACTGACAACTGGCTCAGAATGCACTGCACTGCTGGACTTTGCTTTTGGCTGAGAGGAGGCTGCAGTGAAGGCAGGGTGGTACTAAATGTTAGGATTACTAAACAGTTTGCCTACTTATATGGGGAGTGTCAGGGCACTCTTTGCATTGCAGTGGTTGGTGCTTGGAGTGCTTCTTTAACCGAGAGTAATTTCAATCAAGAAAAGGTTTTATTTTTTGTGCTTCTATCTGATAAGGGAAAAGTTAATAAAACACATGCTTAACAAATACATTAATATAACTTATTCAGCTACTAAACAAAATATTCCTTCTTCTCTCAGCAACGACTTCTAATTCTGGAAAGGCGGTTACAATCTATAGCGGTTGACAGATCAAATTTACGACGCAGAACAGATAATTTACAAGATCAGCTAGAAAAGCAGGTCAATGAGATGAACAAACTCCAAAAAATTCGTGATTTTGAAACTGAGCAATTAAGCATCAAGTGTGTGTCTGAGAAGGTAAAGTTTGAAAGAAAAAAGCTACTTATGTGATTTTTCTTTATAATTCGACTGTTATTCATTATATTATAATAGAGATTGTTTATTATACAAATTACTTAGGAAATAGACATAAAAAGTTTAGTCGGTAACAAAATAACTTTGTTGTACTTAAACTTCCATCATCCTCTGCCAGTTAATTGTGCTTTTGTCCAAATTCTCTTGCCTGTAACGAACATTTACATTATCATATCAGACTTTTGTTTTGTGGTAAAAAGCCCAAAGATAATGGCTGGATTTAAAAGGAAGGATGAAGTAATTGTTAATAGTTGATCCCCAGACATTGCTTAATCTCTATTGGGAAATAGTGCAGAGGGGGATGAGGTCTGGAACCAGAATTAGTATAGGCATCAAGACTGCTTTTTTTTTTGGAAGTGGTCAAGGTGCAATGTCCCTGTGCTCTTAAATGGATACTATAGTGCTAGGAATACAAAGCTTCTCCTCCTGAACTGTAAGGGATAAAAAAAATGTACTATACTCACCCAATTCCAACAACGATGTTCTTTGGTGCTGGGTCAGTGCTCTGCCTCCTCTGACATCACCCAATGGGGAGCCTAATGCGCATGCACAGTGAGCACTGCAAGCGCATTGGGCACTCCTTATTGCTGCAGTGCTTTCCGATGGGGTAATAACTGACCCTGAATGTCCGTATGCAGAACGTCAGTTAGGTGACCAAACATAGGTTAGCGAACAGGAAGTGCTTCTAGTGGATGTCTAAATGAATCAAATAACAATTAAGCTTGCATAAAATAATCAAGGAGTAAATGTGACCAGAATCAGAGGATCACAATACCAAATCCTCCAAAGATAATCCCTGGGTTGGAACAACAGAATAAGCTGAATCTTCACTATTTTATCCAGAAAACCCCTGTAGGCTATGTTTCAAAAGGTAGAAGTGCTACCTTCAACGCAATAAAGGGCTAGATACAAAAATCTGTGCAGCTAATATAACGTGACCACAAACAATGAGGGGAACTGTATCAAATTATAATTGCAATGAGTTTTACCCTACATCCGACTTACCCTTCCTTCAGGATTCCTTTGTCCTCTTCATAGTAAAAAATATGAGGTGGACAAACCACACCTAATGGCAGATATCGGTGATATGCTCTGGAGGCTGCAGAGGTCCCACACGCCTGTCATGATGCCTGAGTTAGACTACTCCTTCAGATAATCAAGTGAAACCTTTTAAGCAGACAGACCCTCTGTGTAACCTTCTTCCACCTAATACAACAGCAGTCCCGGTGACTGAGGGGAGTCAAATACCTTTTTGGAGGATCTCTGCCACAGCATTGCAACTGTTATAGGACTCTACTGAGAGGAGCTATCAGGGATCTCTGCCCGACTTCACTTCCATTACCCAAGATGATCAACTCTCTAACTTGGAACAGGTGGTTCAAGCTATGCAAATATGCGTTATTCTTTAGAGCATATTACGAAATTACTCATTTCATTTGCAAACTCCCTATTAGACTACAAATACTTTAACATGCAAATGGGACTGCATTCAAATGCTCTCTATTTAACTTCATTAGTACTAATTAGTCCTTTAGGGTTTTCCCTTGATGTCAGGCGCACATATAAATTGTAGGTGCTTAAATATTCTATCGATGACGCGCCGCTCTGTAGTACTTCTTACCATATGCAAGCAGGTGTAGCAGTTTGGATACATGTAGGCATTATGTCTTTTGCTACGCCTCTTGGGATCTCTACTGCCACCCAATCTGTTCTGTGATTGGCTGCACTACACGTGGCTACTTGAGTAGCGTGAGGATAAAGACGAGTCTTGGTGATGCTCATTTCTTTTTTCCTTTAAGAAGGTGTTGTTAAACACCGAAACACATCGGGCTTCCATTATTTTATGGCGTTATTAATTTATTCCACTTTGTTTAGTTTTTCACTTTATGGGAAGCCTAAATAACACTTGTTATTCTTTATCCTTTCTCTACCTCTTTCAGAGAGGTCTATCTATATTGGTTATGAAGGCACACCCTTCTGTTACCGTGTACTTTATTCCATCTTTGCCAAGGTATTTATCAGGGTCTTTTATCTATTGATATGTATACATCTCTTTAGCACTTAGTGATTGTTCCTCTCTCCGCATCAAGCCCATTAACTTACTGAAGTATGTAGTTCTGGACTTAGTGGACTGTTTTATCTCATCTACCATTCTACATCATTTTAATCAATTAAATGTATCACTCTTTCTACGATAGGAGAGAGCTATTTGGCTATTTAGTTTTTTAGATTATTGTACACCTACTTCCTTGCAAGTATTTTGTTGTACCTAATGTAACAATGCAATGATTTGTGGACCCAGGACATACTTGAAAACGAGAGAAATCTCAATGTATCTTTCCTGGTAAAATATTTTATAAATAAATAAATAAGTATTTTGGCTCATATTTCGGCTCGGTCTGTAGGAGAAGATTTAAATTGTTTGTTTACAGTGTGTACGTGTTGCATATTATTATAATTATTATGTGTGTCACTTAATAAAGCGTATATTGTTTATTTTTTAGTTTTATTATTCCCTGCCCTTGGGTAGGGCATTTATATTTTTTTTTCCTTTTTTGTTCTTTATATAACTTTGCCTATTAGAGTCATTGCATTTTTAATTACAATTACACTAATGGGAGGGGAATATTGCATCATCAGCAATAACAATAACTGCTGCACTATTTCTGTGTTGATGTTGAATGAGCTTACAATTATTGCTTCCCTTACACACTCTCTTCCACCTTTATTTATTATCAGCACTATATTGGATCATATCTTTGGGAGATATACACTACAGGAACTGTACTAGATAAAATATTGATTGAGACGATACTGTATCATATTTACACAGACTGATTTCTAAACACATTTATTGTAGTTAAAAATATAATAATATAATTGCTGTGGAGCCCTGTTATACACTCAGACACACCTGGAATACTGAACTCCTAAAAAGAGGAACATTAGGTTAGAAAAGAGGGACTGGTGCATTTAAATCCAAAATAGGTGCACTTGAGCGGTATGGTAAAGGAAAGAAAAAAGCGACAAGAGGAATTTGAAGGGGAAACATGGGAAATCAGAAACTAAAAGTAGGAGTAAAAATCAAATATGGATTTCTCATAACAAAACGTGAAACAGAAAGTACACTGCTATTAAAATGACTTCTGACATAAATGATTAAAGGAACACTATAGTCACCTAAATTACTTTAGCTAAATAAAGCAGTTTTAGTGTATAGATCATTCCCCTGCAATTTCACTGCTCAATTCACTGTCATTTAGGAGTTAAATCACTTTGTTTCTGTTTATGCAGCCCTAGCCACACCTCCCTGGCTATGATTGACAGAGCCTGCATGGAAAAAAAAACTGGTTTCACTTTCAAACAGATGTAATTTACCTTAAATAATTGTATCTCAATCTCTAAATTGAACTTTAATCACATACAGGAGGCTCTTGCAGGGTCTAGCAAGCTATTAACATAGCAGGGGATAAGAAAATCTTAATTAAACAGAACTTGCAATAAAGAAAGCCTAAATAGGGCTCTCTTTACAGGAAGTGTTTATGGAAGGCTGTGCAAGTCACATGCAGGGAGGTGTGATTAGGGTTCATAAACAAAGGCATTTAACTCTTGAATGGCAGAGGATTGAGCAGTGAGGCTGCAGGGGCATGTTCTATACACCAAAACTGCTTCATTAAAGTTGTTCAGGTGACTATAGTGTCCCTTTAAGTAATTCATCAATATGTTCACCATCTTTAGCGTAAGGAAATATATAACATACTAACAAGCAAAACTTTTCAGAACAAATTTGTAAATATTTTTCAGTATTATGACTGAAATGTCATGAGTGGATTTACACTATTTTATTACAATTACCTAATGAAGTGTAATTATTTATGTTTTTTTTTTTGTTTTTTTTTAAGGATAACCTACAAGAAACAGTTTTATCAAAGGAAAACATAATCAAAGAGCTAACAGGTATTAAAATCTTCAAAATCGCATCTGTTTATCTTCAAATATAGAATAGGGACATGCATCACTTTCAATTAACTGTGTCATTCAAAAGCTTTAGCAGTTGCCTCACTCTGTAGTCTGAAAAAAAGCAGGTACTTGTGTCTTCTTTCTTATACTTTCCACATCTACTTCAGGGGGGGCACTGATCAAACCAATCAGTGTCCTATCCCTAGGAATACTGTATTGGCCATGTCTGACAGATTTACTCTTGAGCAGTTGGAAGATATCTTCACTTCTACAGAGCTATGCAGGACCACACTCGTCGGCTGAGAGTGTCAGCTGAGTGAGTGCGACCAGCACAAGCCAGGTAAGTTGCCAAACCATACTAAAACACTTTTACGCCTTACCAAGACTGTAGTGGTCATGGCATTTTTGGAGTATTCCTTTATTCGGTAATGGATTTATTTTACCTGGTGAACAGCAGCACAGCAGTTAATTAGCGGGCCAGATACATTTGAACATGTATATTCATTCTTGTTCTTTATTCTCGCACAAGCGTATTTATAACCTGCTAAGGTTCATTTACTAAAAGACCATGCCTTTAAAGGTGCATACATGATAAAAGATAAAAAGAACAGTATGTACAGTATAGAAAAGTTAAACAGACTCTGTTGAGCTTGTGCCATGAAGCTGAATGCTGGGGTGATTGCTTAAAATAAAAGTATTTGAGTATTTCACTTTGATTGCATTAATGATGACAGGAATCTTGACCAATAAGCTAATTCCTTTGGTGTAATGATATCATATTCTGTACGCATTACTTCGCAGCTGCCAGCGGACCCTGAAGGACGTGCATATGACTGCATCAGACAAGCATACTTAGCCAATTATTACATAGTATATATAAAGTAGACATTTGCAATTCGTTTCGTTCCGAATGTACATTCGTACGAATTTCATGCCATTCAGATGCTTATGAATGTCTGAAGTGCCAAAATTCCAAAGTGACGACGTTCGGCAGTTCCAAAATGCCAAACTGAATGACATTGGTCCGAATTGCCGAAGCAGACAAATCTTACCCGAATTTCCGTAACGAAAACACATTTTTTTGTCCATACACATTCCTAATGGAGGGCTCACGGGAAAAAACAAATAGATAGATGTTAGGATTATGTATGTTTGCCCTTAATAACGCATAACATGCACTTTATTTTTACATTATAACAGATCATCATGAGAATTTAAAGACACAACATGAAACTCTTCGCTCTGAGATGAAGCAAGTTGAAAAGGACCAGTCCAGACTACTAGAAAGGTTCTCCACTCAGTCGTAAGTTATACAATCAAAACAAGATGCCTGGAAGTTGTAAAGTAGCTACAGTTACACTTTTGAATTAATTATATGTTCATTATTTAGGGTTTCTGATATAAAATTTGAGAATATTTTATTGCTTTAAATCTTTGAGTTTTTACACATTTAGAGTTATGAAGATGTACTTTTTTGAAGTGGACATCCAGGTACACACATACATTAGGTGCAATGTACAGATTTGGTTACTGGTAGCTATACCAAGTTTGCTTGTATAATGCAGTTGTAAATCACTTTTGTTTCTCTTTACGCAGCCCTAACCACACCTCCCTGGTTGTGACTGATACAGCCAGTGTGAAAGCAAAATAATTTCATTTTCAATCAGATGTAATTTACTTTAAAAAAAAAAATTATCTCGGGGGGTGGAGGCGTGTCTAGCTGAGCTGAGAAAGCTGAGAGAAAAAACGTAAATTGATCCACCCGGGGAGCTCCGACATGCCAGATAGCCACAGGTCTTTTGAAAGGGCACAGCAAGATAGTGCCTACAAGGCCTCAAGTCTCCAGCGACTCTGAGGAGCCCCCAGAGGAAGATGGCCCTACAAAATCGCGGATCCAGAGCGGAGTGTATGGGAGTGAAGAGTCTGATTCTGATGCTTCACCCGCCAACAAATGAGACATCAAAAAATTGCTGGTGGATTTATCTGGAAGGTGAGCACTGAAGTATATGGTCTAACAGCACGAGTCAGCGCAGCTGAAAATAGAGAAGGGAAAAGAGATCTCATATTTATGGAGGCCCGATCTCAGATGGAGACCATGTCACATCGCATCCAGAGGCTCACGAGCACTGTTACAATGTTATAAACAAGGCACCGCAAAAACGTGCAGATCTGCGGCGAGTAGGCAATGAGGCAACCCTGCACTTTACCAACAAAGTACCAGCAGCGGGGTGAGAGGAGAGGCAGAAGTGCCACCCATCATGTTTGCTTTCAGAATCCGGAAAGCCCTGACCGCCCTTGCAGTTGCACCTACGGATATTATGGCCGTTACCCAAGATGTTTTTATCAAAGCGGCAATTCTGGTCCACTCAAAGAATACCCCCTCTACCATTGTAGATAACTGCTCTATCAGGGTCTATGATGACCTACCCTTCACTATCCTCATGGAGAGGAGGAGGTACATGCCAATATCAAGGCAGCTGCACGAGGCTGGAATTCGATACAGATAGGGAGTGTCGGGCACCCTGGTGGTGCAGCAAGGAGCCTTCTCCCTATCGATGAACGAAAACCCCACAGACTTTTTGAAGACACTTCAACTGCCCCTAGCACAGAACGCTAATACAGACCCCGCTACCGAAGACATGGAGATGGAGCGAGGACGGATCTCTGAAGTGGGGATGCATCTGCTAACCCTAACGTAGGCCTGATGGAATGGTGGAAAACTGGTGTCGCTAAGGCCCACTGAGTCTCATCAGGACCCCATAAAGGACTCTTGCCCAACTCATCTCACACAATTTCCACTGAATCTTCACCAATTTTATCCTTTTCATTTTCATCTTGTTTATTAAAGGACCACCATAGGCACCCAGACCACTTCAGCTCAATTAAGTGTTCTGGGTACCAGGTCCCCATAGTTTTAACCCTACAGCTGAAAACATAGCAGTTTCAGAGCTGCTTCATTACCCTAAAGTTTTTTTGGTGACAAAAGTGTCCCTTTAGTCACAAGATCTTACTTAAAATATTGTACGCACTATTGGGGACCTTAGGGTTTATTTATCAAGTATCAAAACATAGTGAATTGATAACTGAATTGCTAAATCAAAGCAATAATAGATTATTTTTTAAAAAATTGTTGCAAATCAACTATAGTCACAGTTCGACTAGTTTGAACTAAATTTTGCATTTGGTTTTTAAATCACTGCATTTTTAGTATTTTGTGAATAACATACCAAACAGCATTAAAATAAAAAGTGTCATATAATGTTCTAAGATATGAATTATAATAATATACCCATGTGCATTGTTGGCCAGACAGGCTGTCAATCAACCTGGTATGGTATACATTTATGCCAGGCTGACATGACCCTTTTAGGATGGTCACAGACCAGTTTCAGGCAGACTCACCAGTGACGCAAGCCAAATCCTGGCACACCTTCCACCTTCCATCCCATTTTGTATACCTCTGAATATTGGAAGATATGCTTTTACCTATCCACCATGGTTTGACACATATTGTGTATACATATTGAAGGGCAGCACAGGACAAGTGTTGCCCAGCAGTATGTAAAATTTAAAAGATGGTGTATACATATACATAGTGCAGGGCAACTTTTCATGTGTTTTAATAAATATGACATAATTCTATGTGTCTCTGAAACCACACAATAACCTATTATCAAAGTGTATGTTTCTAAACATACGTCTGATCTTCATTTAAAGGACCCAATGCATGAATGTTATTAATATGATGAGAGAAATCTGTGATGAAAGAAAAGCAAAAAAATCAAGGGGAGAATCAAAGCCCACTGATAAAGAGAAAACAGCATTTATTGGGTTTACAACGGGATTACCTTCTCTTCCTGCAATTAACCAAACTAATGACAAACTCCATAACACGAGAGACAATCCAGGAGTCAGTCGGAATACAACCATAAACATAAGGATGGACCGTATTACTGACACAGGTATAGTTGAATTTCTGTAATATGTGATTAATACAAGATCATTGTGTACATGAATGGCCAGGAGAGCACCATTTATTTCCACCAAATGAATTATAGTAGCAACGTTTCAACCTTTGCTTGGTCTCCATCAAATTTAAACAGACTCTGGAAGAGCACTGATACACTGTTTCTCTTATTCATTTGGCAGAATAAAGGTATTTTACAGACAACACTTTGTTTAGAGCATCCCGGTGCAATAAAATGGGTGTGAGACAGATGTCTTAGGGCAACCGGGGTAAAAGTAATCCACACCTCCCAACAACTGGCGGTATGAGATAAAAACGGGGCAGGCAGGCTCTGAGAGAACATTACCAGTGATGCGTTTCGCGCCATAATGGCCAGACCCACCCTAACAAGCCAGACCCACCCATCGAAGGGACATGTCAACTTGACATCAAGCATAGCTGAATAATTGAATTTGAAAGACAAATGAACCATCAGTTCCCACACTCAAGGGTTTCAAGTAAATACATAAATAATTCTACAGAGAAGCACGTATGCAAAAATGTTCCCAGTTGATGCACACACATTTTTTCATCAGATTCATCAGTTTTACTTTACAGCATGACAATTCTCTACATAAATAAAATATACAATATAGGCAAATGTTTAAACCACCTTAAAATTATTCAAATATGCAAATTTATGTAATTGTTAATTAAAAAGCTTAGAAAGTGACTCGGTTATTAATGAAACTGTGAATTATTGAAAATTCAAACAGGTTTATTTGCTAAAGTGAGAATTCAAGGTGAATTTCACATTTAAGGTCAAAATTGCCAAATCTGGAAAAAGTCTATAATTCAGCTTTGTTTCCACATTGGCTACTCTGGGCTTCAAATTGAAATTCACCTAGAATTCACTCTGAATTCTCACTTTAGTAAATAAACCTAAAAAGGGAAATCAAAATGAATTCCAACATTTGCCCAACATTGCAGTACTGAAAACATAGAGAGCTTTAGAGAATTTTTCCAATATGTGAAATTTACTTTACATTTCGAGCAATTCTCACTCTAGTGAATAACTTTGCAAGTCATTCATCTTGAAGCATTAATATAATTGATATTTCCATTTACGTCAACCGGCACTCTTTATGTAGGAACCTTCACGAAGATGCCTACGTTTAGCATTAACTCTTTAGGCTCTCATTTTGAGAAAGTGAAATTGTCCCTAATACTTGTTTATTAAACCGCATAATACTAATTATAGATAACAAATATATGCAAAAAGTTAATGCAAAAATGTGTAAAATGTTTATTTCCATTAAATATAACCATGGGTGTACCATGAAAAAAGCTGACAATTCAACTCTACTTTAACTCTACCCATTTGTGGTGGGATCTCACTCAGCTTCATATATGGACATTTTAATGAGGGTTAATGGTAACTAGCTTTCATATTCTATGGGTGATCAACAATTAAATACAAACATATATTAAAACCCCTAAAGGTGTAGTGTAAAAAACATAACCACTTCATGATATTGTAATGTTATGGTGATAGTATGATGGGTGCCATTACATGGTTCGGGGTCAAAATCATTTTGAGTGATACAACCAGACCAGTAATATAGCAGATGGTTACTAGGCTGTGGGTGACTTGGAAACCTCAGTTTTGGTTAATGAATATAATTTATTTAGTGTATGTGTGCCGTAAAACGACTTCCATCTCATGCAATACTTCAGCAGAAAAATAAATCAACATTGTGCTCTTCAGAATCTCAAATGATATGTATTCTGTGGCACAAAGACTCCTGTAGAGCAAATAGCAATAAGGATGGAATACAGTCTGTAAATATCTTTACAATTTAGCAAAAAGATGGTTAGATGGAACAATCTAATCTTACTTGCTTACATGCTGACTTCATTGATACACTCCTCGTTCATTATATACCTCTGTAATTACAATTGTCCTCTCTTTTACAAACAAATGTGCCATTCCAACTATTGGCAGGTGGCCTGGTTGCTATAGTAACATGTTTATTGTAAACACTGTTTACCTAGGGAATGTCCAGCTATATTGAATACTATCTGAGGCCTACTGTTTAATTAACATATCAAAGAGTTAAAAGGTGCTTGTTTAACCCTTCACCATAGATACGCACAGTGACCTTTTCAGTTATATGCATATACACATATAAAATTAGACTCTTGACAAATTACTCTGGAGTTAAACTGCACAAAACATTTGACCCAGAATTGAGCTTGGCTCTCACTGACGTTTGCCAACACAATATTATGTAGTTGTTATGGTGCTTAGAGTATTGAAAATATTGCCTTTTGAGCTAAATTTCCTTATATCCAGAAAATATAGCATGCCACAAAACCACTCTGCAATACTTTAAGTCTTTAACTTTTGCATATATTTATTTTCTCCCGGTATACTTGCCTTTAAATCACGACATCTCATGTTTTATTTCACAACTGTTGTTTGCAAAATTCAATTATGTATAGGGGTGAATACTTCTTCTACTGGTTACTATGCTATAACCAGGCCGGGGGGGGGAGGACAGTAGGTCCCCCCCCCCCAATTTTTATTTATAGGCCCCCAGCCACCGCTCAGGGGTGGGGGCCGGGTAGGAGGACTTTAGGTCCCCCCAAATGTTTATTTAGGGCCCCCACCCACCACGCAGGGGTGGGGGCAGGGGGGAGGACAGTAGGTCCCCCCCCAGTTTTTATTTATGGCCCCCACCCACCGCTCAGGGGTGGGGCCAGGGGGGAGGACATTAGGTCCCCCCCAATTTTTATCTATGGCCTCCACCCACCATGCAGGGAGGACAGTAGCCCCCCCAATTTTTATTTATGGCCCCCACCCACCGCGCAGGGGTGGTGACCGGGAGGAGGACAATAGGTCATCCCCCCCCTTATTGGTATTTAGGGCCCGCACCCACCTCTCACGGGTGGGGGCCATGGGGGAAGACAGCAGGTCCCCCTTATTGTTATTTAGGGCCCCCACCCGCCGTGCAGGTGTGGGGCCAGGGGGAGGACAGTAGGTCCCCCCCAGTTTTTATTTATGGCCCCACCCACCGCTCAGGGTTGGGGGTCAGAGGGGGAGGACAATAAGTCCTCCCCCTTATTGATATTTAGGGCCCCAACCCACCGCTCAGGGGTGGGGGCTGGGGGTAGGACATTAGGTCCTCCCCCAAATTTTTATTTATGGCCCCCACCCACCGTGCAGGGGTGGGGGCCAGGGGAGAGGACAGTAAGTTCCCCCCTTTATTAAAATTTAGGGCCCCCACCCACCGTTCAGGGGTGGGGGCCGGGGGGACTACAATAGGTGTCCCCCCTTATTGGTATTTAGGGCCCCCATCCGCCGCTCATGTGTGGGACCTGGGGGAAGCAATAGGTCCTCCCCCTTATTGATATTTAGGGCCCCCACCCATTGCTCAGGGGTGAGGGCCGGGGGGAGGACATTAGGTCCCCCCCAATTTTTATTTATGGCCCCCACCCACCGTGCAGGGGTGGGGGCCAGGGGGGAGGACAGTAGGTCCCCCCTTTATTGATATTTAGGGCCCCCACCCACCGCTCAGGGGTGAGGGCTGGGGGGGGGGGTTTCTTTTTTTTAACAGTGAGCAGCCACAGGCTACTCACTGTTTAATAGACATGCCCTTACTAGCTGGGTCACATGCTGCACTGGCCAATCACAGCCATGCCATTAGTAGGCATGGCTGTGATGGCTTCTAAGGGCACACAAGTCAAACGCTTGTTGATTGGCTGCCCTGCAGCCTTTCAAAACACGTCATTAAATCGCCGAACTCCAACCTGAACATACAGTGATATGTCTGTGTTCGGGTCCGGGGTCCAAAAAACTTAATGTTCGGTACGAACCCAAACTTTTCAGTTCGGGTTCACTCAACTCTAGTTATTAACAATCTTGCATATTATAAAAGTGATCTAGTTAAAACATACACTGTTGGGCCTCTAGCACCATCTAGTGGTTTTACATGTTATATGAATACATTTGGGGGAAAAAGTGACTCAGAATGGTCTATATTAAATAGACAACTTGTCTTATTTTACAAATTGTATGCCTTGGTGGGGGTAAAGTGAAATTGGGGACTACTATTTTATCCCAAAAGTGGAAATATGAAAACTCAAACTGACATGTCTGTAAGTTGCCTATATATTCTCAAAAATCTGTATGGGTCTATATGGGGTGTATTAGCAGAATGCAAATATAGTGTCTTTACTGAAATGGGACACATATGGTCTGTTAAACAAATATGAATGCAAACTTTGGCCAGTGTTTGCGACTAAGTGGCTACTAGAAAAAAACTGGACATACCCCATTTGCAATACCTTGGGTTCTCTACTTTTGCAAATGGTAATACTCATTCCTGGGCTACCATACAGTCTAAAAGGCAACATAACCAGGTTGGTAAATTTTGTGTATAAACTGAAAAATTTAACATGCTATATTTTACCCTGTAACTTTTCATAACGCCATAAAACCTGTACATGCGGGGTACCATTGTACTCGTGTGGCAGTGCTGAATACAAATATGTGTATTTTATTGCAGTGAAAGTTAAAAGTATTATGACATTCACAATCAAAATGCCTCGCTGAGCTAAATAAATAACAACATTTCTTAATTTCTCACATTTTCAAATAAAATTTTGTTTCATATATGAATATTTGATGTGAAATAAAAGCCCTGTTTTTCCTGAACATAATGTTATATTATAAGTGTGGGTGCACTTCATATGAAAGAGGTGAATTTAAGTGGTGTTATAGAGACAGGTTCAGGCACCAAGTGTAGTGGTGCTATGGAGACAAGCTCAGGCACCAAGTGTAGTGGTGTTATGGAGACAGGCTCAGGCACTGAGGGTAGTGGTGTCATGGAGACAGGCTTAGGCACTGAGTGTAGTGGTGTTGAGGAGACATTCTCAGGCACCAAGTGTAGTGGTTATATGGAGACAGGCTTCAAGACTATGGTGAGGCCTAAAAGAAAGCAGTTGTTGTTGGGGAATTCTACCATAAGAGGTGTGGAGCTGGACAATAGTGGTCTTGTGAGATGCTCAGAGACAGGAGACATATTTGTAATATTGCTAAGTGAGCAAAGCAGGAAGGGGAATTGGATGTACTTGTCCATCTAGGGACAAATGACTTGGCTTCAATGAGGTTTAAGAGGTAAAGGAAGTTTTTTTGTGTTTTTGCCAATGATATATAGCAGGTAGCTTCCACACTGTCATTATCTGAAGTTCTGCCTGTGCGTAACAATCAGAACGACAGGTGGATGCGTATTAGGGACTTTAACTTGTGGCCAGTTAATGGTGTCGGGAGCAAGGATTTGGCTTCATTTCTCATGGTAGTTCTGTTTGGAATGGAAATAAACTGTACAAAAAAGATGGTTTGTTTTGCTGGGATGTATTTAAACTAGGAAGGGGGGGCAAAAGGGGGAAAATACATGAATCCAATTGCCCCCCAAAACAAGGACAGAAGGTGCCTGTAGCAAGTGTGTTAAATGATAAGCTTAGCGTCATGTCTACAAGTGCTCACAGTTTAGGGAATAAGATCCATGAACTTGTGGCAATAATTGCAACTGATAATGTAGATTTTGTCGCTGTTACTGAAACATGGTATAATGAGTAAAATGACAGGAACATATCAATACCAGGGCACTCTTTATAGAGAAAAGACAGGGAAGGCAAGAAAGGGGGAGACATGGCTCTGTATGTGAAGGATAGCATAAAATCTAGCCAAAAAATATAGTGAGGCAAACAGAGTCTGTTTGGGTTACGTTAGAATTTGGTAATCACACAGTAACTCATGTAGGTGTGATTTATAGGCCCCCAGTACAAATAGAATAGTTAGATAATCTACTAGTTGAGGAATTAGCTAAAATGACAATGACTTTAATCTTCCTGATGTGAACTGGAAAACCAAAATAGCTGCTTGCGCCAGGAGCACACATATTCTAAACTCCCTACTGGGATTGTCTCTAAAACAAGTCATTGAGCAGCTAACTCATAAATAGGTCATACTAGATTTTGTGTTAACAAATGGAGATTTGGCACTAGATATTAACTGTAGGTAAAAGTTTAGGATCCAGTGATCATCAGTCAGTGTGGTTTAATATAAGAACAGTGACGGAGTTACACCACACAAAAACAAAAGTGTTAGACTTTAGAAAAACAGACTTTTCTAAAATTAGAATATGTGTAAAGGAGTCATTATCAGACTGGAGCAATTTAAATGGAGTCCAAGAGAAATGGGATTATTTAAAAGTTGCACTGCTGAAGGCAACAGAAAATTGCATTAGGCTTGTCAGTAAAAGCAAAACATTTAGGAAAACACTGTGGTACTCCACAGATGTTGCCAAAATTGTAAAAAAACAAAAAGTTAGCATTTAGTAGTTATAAGGAAAACCAGAGTGAGGAAGATAGAGAGAGCTATAAGATTATTCAGAAAGAGGCTAAGCAAGTTATAAGAGCTTCCAAATCACACATAGTCAGTAAAAAAAGGGGACAATTTTTTAGATACATAAATGAGAAAGGGAAAGTAAAACAAGGATCAGTTAGATTAAAAACAAAAGGAAGGTATGTAGAAGGTATGTTGTGCCCATTCACAAGAAAGGTAGTAGGGAGGGTAACTATAGGCCAGTAAGCCTTAATTCAGTAGTGGGGAAAGTAATGGAAACCATGTTAAAGGATAGGATTGTTGAACATCTAAAATCACATTGATTTTAAGATCAGAGACAACATGGGTTTACTTCAGGGAGATCATGCCAAACTAATCTTACTGATTTTTTTGATTGGGTAACTAAAATAATAGATCAGGGTGGTGTAGTAGACATTGCTTACCTAGATTTCAGAAAGGCGTTTGACACTGTTGCACATAGAAGGCTTATCAATAAACTGCAATCTTAAAGTTTGGATTCCAATATTGTTCAATAGATAAGGCAGTGGCTGAATAACAGGCAACAGAGGGTTGAAGTCAATGGAGTATATTCGAAGCATGGTCTTGTCACCAGTGGGGTACCTCAGGGATCTGTACTTGGACCCATTCTCTTTAATGTTTTTATTAGTGATATTGCATAAGGTCTTGATGGTAAGGTATGTCTTTTTGCTGATGATACGAAGATATGTAACAGGGTTGATGTTCCAGGAGGGATAAGCCAAATGGCAAATGATTTAGGCAAAGTAGAAAAATGGTCAGAGTTGTGGCAGCTGACATTTAATGTGGATAAGTGCAAGATAATGCATCTTGGACGTAAAAACCCAAGGACAGAGTACAGAATATTTGATAGAGTCCTAACCTCAACATCTGAGGAAAGGGATTTAGGGGTGATTATTTCTGATGACTTAAAGGTAGGCAGACACTGTAATAGAGCAGCAAGAAAATGCTAGCAGAATGCTTGGTTGTATAGGGAGAGGTATAAGCAGTAGAAAGAGGGAAGTGCTCATGCCATTGTACAGAACACTGGTGAGACCTCGCTTGGAGTATTGTTCGCAGTACTGGAGACCATATCTCAGAAGGATATTGATACTTTAGAGAGAGTTCAGAGAAGGGCTACTAAACTAGTTCATGGATTGCAGGATAAAACTTACAAGGAAAGGTTAAAGGAACTTAACATGTATAGCTTGGAGGGAAGACGAGAGGGGGGGATATGATAGAAACATTTAAATACAGTAAAGGATGAGACTATATTTAAAATAACAAAAGCTACCACATCAAGAGGACATTAGAGCGGCAAAGAGTTAACAAAAATATCAGGAAGTATTACTTTACTGAGAGGGTAGTGTATGCATGGAATAGCCTTCCAGCTGAAGTGGTAGATGGTAACACAGTAAAGGAGTTTAAGCATGGGTGGGATAGGCATAAGGCTATCCTAACTATAAGATAAGGCCAGGGACTAATGAAAGTATTTAGAAAATTGGGCAGACTAGATGGGCCGAATGGTTCTTATCTGCCGCCACATTATATGTTTCTCTGAATTATGGTTTTACAGGCATATAGACAAATTCCAGGTTTTGATCTTGTCCTTAAGTGATACATTCCCAACAAAAATACAACATATGAAAAACACAAAGCAATTAAACGTAATGAGCAGATTTGTCAGAGAAAAAAAAGCAACAAAAAATAAATATAATCAGCAAATTATATTTATTTAAATATTTAAATTTAAAGCCCCAGTAATGGAGGAGTTAATTCCTTTTCTCAATTACATTTTAAACGAGGAAAAGACACTTGCAACCTTATTTACCTCTATTAATATAAAAAACAGCAAAAATGCATATACATGAAAACTCCCAAAATAGATTTTAACTCAACTAGCAACATAAAAATTTTGCAAATTTTTGACTTAGCAGCCAAAATAATACATTATAATATTAATATATAGGCTGAATTAAAGAGATACTATAATGCCAGGTATTCCTGGCACTATAGCTCCCTCTGCCTAAGCCTCCCTCGGACCCAACCAATTGGATTGAGTCAATGCTTTCCTATGGGGAAAAAACTGAAACTGTATGTCCTTTATAAATATTTTTAGCAGATAGACTTTATTGTTCTGAGTGTATTCATAAATATTAGCATTGTAAATTTAACAGAATAATTTTGTTTTGGGTGAGAAAATGACAGAAATACAGTGATATACAATAATTGTCTATTTTGTATTGTGCAGGTGACAAAAGGGTTATCTTTACCACAACCCAAATGGAGAAAATGGTGGAGAATGACCGTAGTTTCAAACAAGAAGTTCAATCATTTTTGAGAGAAAATGAGAAAACTAAACTAATGGGAAAGAAGATTATTAAAGAGATAAGAGATCAATTGTCTAAAAATGATATCATCCAGGAGAAATCAGAACCAGGAGAAGAGGAAGAAACCATAAATGTAGAAAATAAGGATGCTCCGAAAGCAGAAAACAACTTTGAACTGGACAGCAAATGGGAAAAGGAAGAAGAAAAATCCAGAGATTTTACACAAAATATAAAAAAAACCAAGGTTGAATTAGATGGTGAATTGGAAAAAGAAGAAGGAAGAACCAGAGAGCTTGTACTTGCTATAAAAGAAGAAAAGACACAAATAACAGAAAACTCTGATGCTGTACAAATAAAAAACAATGGATTAGACATTGAACAAGAATATCAAGAATTCCTGGAGAACAACCAAATGTCAGGTGGGAAGAAAATGCAGAAGAAAGAAAATAGTGAGTCTCCAAAGATTGAATATAAGAATGAATGGGGTAATGAACAGGAAGGTGGAAGGTTAGGAGACACAGAGAAGATAAACAAGTCAGAAAAGGACAAAATAATAAAAAAAAGATAATGAAAGTACTACAAACCAGAAAGGAACCAATATGAGTGTGTTAGAAAGTAATAATCTTGCAAATGTTAAATACAGTGATAAAAAAACAAATCTACAGTATCTTCAGATATAAGGATCTCAGAACCAGAACTAAAAGAGAATATTAATCAGAATGTTAGTAAGTATGAGAAAGATTATTATAAAAATGTTGACAGTCAAAAGCTACTCCTGGACTGAAGAAATGAGAAGATTTAAAAATCTAAACCTAATTAGAAAACTATTTTATCTATGAATGAAGCCAATGTAAAACCAATGGTTACAAAACTAAGTGACATGAAAAGGGGAGCACAGTGAGATCGCTAATCAAGCAAATTCAAAAAAGAAGTTTCGGAAGATGTCATAAACACGACTTTCAGTGAATAACAAAAGAAATGAGTAAATGCACTAACAAATGCGTCAGGGATCACTACTGAGATAACATTTGTGAGAATATCAAGGTAAAATGAACACTAGCTGGAACTAGTGAAATGGAATGCCAAGAAGATCTCACATCTCCATCTAGTTACATCAAATGTAACATGATGGCTTCAAGCACTTAAATGATAAATTATATTAAGCAATGTTGAAGCAGTGCTTTATATTTTTAAAACATTCCCCAGGTTGCTGGAGTACAGAAAATGCACTTGACAGAGCATCAAACTTAAAATATGCATATTTTCTGCATGGTGAATGGTTTTGCATTAAATGCAAATGAAAACACTATAATAAAAATATGGATCCACCATTGTTTCATTTTTAGATAATTTCTGATAAACTAGTGCACAGTGATTGTTCTTACACAGGCATGACAACACAAATTTTACTATATACACCTTACAGCTGGTTTATGTGACCATAACTTACGTTTGATTGAATAAATATGAGTTAATTTATTATTTTAAGTAAGAGAAAGTTTGGCAAACCCTAATATTCTCTGTTAGAGCAATAGTCACTAGAAGTGTGTTTGGGCCCCTAGAATGTAAACATTGCTGCATCTCCAAAAATGCAATGTTTTACATTACGGGACCAAAATGGCAGGGCCATTGCATCCAAATAATTTAATTGAGATGAAGTGGTCTGGGTGCTTATAGCGGTCCTTCAGCTACGTGCTCTCAGCCTGTAATTGCTGTCCAATGTTAAATGGCCTATTGCAGCAGGTGAGATACCTTTGATAAAGTGCTCCAAAAATGTATACCACAAACCAACGAGTTGATAGTTCCCAATGGACTTTTGCAAAATAACCACTATAATTTGCTGCAATGGTGACGGTTCTTATAGTGCCCCTTAAATCCATGTATCTATTAATTTGGTGTTCCTCTTGTAGTTCTAACCATTTATGAAATGTCAAAAAAAAAAATACTTGTACATGGAATCAAGATCTAGGATATGGAATATTCACAAGTAGATGTGACAGATAGTCTACCCCTCTCTAACACCTCTCCCCCCCCCCCAAAAGAAAAAAATCATAAAAAAATTGAAGGCCATGAAAACATTGTTTTTGTTTAGAGTGACCCTTTGTTTCCTGGTTCTTCTTTCAAAAAAAAGGGGAAAAAAGAATATAGGTACACCTCACCTTCCTTTCTAGCATTGAGGCCATGTTTTCCCTCAGCTCATTCCTCCTCCACTAACATTAATCCCTCGCTGAAGGGGCACAGATGTTAGGGAAGGCGGGCTAAGTAGACAACAAAGGTGATACGGTAGGAGTGTGCTGCCATTGGCTGTCTTTTGCCAGCACGCTATGCATGATGACGACAGACACCAAATATGTACATAATTTACTTTAGCCACTTGAAAAAGCCTACAAAAAGGCGAAACGCGTTATGGTTTTATATTGTCTTTTGTCTAATAAAGTATTTTTGGCTACCTTACCGTTTATTGAAAGCCATATAGTTTTGAGTTTTATATTTTTATTTACTACCTGGCATCTTATCTCTCTAATGATAGTGTGTTCTTAAGTGTTCAGTTAAATATATCCTTAAACATATTTACAATACTATAGCAGCCATTATGACTTTGCTGATGACTTTCTATACGAGCAAAATCTTTTAAAAATGTAGATTTTATTATATTTACTGTCAGAACTCATATATAAGTGAATATTGAATTATAGTTTGTAGCTGTGGCATAGTGATAAAGACTATCAATAGGGGTTCAGAAACACATACCCTATATTTTATATCACAACATTAAATCTGACTAAATTAATAAAATGAGTACCCTGTAAATATTGGTGACATCGGTGAAAGAGACACACTTTGTGAAAGGAAAATCTCCTTCACTGTTACACCCTGATATTTTATTAACCACGTGGATACCAAGGCCATTTACTCAAATGATTTTGTTGAGATGACCACAATGGCTCCATTTTAATGCTTTTTTTGAACATTGAATGGCATGAGACATGGATGCTCCTTATCCCTATTAGTATTTGTTTTAACACTCAAACCATTTATTGGCATTGATCATTAGTGAACATTCTAATGAAAATATATTAATTAACAGAAGAGCATAATCTAGCCACACATATGGACGATGTGCGCGTTCAAAACCCCCAATACATACATATGCTGTTTCAATGTAAACGTTAGATACTTAACCAAACACAAGCTATTGTTCTAGTAGTATTACAGGAGATGATTTTAAAATTAAAGTTGTAATTAATTACAATAACCTGTGGTTTGGTTTTTTACCTGTACCTGTGGTATTTACTACTTAGGGGGAACCTGGAGCCTGGTAAAAATCAGGATCATGAAATATCGACATAAAACAAACGGATAAACTATAATTCATGAAACATTCAGTCACTGTGCATTGTGATATCTGTTCATAATATTCTGGAAAGTATTTTTGGTGAACAAATATGGAACATATAACTGGTGGTTAGAGCAGTGGAGATTGTTCTAGTGTGAATGTTTTACGGTTCACAAACGTCAAACTATGGCCTCAATTAAAAAGTCAACAAGGCTTTTATAAGTTTGAATCAATTGAATTAAAGTCTTTTCGGGAACAGATAAAAAAATAAAAATAAAAATAACACTGCAAATAATATTGATATTTTAAAAATATCAAAAATTTATATTATCCTTAGTATAGAAAATAACGGATTTGGTGATTCAATGTAATTTGTCGAGAACATAATCTTCAATATTTGGCATTGAAATTATCGAAAGCAAAAAGCTTTTGATGAATCATTGTTTTTCCTAAATGCCCACTGGCAGCACTATCAGCCAGCAGGCAAGTAGTTTAAAAAAGCCACTGAGTCAATAGGTCAATATAAACCCTCCCATATGCCCACATGCTGCAAGTGGGAACATTTCCACTAAACAATTAGCAGCCACTGGTTGTTAACTGTAAATAAAGACTATTAATGACTCCCCCATGTGCCCACCCATGAGCATTAAGTGGGGGTTTAAATTTAAAGAAAGGGAGTGGACAGTGCTATTAATAAAAATAGCTGGCCATGCGTGAAGGGACTTTATTTTTAATAAACCGAGGGGAACCTAATGCCCCCTAAAATCACTAAACCACTTTTGCCAGCTAAAAGTCTAATTTTATTCATAAGTGTGGAAGGACCTAATGCCCCTCAATACTGATCTATAGGTGGCAGGTGGGAACTTTTTAATTTCAATCTTAAATGGGGGAATCTAATGTCCTTCCCAAAACCCTCTACTTATGGGTGATAGGTGGGACTAAAATTAATTAAGGGCAATATACACCCCCTCAAATGTCCACCACATCAGTGTTTTTTGGGGACCAAAGAAAATAAGTTTGAAAAAGAAAGAAGATGTCTTATGGTAAGTATGCACTGATTATCTAAAGCATTAAAACCATGTTCCTAATTTTGTGTATGTCCCTCTTGTGCTGCTGAAACAGCTCTGATGCATCAAGGCATGGACTTCACAAGACCTCTTAACATGTCCTGTGGTATCCGGTACTAAGACATTAGCAGCAGATCCTTTAGGTGCTGCAAGTTGCAAGGTGGGGCCTGGATGGATCATATTTGTTGTTCCAGCCCATCCCACAGATGCTAAATTTTGAGGTAAAACCAACACCTTAAGCTTTTTGTCATGTTCCTCAAGCCATTCCTATTCCTCTCCTTGAGTACCGCAAGATGTACTCAGCCATCTCATTGCTGCCACCAAATGTGATAGAGCTCCTGTACTCTGACTGAGTACCTCCACTGGGTCAGCTTCCTCACTGCTACCAGGAAATTCTGGAGCACTTTAGATTCTGAAGCATGTCAGACCCACTCACCAAAGCTTGACTGGGGCCTCCGAGCTGGACCAGCTTTTCCACTGGACCAGGCTGCAGCAATTATAGCCCTTTTACTTCAGGAGACCTTATCTCCTGTAAAGCAGTGTTTATAGTTTTCCCTTAGACATTAGTCGAGACTGAATGTAGAGAGTAGAAGAAATCTTTATTATACACAACACTACTATAACATGCTATTTATACAGATAAATGTGTGTACCTCCCCAGCGTCACTCTGTCTGGGGTCTTAATTGCATAATCCTGAGCAAACACAATCAGCTCCCTGCTGTGACCTAAAGACATACAAAGATATACAAACTATCTCCCAGCATATTCCTGGACAGCACCCCCACACATTAAATGTCTCTAATTAGCTCATCACCAGGCACCCTAAGAGACCAAGTAGCGCACTTATGTAGAATCCACGCTATTTGAGGTACAGTATTAGTTTTACAGAGTCACAGCTATTATATGAGTAGTCCCAGGGGTCCGGCTGTCTCACAGAAGGGGTTCCTCAACAGAACACTCACAAATCCCAGGTACCATCTGGTGCCCCATTGCCTCCATGTCCTACCCTCCAAATAGAGCTCTGTTTGGTGGTCGGGGGACCGAGCGATACCTGATTCACCATATCGTGGCACAGATTTTTGACAGTGGATGCTGGGAGAAGACTAGAGACACATAGAGGGGCTGGGGGGAGAGGCAAAGGGCCACAGAAGGGCGAGAAAGGGGAAAATAGACACACAAAGGGGCTGGAAGTAAGTAAGTGACACACAAAGGATGGGGTGTAAGGGACTAAAAGAGAGTGTTTGACAAAAAGGGAAGAGTACGAAAAACAAAAGGTGTAAGAATTTGAAAGGGGAGATTAAGGGACACACAGGTGAAGATGCATTTTTTTGGAGGGAAGGGGGTTGACTTCACCTGTCTAGTCAACAATCCGTGCTCCGGCCCTGTCCAGGGGTGCAATATAGGTGAGTTATACTTTCCTGATTTGTACCCATTGGGTGTCAGCTTCTTTAATGTTTAGTTGCTGGCATTTTATCATCCAGAAGCACACGCCATTGCTGAGCTCTCGCACATATGCGAGAGTATAATACAGATGTCTGTGGAAGATCCCGCAAGACAGTGGGACCCTCCATAGAAACTGTCCTACGATGGGTGTGAAAGCAGTAACTCTACTTTTTGCCACATTTTGTCAGTTTAATATTTGACCATAAGACAAAGTAGTCTTATTATTTGTTTTGTCTGTGTTTGAATTTCAGTGAAATTCCAAAACAGACTTTAGGAGTATTTCATAAAGAATGTCTCTTTTAGAAAAGCAAAAAATTATTATTTTGATCTTTCTTTTGAGTGACAGATACTCTTTAAACACCTACACAAACAGGTTAGGCCACTCATTTACCCTTAACAATTATATTATACCTCCCAACATACTTTAAAATATCAAACTGTGGACAAGATGTGTGACAACAACAGTGATACTGGTATGTTGTATTTCTTTTATATATTATATTTCTTATGTATAGTATAGTTTAGGGGTAATTAATTTATTAACTTTTTGTGTTCTATATAATTTAAAATACACATATTGCTGTTGAATGCAATTTATTAAAAGTAGAGGGAAACATAAAAAGAAAGAAAACTAAATAATACCCCTGTCTCTACCGAATATAAATGCCACTTGTCACACATTTTAAAGTACCATACATTTTTTGTTTTATTTGTAATATCTCACTTTTAAGTCTTTGTACAATGGCCTAATTAAATGAATTACAGAAGTAAACAAACTGAATTAATATATATTATGTATAGCGGAGCCCCAATACCCCTCGAGCTGGAAGAAAGCGCTGAATTGTGTTTATAGCCCTTATTCCCCATACATCAGACAACACTTGATGTTGGGATAATAATGACAACCTTTATTGGGGACATTGCAATATTTTATACACAGATCCCCTGGCATCTGTGTGTCTGAGAGAAGATTTAGTTATCCGTCGCTTAAACTAATTATCTTCCTGACACAGACAAGCCCAACAGACAAGCCCAACGTACAATAACCTCAAAACATAATTAAAACAACCCCACATACTCCCAGAAAGGTCTGATCTGAGCGCCCATTCTGGCATAAGAGCGCTCAGATCCATAAGAAGTAGACAAAATGTCTTTGTGGTATAGACTTGGCCAGTCATTTTCATGGTCAAAACTATTTCCAGACGTTTAGTGCAATATGCCGGTCTTTTACTGGGAGCTCTGGTGTACTGAAAAAGGAGGGCTACTCCTGGCTCTCAGGTAGCAATTGTTTGGAGAGGTCCCCTGTACCTCTCCTCCAATAGTGCTCTCGTATCTTTCTGGGAAGGTGTTGTAAGCAGCAGGTAAACTTTACCAGAATATGGTTGTGATTGCGGCCAGGTCAGAGTTTTTCATAAATTTATTACAAGTCACGCAGCAAGCAGTGTGGTAGGTCCAGCTGGCAGGAGACATTCCTGAGTACGCTGGGGAAGGGCGCTTTGCTGAGCTATAAGGAGGGGAAGCTAAAGAGAAGGGAAGTGAAAATAGTCTTTTGGAGTTAAATAAGGTGTAAGGCAGTGCTGCCACTTTAAGAAACTTCTTAGAAGTTTTAAAATTACTCCTATTCATATAAATTGTCTAATTTGCAAAGTGAATTATGATGTGCATTGCTGGTAAATCTGCCATCTGGCAAATATATTGTATATGGATAATTCTACAGAGTTACATGATAATGTGCTGCCCTGATCTCCTGATAGTACATTTAGATTTTGTCTTAGTCCAACATTCCAATCTAGAAAATTTACTTATAATAACAAATTCTAGACTGTCCTAATATGAAGGGACATGTAAGAACTGTCTGAAATCAGAATGAAAAATTACTGGAAAGCACTTCAGCTTATTTGTATTACTACCATATGTCTGACAGTTTATAAAAGTGCACAAGTTTGCATAGAAATAGGCATTTTTACAACTGAGAGCAGAAACACCTCCCTGGCTGCCATTTAGACAGTCCGAAATGATTACTTCCGGTTCCAATGGAATTTCTTCTATTTCAGAGAGGTTTTCTTCCACTTCCATAATTTAAAGAGGGCTAATGGAAGTGGCAAGCATACTAGGCTAGAGAATGCCAGCCTTCCCCCTTCTCAATAAGCTCTACTACAGCTCACTGAGAAGTCTAGAAAAGCCGTGATCGCAGACGCACATGCACTTACAGCTCCAGACGAGAGACTTCTCAATTCTCTGTGAGATTTGTGCACACTGAAAGTCTGTGTTGGGGAAAGAGGATATGGCATACAAAGGCTGCACACAGTTGGTCTGCAGCTTTTGCAAGCTGTTTTCCTACGACTAAATTGTTTTAAAAAAATATAATACAATTTTTAGTGGAGTCTCCCTTTAAATGTAGCGACTAATTCATTTTGCAAAACAATTGGTTTTCAAAGGCATTTTAATTTGCTAAATTGTAACACAATATGTTACAGAATATATAATAGTAATAATGATAGCAATTGTTAATGGTATTCTTTTGAAATGCAGAATAAATTAAAGTGGTTCATGGTTCCCTTTCAACACGGTCTGTATGATAACAATATTCTCCACGTTTATTTACTGAAAACAACATATCTGCTAAAATTTTAGGAATGCTCTTTTCACGTCTGCAATATAAAAGAGTAGCTTGTTTGGTTTACGAATAGAAAATCCCAGCATAGCATTTATTTGAAACACAGGATGCAATCATATAAATACCATTTTCTCACATTCATGTATAATAATTTTTTAGTTAGAAGTGTGTACATTTTGTGATTATTGCATGTATTCCTCAGTAAATCATAAAATGACATATGGTTTTGTGTTCAACTCTTTATCATGTGTGGAGTAAATGTCTAAAAGTAAGACACCACAACCAAATAGATATTATTGGACAAAACAAGTTAAGCCTTTGACACAAGAAGATATGCTGATTATCGGTGCATATTTCATTTTCATGTTTGATTTAAAGAACATTTTATCTGAAAGGCCCAGAGAGGCAAAGGAAACTGACATGTCCTGTCACAGTTTACTGTACAGATGAAGAAGTGCTAGGATCACCAAGCCAAACTATTATCCTGAAAATGGTTACTATACAAATGAAGGAGTGCTGAGATAACAAGACAAACTACTGACACAGCTAAGAAGGAGGTTAAAGTAACAGCAAGACGCAGGAATTTGTGTCATTTCAAGCTGGTCACAGAATGAGTTTCCCCTACACTCATGAACTTGCATGTGTCATTAAACCTACAAACATCAGGCTTTGTAATGGATTGGCAAGGACAATATTCAAGGAGAGATCATTCTAAAATCACAGCTATCAAGCACACAGATCAATCATTGAGTCATGGACTCCGAGTCTTCAGATTCCAGTCCCAGGCGAAACTAAACATCATATTGTGTCATAAATAGAGTTGAGCGGACACCTGGATGTTCGGGTCCGGCGGGTTCGGCCGAACTTTGAAAAAAAGTCCGGGTTCGGGCTCGAACTTGACCCCAAATTTGACCCCGAAACCCCATTGAAGTCAAAGGGGACCCGAACTTTTGGCCACAAAAATGGCTCTAAAAAACTCCTGGGAAGGGCTAGAGGGCTGGAAAAGGAAGTAAAATGTGGGTAAGAGTAGGACAAGTGACCTGCAAACAAATGTGGATAGGGAAATAACTTAAAAATAACATTAAATAAGCTGCCGATTAGTAGATAACTACTTAGGAGCTATCTACCAAAAGGCTGAAGGACTTAAATTGGTTTTTCAGCCACATTTACTAATACTAAGTAAAGATTACTTAGTATTAGTAAATTCAGCCCCTACTCACTATACCGTGAGTAGGGACGTGTCTAGTAAACAGTGAGCAGCCAGTGGCTGCTCACTGTAAAAAAAAAAACTATTGCCCCCACCCTGAACGGTGGGTGGGGGACATAAATAAAAATTGTGGGGGCCCTAAATAACAATAAGGGGGGGATCTACTGTCCTCCCCCCCACGGCCCCAACCCCTGAGCAGTGGGTGGGGGCCCTAAATAACAATAGGGGGGTACCTAATGTCCTCCCCCGGCCCCCACCCCTGCGTGGCGAGTGGTGCCCTAAATAACAATAAGGGGGGACCTACTGTCCTCCGCCCGGCCCCCACCCCTGAGCGGTGGGTGGGGGCCATAAACAAAAATCCCCCCCAGGTGACTAGGGGTCCCCAAACCCCTAGTCACCCCCTCCCCCCAAAAAAATAACCCCTACCTACCCTCCTCATCCTAAAATAATTGAGGGGGGCCCTTGTCTGAATACATGTAAAAAAAAAAAAATAGACTTACCATTTGATGTCTTCTTTCTTCTAATCTTTTTTTCAGCCCCAAAAAAGGCCAAATAAAAATCCAGAATAACCAACGGACTTTAAAAAAAAAAATAATCCTTCTTCACCCATGGAGGGCTCTGCGCAGACTGAGCTCTGCAGGGCGGGGGAAGGCTTATAAAGCAATTAGGCTCAGAGCACTCTGATGGTTGGGTTTAAGCCATCCAATCAGAGTGCTCTGACAGGTAAATAAAGAGACTGACAGGTAAGTCTCTACATTTACCTGTCACAGCACTCTGATCGGTTGGCTTGAAATCCACCAAACAGAGTGCTTGTGTCATTTTACACAGCGTGGGAAAGTTCTTTGGAATTTTCCCACGCTGTGTAAAATGACACAGAGCACTCTGATTGGTGGATTAAGTAACCAATCAGAATGTTATGAGTCAAATTACACAGCGTGGGAAAATTCCAAAGAACTTTCCTACGATGTGTAAAATGACACAGAGCACTCTGATTGGCTGAATTTCAAGCTAACCAATCAGAGTGCTCTGTGTCATTTTACACAGCGTGGGAAAGTTCTTTGGAATTTTCCCACACTGTGTAAAATGACACAGAGCACTCTGATTGGTGGATTAAGTAACCAATCAGAGTGTTATGAGTCAAATTACACAGCGTGGGGAAATTCCAAAGAACTTTCCCACACTGTGTAAAATGACACAGAGCACTCCGATTGGTGGATTTCAAGCCAACCAATCAGAGTGCTGTGACAGGTAAATGCAGAGACTTACCTGTCAGTCTCTTTATAGACCTGTCAGAGCACTCTGATTGGATGGCTTAAACCCACCAATCAGAGTGCTCTGAGCCTAATTGCAGGGTGGGGCAAGGCTTTATAAGCCTTCCCCCGCAGTGCAGAACTCAGTCTGCACAGAGCCCTCCATGGGTGAAGGATTTTTTTTTTTTTTTTTTTTTAAAGTGCGTCGGTTATTCTGAATTTTTATCTGGCCTTTTTGCGGGCTGAAAAAAGAAAGATTTTAGAAGAAAGAAGACATCAAATGGTAAGTATATATATTTTTTTTACAGGTATTTAGACAAGGGTCCCTTCTCATTATTTTTAGGATGAGGGGGGTAGGTAGGGGTAATGTTTTTGGGGGGAGACTAGGGGTTTGGGGACCCCTAGTCATCTGGGGGGGGGGATTTTTATTTACGGCCCCCACCGACCGCTCAGGGGTTGGGGCCAGAGGGGGGAGGACAGTAAGTCCCCCCCTTATTGTTATTTAGGGCCCCCACATTAGGTCCGTCCCCCAATTTTTATTTATGGCCCCCACCGCTCAGAGCTGGGGGCGGGGGGGAGGACAGTAGGTCCCCCACCTTATTGTTATTTAGGGCCCCCACCCACCGCTCAGGGGTGGGGGCCGGGGGGAGCATAACAGGCTGCTCACTGTTTAATAGACACGCCCCTACTCGCGGTATAGCGAGTAGGGGCATAATTTACTAATACTAAGTGACCAGCTTCTATAGAGGCTGTGTCACATGCTGCACTGGCCAATCACAGCCATGCCATTAGTAGGCATGGCTGTGATATCTTCTAAGGGCACACGAGTCAAATGCTTGTTGATTGGTTTCCCTGCGGCCTTTCAAAGCGTGTCATTAAATCGCCGAACTCCAACCCGAACCTATAGTGATATGTCGGTGTTCGGGTCCGGGATCCAAAAAACTTAATGTTCGTTATGAACCTGAACTTTTCAGTTCGGGTTCACTCAACTCTCATAATAAACTAGTGATAATTACTGTATGGGGTTGATTGTGTCTAGATTTTACCTTACTTCACACGAACACATTACCATAGAATATTAATGAACAACTACCAGGGTTCTTACCAACCCACTAGGGCAGTGGTTAATTTAAAAATGGAACAACTGAAAACAATAGAAATTGGGGGAATGTGGGGTGATGCAACCCGTATTTGACCATATTCTTTCTCTCACTCACTATAATTATTTTTAAATGTGCTCAACATAAGAGAAGAAAAAGTGAGGGAATGTGGGGACATTCTTTCATCAAACTAATATAGTGACCAGGGGTCATGTATTTTTTTCTTACAGGGGGATAAGCTTTACTCTTTGGTATGGTAATTAGGTAATTCAATACCTTTACAAGTCAGGAAAGCACTTCCCCCCTATTGCTATTCCTCACTGTTCCTGCTTGGCTGTGCTACTGAGCAGACATGTGAGCAGACATGGGCTAATTTTTATCATGGTGAACTGTGAGTAGGATCTGGTGACTTTATAAGATTTTGTTGTTACTGTTAGTTAGTTAGATTGCTGTTGTTGTTGTTGTTGGTATAGTTAGTTAGATTGTGTGTCATTATTTGTATGTTGTCTCTGAATAAATATTTGTTAAATTAGACGGACCAGAATTTATGTGTCTATGCAGACACAGAGTTTAGCAATATACCACAATCGGGGCCCTAAATGAAAATGGGCGGGGGGGCTATTGTCCTCCCCCCTGTCCCCACCCATGGGTGACGGGTGGGGTTTGTTACAACATGCCTTTTGTAACTGTTCCTTTTAAAGGACAAATTTCCCTGCTCCCCTGGACTATGGAGGAGCCTATTTGCCAGCCTCCTCCCCCATGACTATGGACCGGGTGTGTATGGTCCTTTAAGACAGTCGGTGGGTATATTGGGGCTTATGGACTTTTTATCGGACTGGTGCCCTTTAAGCACCTTTTTGGGACATAGAGAAAATTGGGACAATGCCCCTTTAAGACGGTGTCACCAGACTTGTTTGGGACACTGCCTCTGTAAGCATGTGTCCCCAGTGTCCCCAGACCTGGTTAAAACCCTTTGTTCCTGGCTATTTCCCACTTGGTTTAGTAAATGGGGCTGACTGAACCAAGTACCACACAGGTGGACCACCAAGAAGTGGAAGTGTGCAGGCAATTTACCTCCCAGGTTGGGAGCCTGCTGTAGGTAAATTGCCGAACGCTGGGTGGCCACTGTTCGCGCAAACGAACATGTGGCGGTTCCATCTTTGTTCATTCAAATACGGTCAGCGGTGTGTGCAGCCAAATTCATGGAACTAAAATCGGCTGCACATTTCCGCGAACACTGCTGACCTGTACCTTCTCCCATACTGAACTTTCAGCCGCAGAGACTAAGTCCCGATGGGAAATAGACCAACCGCACAGCCCAAATCTATGGAACTGTTTTGGGCATGAAAATGTGCTTGCGGTCAGTCATTAAGGATTTCCGTCTAACTTTTTATCCACTGGAGGGATTTGTGTGATTTTCAGTTATGTTTATATTTAAAGTGTGCTGATTCTGAATATGTAATTATGAAGATTGGATGTATGGTTTTAAAGTTATAGTACATGTATAAAAACTGTATTTTTCCTGCCTGTGATAATTATGTTAAACCATTGTGTGCCATAATTAGATCACAGGCAGAGGGGAGGATTTTGTGTGTAATTGCTGGGAGTGTTTTCTGTAATGTACGTGTGTTATTGGTTGTTCTGTTAAACCCTGTGGGTGGTCCTATGTAAGGAAAACCTGCATAAAAGAAGGCCCTTTGGTGCCAAATAAATGAGAATGACTTGACCCTCTAACTTGCAGCCTTGACTCATGTTTGCAGGGGACAGCTGTAATCACTACAGGGATTGCTATGCTCTTCATACTCCCTTAGCTACTGAGCTCTTGTAAGAGCTCTTGTTCCTGATCCTGCTTCGCCCTACAGAAGGAAGAGGTTCACCTACTGGAACCTGGAGCCTGGTCGTAGGTCCAGGGTGAATAGCAGACGGCGAGATCCTAGCCCAGCAGCGGCGGTTCGTGGAGTCTGCAGTAGTTATGGTGTCTACGTTGCTAATGGTCCTTTTGTGAGCCCTTGGAGCATCTTTTCTACGGTCCAACTTCCAGCCAGCAACCGTAACAGGGGCTAAGTCTACAAATACACTCACCCTCCCCGGTGACTAGGGTACCCAAATAAAATTAAATCAATCCCTACTTACCCCCCTCACCCTAAAGCTAATGACGGGGGAGACAATAAAACTAAATACCTGAGAAAAAAAAATCTGACTTCTTTCTTCAGCCCCAAAAAAGGCCAAATAAAAAAAACCATAATACCCGTCAAACTTATCAACTAAAAAAATAGCCCCAAAAAAACTGCTGGAAAATAAAAACCCAGACGCTAAAAATGAATCCATCTTCACCCGGCGAGGGCACGGCGCAGACTGAGCTCCATAGGGCGGGGAAAGGCTTATAAAGGCTTCCCACGCCCTTCACTTTGACTCAAAGCACTCTGATTGGTTGGTTTGGAATCCAACCAAAGTGCTAGTCATTTTTCACAGCGTGGGAAAATTCTTTGGGATTTTCCCACGCTATGTAAAATAACTCAGAGCACTCTGATTGGTTGGCTTGGAATGCTCAGGGGTGGGGGCTGGGGGGAGGACAATAGGTCCCCCCTTTATTGTTATTGATGGCCCCCACCCGCAGCTCAGTCGTGGGGGCCAGGGGGAGGACAATAGGTCCCCGCTCCATTTTCATTTAGGGCCCCCACCCGCCGGTCATGGGTGGGGGCGGGGGGAGGATAATAGGTGCCCCCTCCGATTTTTATTTAGGGCCCCCACCCGCCGCTCATGGGTGGGGACTGGGGGGGGAGGACAATAGGTCCCCCCTTATTGTTATTAAGAGCCCCATCCACCGCTCAGTGGTGGGGGCCTGGCGAAGGACAATAGCTCCCCCCCATTTTCATTTAGGGCCATACCCGCTGCTCATGGGTGGGGGCCAGGGAGGAGGACAATAGGTCCCCCCCTTATTGTTATTTAGGGTCTCCACCCGCCGCTCAGGGGTGGGGGCGAAGGGGAGGACAATAGGTCCACCTCGCATTTTCATTTAGGGCCCCCACCCGCTGCTCATGGGTGGGGCTGGGGGGAGGACAATAGGTCCCCCCCTTATTGTTATTTAGTGTCCCCACCCACCGCTCAGGGGTGGGGGCCAGGGGGAGGACAATAGGTTCCCCCTCTTATTGTTATTTAGGGCCCCTATCCGCCGCTAAGGGGTGGGGGCCAGGACAATAGGTCCCCCTATTTTAATTTAGGATTCCCACCCGCCGCTCATGGGTGTTGGCCGGGGGGAGGACAATAGGTCCCCCCCATTTTAATTTAGGATTCCCACCTGCCGCTCATGGGTGTTGGCCTGGGGGAGGACAATAGGTCCCTCCCATTTTCATTTAGGGGGCCCCCCGACTGAATATAGGTGGGGCTGGGGGGAGAACAATAGGTCCCCCAATTTTCATTTAGGGCCCCCACCCGCCGCTCATGGGTGGGGGCCAAGGGGGACCCTATGTCCTCCATTTAGTTGCCTAGCCCCCACTCGCGGGCCACGGGTCGGGGCTCGGGGGGGACACTATGTCAACACTGTTAGTTAATATATGCCCCACCATGGGGTCATTTTTTAGAAGAGGGGGGCTTTTTTTTACAACAGTGAGCAGCCGTAGGTATAGCGAGTAGGGGCATTTGGGAGCTTTCAATCTTCCTTATGCTATTATGGGGGTCATATTGATCCCCATAGAGTCAGGGAGGACATGGGGGGTTTAGGAAGTGGTGGGGAGCACTGCTCCTTGCCGCTTCTATATTTGCATTTTACAAGGAGGGAGCTGTGAGCTGGTAGCTCCCTCCTTGTAATAAACTGAACAAACGAACAAACAAACACCGATATTCAGTGTTTGTTGTTTTGTCTGACATTTCTATTCATTCGTCTTTCTGACGAATGAATGGTCAAAATTCCCGTCCGAATGCCGAACTTGGCATGCGTGGGAATTTCACAACGCTATCTAGTGTGGGCAGATGACGTGTCTCACAGGGACTTCATCTACCCACACAAAGATGGCGGTGCCCAGGACCTAGGTCCGGGCAGAAAATAAAGTTTAAAAGCTAGGTAATATGGGGTGCTTAGGGGCATTTAGGGGAGACTAGGGGGTCAATTAGATGTAGTGGAGTCGGGAGGGGGGGTTAAAAAAAAATGGAATTCGCACATGACAGTACCACTTTAAAAAGTTTGGCCATTTTCTGCATACAGCCAACTGCACAAGCAAAATATCTACTGTATATGACAAGTCTAAGGCAACCACAACATATCTCTCTTCCTTGTCAGTCCTGTATATAACCTGCAGAAGTAGAGTAGAGTTCATAACAAAAAGGAAAGAGAAGAGTCTGTCCCTACTACCCATATAAGGTACACACAAACAGTTAAAAATCTCAAAGACACTTTATTGTTACATGGAGAACATAAATCTATAGAAAAATGATGGCTACCTGACTAAACAAGTGTCAATTATGGCAGTCAAAGCAAGGAGCACACACAAAAAAAAGAGGAAATCAAATAAAATAATATAATGGATAGAGTTTACACATCACATAAAAGAATAAATATATGATAGTGTCAGTAAATCCAAAATAGGATACAGTACAAGAGAATGCCACTGAGTGAGGCTGGCAATTACGTTCAATTACTAATATATTTGTGTCAAAAAAATGTAATAGAATGCCCAGTGTCAATCTAATGTAACTACAAGGGATATTACTGCCTTCTATGTCAATTGCATTATGTATCCAAAAATAAGATACAATTGAAAGAGTCCCTTCAGTGTATTAATATCGATATATGAGGCAAAAGGATACACTACAAAGTATCAATGCAGTTCAACCACAGGAGATTCTCCTATAATAAAATATAAACTCTATCTATAGTGAACTTAATGAATAGACTTGTGCAATAGTAATCTCGTCAAAAGTTCTAATATAAAAATGAGAGCAGATATAACAGCATGCTAAATTAGTATTGATCACTAGTAAATTTAATCAATAAAAAAATAGGAAGGACAACGTTGTTTGATATATGTATAATCCTATGGAAAAATTTGATATCTAATAATGAGGAATCAAGTAGGAATAGTGCCTTCAAGGATACATAATGCAATTGACATCGAAGGCAGTAATATCCCTTGTAGTTACATTAGATTGACACTGGGCATTCTATTACATTTTTTTGACACAAATATATTAGTAATTGAACGTAATTGCCAGCCTCACTCAGTGGGATTCTCTTGTACTGTATCCTATTTTGGATTTACTGACACTATCATATATTCATTCTTTTATGTGATGTGTAAACTCTATCCATTATATTATTTTATTTTATTTGCTCTTTTTTTGTGTGTGTGCTTCTATTATTACTGTTTTATTTTGTTGCATATTACTTTTTGATTTGATGCCCTGCAAGTAACTTTACAGCATGTCAGCTCTTATAGATCTGTAGAGGGTGGGATAATAAGAGAAAAATGTGTAAGATGAGGAGTGGGCAATTCCTGTCTGTACTGCCAATTCTGAGAGAGAAGGAGCTACCCATTAGTTGATGCTGCCATGAGATGACCACAAGAACACAATATTACTTACAAAATACCATGGTTGCTCATTTGCAAAAAACTTGCACAACCAGTAGGAAGCATGTATTGCTATTCAGCCTTAAACATCTAAACAAACAGGTTAGGCCACTCCTTTACAATGATATTACACCTTCCAATATACTTTAAAATATCAGACGGTGGACAAGGAGCAGGGCTACAAGAGTGTTAATGGTACGTTCTATTTCCATGTATGAATAGTATAGTTTAGGTGTAAATTATTTCATTTTCATAATTTATCCAAACTGAAATATATATTATACTGCTAAACTCAATATTTTAAATTTAAAAAAGTAAAAGAATAAAAAAAAAAAACAGAATACACTGTTCGACACATATAAATGCAACATGCCAATTCAATGTGCGATAAAGTTTGTTTATCTAAATTTTAAAACCTCACTTATTATCATTATTATTATTATTACCGTTTATATAGCGCCAACAGATTCCGTAGCGCTTTACAATATTAGAAAAAGGGGAGATTTAACCATAAATAAGACAATTACAACAAACTTACAGGAACGATATGTTGAAAAGGACCCTGCTCAAACGAGCTTATAGTCTATAGGAGGAGGGGTATAAAATAAAATACAATAAGACAGAAGATTGCAATCAAAAAGGGTGGGAGTGAAGCAGAGCTGGAGGAGAGCTGGAGAATAGAGTGCTGCTCTTTAGGAGAGAGTAAGGGACAGGTATGTGAGGTAAAGGTTACTCTGGGATGCCATGAACCTTCCTGAGGAGATGGGTTTTAAGGACTTTTTAAAAGACTGAAGACTGTGGGAGGGTCGGATGATGGTAGGCAGGCTATTCCATAGGAATGGAGCCACCTGCAAGAAGTCATGCAAGCGTGAGTTGGCGGTATGGGTGTGAACAGCGAACAGGAGAAGGTCAAAGGCAGAGCGGAGAGGCTGAAAAGGGGCATAACTATGAATCAGTGAAGAGATGTAGGAGGGGCTAGAATTGTTCAATGCTTTATAGGTATGGATTAGTATTTTTAATTGACTCCTATATGATACAGGAAGCCAATGTAAGGAATGACAGAGGGCATGGGCGATTTATGATGAGCATGAAACAACACTGCAATACCGGTGCCAGTAGGTGGCGCTGTGTGTGGAGAGAGGCAGGGATAGGAAACTACATCTTATCCCTGCTTCTCTCGCCTGACTGAAACCGCAGGGGAGCAGCACATGCAGCCAGCAACTTCCAGACTGCAGAGACAGCCTACAGATCAGGTAAGTGAGGGATGGGGGTCAGCATACAGATCAGGCAAGTGGGGCACAAAGGTACAGAACATGTAAGGGGGCATGGGGGGGCAGCCTACAGCTTAGGTAAGGAGCAGGAAGGGGCAGCAAGGGGCACAAAGGTACAGAACATGTAAGGGGGCATGGGGGGGCAGTCTACAGATTAGGTAAGTGAGGGATGGGGGGTTATTATAATAATAATAACAGGAAGGGTCAGCAAGAAGCAGGAAGGTAAAGTAGGAGAAGGAGCAGAAATGAGCAGGAAGGGGCAGTAAGGTGTATGAAGGGACAGCAAGGAGTAGGAAGGGTCTGCAAACAGCAGGAGGGGTCTACAAGGAGCATGAAGGGGCAGCAAGGAGCAGAAAAAGTCAGCAAGGAGCAGGAAGGGGCTGTGAGGAGCAGGAAGTGGCAGCAAGAGTCAGCAAAGAGCAGAAAGGGTCAGCAAAGAGCAGGAAGGAGCAGCAAGGAGCACAAAAGGAAAAGTAGGAGTAGGAGCGGAATGGGCCAGCAAGGAGCTGTAAAGGGCAGCAAGGAGCAGAAAGGGGCATCAAGGAGCTGGAAGGGGCAGAAGGAGCCCAAAGGTAAAATGGGTGAAGGAGCAGAAAGGAACAGAAATTAGCAGGAAGGGGCAGCAAGGAGCAGGAAGTGGCAGGAAAGAGCAGGAAGGGGCAGGTAGGAGCAGGAAGGGTCTGCAAGCAGCAGGAAGGGTCAGCAATCAGCAGAAAGGGGCAGGAAGGGTCTGCAATGAGCAGATAGAGTCAGCAAGGAGCAGGAGGGGACAGAAGGAGCACAAAGGTAAAGGAGCATAACGAATCAGAAGGAGCCCAAAGGTAAAGTAGGAGAAGAACCAGAAAATGGCAGCAAAGAGCAGAAAGTGTCAGCAAGGAGCAGGAAAGGGGCTGGAAGGGACAGAAGGAGCACAAAGGTAAAGGAGCATAACGAATCAGAAGGAGCACAAAGGTAAAGTAGGAGAAGGAGCAGAAAGGGGCAGAAGGAGCGCAAAGGTAAAGTAGGAGAAAGTGCAGATAGGACTACAAATGAGCAGGAAGGGGCAGCAAGAAGCAGGAAGGGGCAGCAAGGAGTCGGAAGGGTCAGCAAGGAGCAGTAAGCGGCTGCAAGGAGCAGGAGGGGGCTGCAAGGAGAAGGAAGGATAAGCAAGGTAAAGTAGAAGAAGGAGCAGAAAGGGCCAGCCAGGAGCTGGAAAGGGCAGCATTGAGTAGAAGGGGGCAGGGAGGAGCTGTAAGGGGCATAAGGAGCGCAAAGGTAAAGTAGGAGAAGGAGCAGAAAGGAATAGAAATGAACAGGAAGGGGCTGCAAGGAGAAGGAAGGAGGAGAAAGAATCAGAAGGAGCACAAAGGTAAAGTAGAAGAAGGTGCAGAAAGGGCCAGCAAGGAATAGAAAGGTAAAGTAGGAAAATATTTTTATGAATTAGGATCTAGCGATTGGCTTAGAGTGTCAGCTGACTCTAGCCAATCAGTGGCACTCATGTCTGACGTCACTTTGCACTTCCTGACACTCCGTTTCAGAAGCCGAATACCACTGAGCAACCTGGAGATCTGGAGCTGAAGGAAGTCTTTGGGGTTAAACCATCTGAGAGAGGTTTAACTCCTTAACCCCTTAAGGACACATGATGGAAATATTCCATCATGATTCCCTTTTATTTCTGAAGTTGTGTCCTTAAGGGGTTAAAGGAAAGAGAGCACCCAGGGGCCTCCTGGCATCATAGAATTTTCATTTAGATGAAGTTGTTATGGGGACTAGAATTTTCCTTTAATTTGATTAAAGGAACACTATAGTGTCAGAAACACATACATGTATTCCTGACACCATAGTTGTGAAAACGCTATTCACCCTGGCTTTATGTGATCATGACTATGCCCCTCCTCTTCATGACACTGTCAACAAGGGGCCAAGCATGGATGCCATTATAATTATGCCCTCCCCTCCCCCCGCGCCCAGAAAAATTCCTGCGGGCGTCCATGACAGAGGTGTGAGGCGTGAGAGGACCCACTGGAGAGGAAAATCAGTCTGGCGGCAGCATTCATTACAGACTGCAACGGGGCAATACGGTTTTTGGGAAGACCAATTAGGAGAGGGTTACAATAATCCATGCGGGAAATTACTAAAGCATGTACAAGCTCCTTAGTAGTATTTTGTGTAAGAAAGAGGCGGATGAGGGCTATGTTTTTAAGGTGGAATCTACAGAATTTTTTAACAGACTGGATGTGAGAGTCAAGTATAACGCCAAGACTTCAAGTCTTTGTGTAATGTCGTAATGAATTAAAATACATACAACGTGTAATGTTGTAATGTTTAAAACTTAAAATTAATCCTATTCATATTTTAATTGTCTAATTTGCAAAGTGAATTATGATGTGGATTGCTGGTAAATCTGCCATCTAGCAAATATATTGTATATGAATAATTCTATAGTTACATGATAAGAAGATTCCATAGTATATTCCCCCCATCCCCTCCTGCCCACCCCCCCCCAAATGACAGTTAAATTGTTTTCCCTTCTCAAACTTGCTTTATAATAACAAATGCTGGACCGCCCTGTAATGTGAATAGGGAATTATGTAAGAACTGTCCGAAATTCAACAGAATTAACAATTAGTAGAAAACATATGGCATATGCTAAAGGAACACTCCAGACACATAAAGTAATTAATCTTGCGGAAGTGCTGTCTGTCTCTGTAGTCTGTCAGGTCAGCAACTTTTGCAAGCTGTTTTTTTTTCATATACCCCTAAAGAACAACAATTATAAAATTTTCAATGGAATGTTCCTTTAATTGCAATGAGTAATCACTTTAGCAAGACAGTTGGTTGTCAGGATACCATCAGCATACCAGATGTAAATTAAACTCAATAAATTAACAATTGGATGTCTCTGTTTTTATTAAACATCTGCCAACAAAATCAAGGGAACACACCCATATTACCAACATACAATACGTTATAGAGTGGTTAATAATAGCAATTAATAATGCTAGTCTTTTGAAATACAAAATAAATGTTGGTTCATGGTTTCTTTTAATCGTGGTCTGTTCTCAATGTTTTTCTACAAGATAATTGCTTAGGAGTTTGTACCCTAAAGAATTAGCATACCTGCTAACATTTTAGGAATGTAGCCCCAAGAAACGAGCGCAGCTTAGTCGATAGGGCCTTGACAGAGCTAGGAGGTGGTCTTAGGTGGAAAGTGGGCTGTAATTGGGCAAATTAACTAGTGGGCTGATAATCTACTCATTCTAATTTACTCACTGGGCCGAATTTGTCCCTCCCGCCCTCCCTAAGGGGTTTGGGGATTTGCAAAGGTTATTCCCCGCTTTGTCACAGTGGCGGGGTTAGTGAGCTAAAGTTTAGGGGGAAAACAGGCCCTTGGTTAAGTACAGGGTAGTTATAATGTTGGGTAGGAAGGGATTGATATTGTTCATGTTTAAGTTTGGTAGGTTTCAAGCTTGTCTGTAGCTCAGAATCTGGTGAGGTAGGGGTATCCGGGTATACCCCTACCATGATTAACAAAAATTAGCTCTTTATGTATTATGGTTATGACGTTGATTGTTTGTTATAAATTTTATATTTATTTCTGAAAATATGGGTCATTGCCTTTTGTATGACTGAGGAATATGTTATGTTATAGGTGGGGTGGGGGCGAGACTTTAATTATTTATGTTCTTGAAGCGGAACCCTGGTAACTGGACGAGACACAGCTCTAGGAGTACAACTGAAAATGAACTGCGTTTATTTTGTCATACAAGGTTTTACATGCACAGACCCCTACATGGGGTCTCCAGCACAATACATCAGGGGTTTCCATCCCAAGAAACTGATGGGGGAATGCAAAAGAGACAAAGAAGCCAGTTCAAACTGGGCTGGCAGTGTCACTGTGACAACTCTGTGCTAGGACAGGAAGAGGAAGGGGGAGGGGGAGAGGTATAGACAAGCAATACATTTCACTTAACGATACATTACAGAGCTGCTGCCCCCCCTTTGTTGACCCACAGCTGCATATACAGACACATGTAAGACAGTCACAAAAATGGCGCCGCAAGCTTGTGGCCCACGCCAAACAAATCAGGCCATCCATCACATATCTTCCCCCATCAAAATAGATAGACCTGTGGCCAGACCAACGACGGGCCTGCAACAAGTCGGTTGGACCCACTTGAGTCTACAGTCCAAGTCCTTGGAGTTCAATGTGACTGAGCAAGTGGAGGGGGGCACATGTGCGTATGGCACTCAGTGACGGCGTTCCGTCACAGTTCTCATGTTATGTTATAATATATATATATATTTAATAAAGCTGTGGACTTATTGACCCATACAAGATCGGTGTTTGTGTTTTATTGGGTAGATGACAAGGTGGGCAGGCCCGGACTAGCCCACCGGGATACCAGGAAATTTACGGGCCAGGCTGACAGCCCTGATCATCAGGCTAAGGTCTTTTAAGTATTTCCCCCTCGGACTGTGCCAGCCTGTGTCAGTCCGAAGGGAGTAAACAGGGAGGAGCTGGGGGCTGGTGCGGCAGCCCGCGGCCAGATTGAGACCCGTCAGTCTCCCTTCAAAATTTACATTCATTTTGGTCGCATACCCCGCCCCCACACGTAAGCCCCCCCTCTTAAATGGAAGCTCCATATCCAGTATGCAAACTCTGCCCCCACACACATTGCTGACCTCGCTGGGAGGAAGAGGCAACAAAAGGGCAACTTCACCTACCAGTGCCAGGTAAGCTTCAGCCATAACAGTGATTGTGTGCCTGCTAGTGAGACAGCTTGTGTGTGTGTGCCTGCTAGTGAGTGAGCTTGTGTGTGTGCCTGCTAGTTAGAGAGCATGTGTGTGTGTGTGCCTTCTAGTGAGTGGGCTTGTGTGCCTGCTAGTGAGAGAGCTTGTGTATGTGTGCCTGCTAGTGAGAGAGCTTGTGTGTGTGTGCCTGCTAGTGAGAGAGCTTGTGTGTGTGTGTGCCTTCTAGTGAGTGAGCTTGTGTGCCTGCTAGTGAGAGAGCTTGTGTATGTGTGCCTGCTAGTGAGAGAACTTGTGTGTGTGTGCCTGCTAGTGAGTGAGCTTGCATGTGTATGTGCCTGCTAGTGGGTGAGCTTGTGTGTGTGTGCCTGCTAGTGAGTGAACTTTGTGTGTGTGCCTGCTAGTGAGTGAGCTTGTGTGTGTGTGTGCCTGCTAGTGAGTGAGCTTGTGTGTGTGTGTGTGTGTGTGTGTGTGTGTGTATGTATGTGTGTCATTGGTTATAGCTCTACTTATCAATGCATACCGCTCATGAATTCTGTCAGATTGTTTTGGAACAGTTTGATAAAGCCTGGGGTTCTCCACTGCATATATAACCAGATCCCTCTAAAGCGAGGTTTTAGAAGAATATCATCATATCTGTTCCATTGTAGGTGTGGCATTGTGCCAATGACTTGTTCGCAGGGAAAAGTAAAGGGTGGCCACAGAATATTTACACCATGTTTATTCCAAACTGTTCAGAATCACAAGATGCTACTGAGTGAGCTTGTGTGAGTCTGTGTGTCTGCTAGTGAGTGAGCTTGTGTGTGTATGTGTGTGTCTGCTAGTGAGTGAGCTTGTGTGTGTGTGTGTGTACCTGCTGGAGAGAGCTTGTGTGTGTGTGTGTGTGTGTGTATGTGTCTGCTAGTAAGTAAGCTTATGTGTGTGTGCCTTCTAGTGAGTAAGCTTGTGTGTGCCATCTAGAATGTGTGTGTCAGCGAGCTTGTTTGTGGTGAGCATGTGTGTGTCAATGAGCTTGTCTGTAGTGAGCATATGTGTGTCAGTAAGCTTTTCATGTGTGTGTTAGTGAGTTTTTCTTTAGTGAGCATGTTTGTGTCAGTGAGCTTTTCTGTAGGGAGTATGCGTGTGTCAACAAGCTTTTCTGTAAGGAGCATGTGTGTGTCAGTGAGATTGTGTGTCAGTGAGCCTATGTGTGTACATCTGTGAGCTTGTGTTTTTATGTCAATGAGATTATGTATATCAGTGAGATTGTTTGTCTGTGAGGCTGTGTATCAATTAGCTTTTGTGTGTCAGTGAGGTTGTCTGTGTCTGCAGACAATATTTGATATTAGAAAAATTATATATATATATAAATATATATATATATATATATATATATGTGTGTGTGTGTGTGTGTGTATGTGTGTGTGTGTGTTTATATGTTACTCAATCATCTGGGGTGGCAAGACATAGCCTTACATATTACATGCGACAATATATGGCGCAATGACTTATGGGGCTGGCGTAGATTTTCTTTTCCAGGGCTGCTTTGTATCCCCAGTCCAGCCCTGAAGGTGGGGTCTTTTATTCCACCAGCCCACATGCTGACGATGCGCCTGTTATGCCCTATTATATCTGCAATGGACTCTAGCATACTTTACAAAATTGGCAGTCCCAGAATCGGGATGCCAGTGGCAGAGAGGGTGAAGGGGGCAGAAAAATGATGTGATTTTGTCCCTGGCTCTGCCCAAAAGGAGATGGACCTGTGCAGAACGGGGAGGTGTCTGTTAGTCTGGTGTGAATACACACCAGTCTGCCTGCCAATCATTTTAGCAAGGAGCAGAGTTTCAGTGCTTCCTGCATAGAGCCCTAACCATAGCGTGATAATGTCTAATAATGCGCTCGCGCTATGATTGTTGGGGACAGTTCCCTGGTGTGGTGTGACTGTGGGACAGGATATGAAAATCAGGACTGTCCTGCCAAAATCTAGCCAATTTGGAGGCATGCTATAGAAGAGCTAATTGAACAAATATTTAGCTCCAAAAATAAGTTGTTGTTTTTTTTCTCTATTGGTTACTTTTTCTCACTTGACCTGTAAACAAAATGAACAAACTTCAGTGTACTGAAAAATAAAACAATTAACTCATTTGTTCAGGCCCTTCTTCACTGATTATTAGTATTCTGTATATCAATTACTTTTTCTCAAATATTTCTATTCCATAATTCTAGAGCGCTATAGAATATGTGGGTGCTATATAAATGCCAATAATAATAACCTTTTTCGCAGCAGACTTATTAGCCCATTTTCTGTACCCTTTCTGATCTATGAAAATCGTTTTTTCCCAAATATTGTCATGGACGATATTCAGACAAATTGCACAGTAAACTGAATGAATGGTGGAAGCCCCAAACGTAATTTATTTTTTTCAGAAAAAAAAAATGGTTCTCACAGTTTCTGTTACAATCATATATTAATAAGTCCATCATCCTGCTTATGGATATTTGTATGGAACCAGATTAATGAAGTTTCTCAAAAATGCATTTCTCCAAAATTAGAATGTTAAATGTAAAATTATTTATATATATAAATATATAATGGCTCACAAGACTTCTGCTTTGCATTTGTCACAGCTTGATACCTGTATATATCATGTGTCCATGTGATCTACATTCAGCCATTTGATTGGCTATTTGTGCGACAGTTGGACTTCCACTAACTGACAACAAACTCAGGTCGAAGATCTGGTGAAACAGCTTACATTTTATATCCTTTTTTGGCCTCTATATATAACACACAGCTCTAGTTAATGTATTTCTCATTGGTGCGCCACATTTGTAGCATTATTTATTTATTATTTCTTTATTTATTTATAAAATATTTTACCAGGAAAGATACATTGAGATTTTTCTCGTTTTCACACAAATCATCGCATTGTTACAATTAGGGTACAATAAAATACAAAATCAATATTAATACACAATGAATACAAAATTTAACATAGAACAGGCAGGAAATATATAATCAACCATGACACGTGCATTCTGTTTTGAGGTATGTAGAGAGGGATCTCTTAAAGGACTTTAGGCTTGGGGAAGATTTTAAATTGTGCGGGAGGTCGTTCCACAATTGCGGTGCTCTGTAGGAGAAGGAGGATCGGGCCGCTTTCTTTTTGTATTGAGGTAGACTAAGTAAAGTGTTGGTACTGGATCGGAGGTTATAGGAAGTGGGAACAGCTGGGGAAAGCATTTTGTTCAGGTAGGGTGGGAGTTTCCCAGAAAATCTCTTAAAAACAAGCTGGAAAGATGAAGGGTGCGCCTGGATTCCAGCGACAGCCAGTTTAGTTCTTTTAGCATGCCACAATGGTGAGTCCTGTAATTACATTGTATCACAAATCGGCAGAACGAGTTATACAATGTGTTGAGTTTATTAATGTGGGATTGCGATGCAGATGCATATACTACATCCCCATAATCAATGATTGGCATCAGCATTTGCAGTACAATCTTTTCCTTTACTGTAGTATTTAGGCAGGATTTGTTTCTGTACAGGGCACCTAGTTTTGGATAAAGTTTAGATGCAAGCTTTTCTATGTGCAGGCCAAAAGATAGATTGGGGTCTAATATCATACCCAAGTATTTGAAAGAGTGGACTGTGGTCAGTGTGCCATTTGAATTTGTTTTGATGGATAGGTGGGAATTGTGTAATTTGTGTAATTTAGGTACTGTTCCAAAGATCATTGTGACAGTTTTGTCAGTGTTCAGGAAGAGTTTGTTTTTTGCGATCCACTTTTCTACCTCTGTAAACTGGTCTTGGAGCACAGCCTCAAGCTGCGGTTGGAATTGCTCGCATAGATTACCATGTCATCTGCGTACATGTGTACATTTGAGGATTTGCAGACATTAGGCAGATCATTTATAAATAATGTAAATAGTAGGGGGCCGAGAATGGAACCTTGGGGAACACCACACGTGACTGGGAGGGGTAGGGAGTCGCTGTCAGAAATGGACACATATTGCGAGCGATCCGATATATGCGATCAAAACCAGTTTAGCGAACAATCCCCAATACCTGATTTTTTGAGTTTGTGCAGTAGAATGTCGTGGTCTACTGTGTCGAAGGCCTTAGCAAAATCAAGTAAAATAGCTCCAGTTAGGTCTCTTTGTTCCATGCCAGTTTGGATGTCATTGCAAACTTTTAAGAGGGCAGTTGTACTGGAGTGATTCTGGCGAAAGCCCGATTGATCAGGGGTCAGATAGTTTGATTGTTGGTAGTACTCACATAGTTGCGTATGGACACATTTTTCTAAGTTTTTGACAATACCGGGAGCAATGATATTGTGCAATAATTAGAAACCAAAGTAGTGTCACCACTTTTATGGATAGGCACTACTCTTGCAGTCTTCCAAAGTTTGGGTATGTTTCCAGACATCAAGGATTCGTTAGTTAGAGTTGAGACGGGTTTAGCAATTGCTGGCGCACTTTAGATTAATGATATGCCATTCTAGGCAATTTAATTTTAGTTTGTTCACTTTTACATAAGCATACTTGATGAGGCCTAGCAGAGAAAAACATGCGTCAATTACTACTATACTTGAGCTTTTGCAGATAGACGTAGTAGGATAATTTATTCGGGGTTTAAAATATGAGTTAAGATTGAGATTTCGTCATATTACTTAGAACACTCCAAGAACCATAATCACCACAGTGCGCTGTAGTGGTTATGGTGCTAGGAGTCCCCTGGCATCTCACCAATGTAAGTAGTTAAACCGTTTACCCCAGGATGTACTTGGAAACCAGAACCATCTGAATGTACCTTTCCTGGTTAAATGCTTTGTTATTATTATTACTTACAAACTGTTTACTTCTTGCTTAGGGTGGAGAGCCGGAAGCTAAGCATGATCTTTTGTTTGCTCTCCTCGGCTAAGCCTTGCTGTACAGGACTAGCTCAATGAGCAATGGCATCAGTTGATCATTCTTAGTCAATAAGCTAAACTCTGCACTGCTGGGTTTAGCTTAAAGGACCACTATAGTGCCAGGAAAACACACTCGTTTTCCTGGCACTATAGTGCCCTGAGGGTGCCCCCACCCTCAGGGTCCCCCTCCCGCCCGGCTCTGTAAAGGGGATAAGGGGTAAATCTTACCTTTTTCCAGCGCTGGACGGGGAGCTCTCCTCTTCCGATCCTCCTCCTCTCCGCCCATTCGGCTGAATGCGCACGCGCGGCAAGAGCTGTGCGCGCATTCAGCCGGTCGCATAGGAAAGCATTATCAATGCTTTCCTATGGACGCTTGCGTGCTCTCACTGTGATTTTCACAGTGAGAATCACGCAAGCGGCTCTAGCGGCTGTCAATGAGACAGCCGCTAGAGGCTTTGGAGGAAGGCTTAACCCATTTGTAAACATAGCAGTTTCTGTGAAACTGCTATGTTTATAAAAAAATGGGTTAACCCTAGCTGGACCTGGCACCCAGACCACTTCATTAAGCTGAAGTGGTCTAGGTGCCTAGAGTGGTCCTTTAAACAAAGATCTTTTGGATCTCTTTGCAAAGTAGTGGAGGTGGAGAATGGTGCCTGGCAGAAACCATGTAAGAAGTCGAACTATTTAAAACACGAGAACACTTGTGCCGTTGAGCTTTCCTCTAAGAAGGGATGATCAGTAGATATTACATCCGTTTGGATACATTGAGACTAGAAAGCTGGCGAAGACCATTCGGAATTAATTGTAATTGACTAAGTACCAAAGATTGTGAAAACATGGGGCTGCACTCACCTGAACATGCATAAATTGGGTGCTGCTGGGCTAATTCATACAATACACAAGATCCAGCTCACTCAGTCACTAAACAGCAACTTCAAAGCTCACAGATTAGTATTTTTTAATTAGTTTTATTTAAGAACACCTAATCTAGGCAAAAATAATGGGGGGGTTAGTTACAGTATATGATCATATAATGCGTAAGCCTGCCACAACGTCAATGTACCCCATCTTTGGCAGGTCCTACTCTACCGACCTAATGTCTGCTCTTATGAGATTAACCCACTTACTTGGGGGGGAAAAATTCCATCTGGGGTACAAAATTAAATAGGACCCTAGAATGAGGCACCTGTGACAGGGAGGGGTGCAAAACCAAGGAGTTGGCCTAGACTCCCAAATATATACATAAAACCAGGGGGCTGCACTCACTAAGTAGAAGCAAATAAGTAATCATTGCTAATCAACACGTTATGTGCCTATAGGCTTAGGCAAACACAAACTGGAAATAGGTGTAACTCAATGAAAACTTAGAGTGCTGATTTTTCAGTGCTTGACTTAGAGCTACAAGACTTTAGTGCTTTATGCTAGGTATTTTAATGTAAGCAGACAAATATGCAACTTCAATTCTTTATTCATCGAGGATGTTTTGTGTTTGCTTGCGAATACTTATAAAACTATTTCTAGAGGACAGGTCTGACCAGTGTTAACAACAATTTGTTGCTGGTCCTTGCAATGTGAATAGCATAGCATAGCATGACTGTTTACTCCCTCTCAGTAGATTTTAAACATTCACTAGGGGAACCATTGTTATAGAGTTCTCCTTTGGCCATTTTTGTACATTCCTTTTGTCTCTTCATCATTACCTTCAATTTGTGTTTGTGGTTTTTAGTCAGATAAAAAAAATGTTCTATGTTAACCTCACACAACCATATATGCCAATATCTTCTTGCAACCTTACAAAATATATCCTACACCTCTCATTGCACTCCAAATGTTAAAGATAGTGAGGAGGTGACATCCCACATTATCCCATGAGTGTGGGCGATATCTGAGTTGCAGGAGCGTCATTTTTTTTTGATAAACCACACAAATGCAGTTTGACAAATAAACAGAGACCCTTTACACTATAACCACTACAATAATGTTTAACCCCTTAGCGACCGAGGATGGTTCAGGACCGTCATCGGCATTTTTGCCTTGAGGACCGATGACGGTCCTGAACCGTCCTAACGGTCTTAGTTACTTACCTGATCGCCGTCGTTCCCCCGGCGGCGATCAGCGTGGCTCCGGTTGTGGGGAGACTGCCTGCAGCCCAGACAGTCTCCCCACACTGGATTAGGACCCCTGTGGCCATGTGATCGCTCAACACAGCGATCACATGGTCACAATAGGTGTCCATGTGTCTGCCTGCAGGGGGACTGTCTGTGCTGACAGGCAGTCTCCCTGCTGTGTAAAATCAGAAAAAATAAATAAAGTTAGTGTTAATTAAAAAAATAAAAATAATTATATATGTGTATATATGATATATAGACATATATTATACCTATATAATATATGTCTATATATCATATATATATAATGCCATACTAAGTGTATTTTTATATTAATATGTACTTATATTAATATAAAAATACACTTATAATTAAATACACACGTGTATATATATATAATATATATAATAACTATATATATTGTATATATATATTATTATAAAATATAAATAATAAGTAATTTAAATTAAATAAAAAAATTTTAAAATAATAAAAAAATAAAAAAATTATATAGCTATATGAAATTTTATTCTAACTGTATTTTAAAATTATATATATATATTTATATCAAAATACACTTAGAATGAATTTGTATATATATCTATGTATATAAAAATAAATAAAAATAAGAAATATACATATGTCCATATACAAAATTACATAAATAATTATATAAATATACACGTAGACTTCAAATATATAAATATGCATATATATTTAAATTCTACGTGCGTATTTATGTAATAGTTTTACATAATTCAGTAATTTTATTGATTGCAATTTAAGGGACCTGCCTGCCAACCCAGGCCGAAATTCCAGAGAATTGAATTTGCTAGCACTGTATTTTACCCTGTAACGTTCTACGACACCCTAAAACCTGTACATGGGGGGTACTGTTTTACTCGGGAGACTTCGCTGAACACAAATATTAGTGATTCAAAACAGTAAAACATATCACAGCAATGATATTGTCAGTGAAAGTGACTTTTTTTGCATTTTTCACACACAAACAGCACTTTTACTGATGATATAATTGTTGTGATACGTTTTCCAGTTTTTAAACACTAATATTTGTGTTCAACAAAAATCTCCTAATTAATATTATCAAATATTTTTACATTGAAAATGGCCAGGTTGGTTACGTTGCCTTTGAGAGCGTATGGTAGCCCAGGAATGAGAATTACCCCCATGATGGCATACCATTTGCAAAAGAAGACAACCCAAGGTATTGCAAATGGGGTATGTCCAGTCTTTTTTAGTAACCACTTGGTCACAAACACTGGCCAAAATTAGCGTTCAATTTAGTTTTTTTACTTTTTCACACACAAACAAATATGAATGCTTACTTTGGCCAGTGTTTTCGACTAAGTGGCTACTAAAAAAGACTGGACATACCCCATATTGAATACCCTGGGTTGTCTACTTTAAAAAAAATATGTACATGTGGGGTGTTATTCAGAGATTTATGACAGATAATGGTGTTACAATGTCACTATTGATAAATTTTAAAAATGTATGTTTTGAAACCGCAATATTCTACTTGTACCTATAGCCCTATAACATGCAAAAAAAAGCAAAAAAGTATGTAAACACGGGGTATTTTTAAACTCAGGACAACATTTTGAATCTATTTAGCAGTTTTTTTAATTCGCTTTTGTAGATGAGTAAAAGATTTTTCAAGTAAAAGTCAAAAAACATGTATTTTTTTCAATTTTTCATCATATTTTTTAATTTTTTTTAAATTAAAATACATGAGATTATATAAATAATGGTATGTAAAGAAAGCCCCCTTTGTCCTGAAAAAAACAATATATAATTTGTATGGGAACAGTAAATGAGAGAGCGGAAAATTCCAGCCAAACACAAACACCACAAAAGTGTAAAAATATGCCTGGTCGCAAATGTACAACATCGCAAAAACAGTCCAGTCCTTAAGGGGTTAATGTATTATTTTGATTTTATGATAGAATGTAAAGCTTAACTATGTGTTTTGTTTCTTTTGTTTCTACAGTATTCATAACTAACATGGCTCTGAGGTTTGGTGGCAGCAATTCAAGAACCTTCAAGTTGTTCCTACACGTTGTGCTCCTCATTATAGTCATAATTCTCTTTAGAGTCCTGTATATTAACCCATATACTGAGCTAGAGGTATGATATGCCCACAGATTTTATTTACACAAAACATATACACAATAATCACATTTATATAATGATAAGAACACATGCATTAATTTGTTGCAGTTACCACGTTGGGGCAAATTGTGACAAATGATGTTGGTGACATTACTAGACCTGGTATCTTTGGTAGGTCTACTTACTAACACCTGTTGGTAAAAAGAAGTCAGTAAGTAATGTTTACACCAACAGAGCTCCTTGGCCCATCATTAGGTTTAAAATAAACACATAACTCACTTTTGGCTCTATTGGTACCGACCAACACTTAGAGTTTATCTTCTTAAAAATTTGAATTATTGTTTTCTTTTCCTCTTTACATATAGATTAGGCAGATGATTTTGAGTCAGATAGCTTCAGGTGGTCAATGTTTTTATCAAACATGAAACCAGGTGTTACTTGGCATTTTTTCTATGGGAGAAGATAAAGTTACAATGCTCAAATACTATGAGGGATCAAAAGACACAAATATACAATAATTTGTGTACAAAAAATAAATAGTCAAACTTAACTTAGTGACAACATCCCTTGGCAGCCTTCCCACTTGGATCCCCGAACAAAACAAATGTGTACAAAAAAATATGGGAAACAGCTGTCATAGCCTATAAAGAAAGGCATATATGTAAACACGTTTTTGGAAGCACTCACAGTGTGAAGTAAATCAAAGCGCCTTGATGGTGCCACCCCTGCAGAGGAGGGTTAGTATCCCAATCCACCTTTAGCTCCTTCCCAGTATAGGAAACAGGAGAAAGCAGGAATCAAGGTAAAAAAGGTAATTTATTTTTAAAAAGCCTCTGGTCCTACGCGTTTCATTCTGGTCAAACAGAACTTCCTCAGGGACCTCACAATTAAAATACAATTTTCTAATACTGTGAGTCTGGAGCTCATGAGAGCCATTACATCAGGTCTGCACCCAGCAGTGGCTACACACCAAAAGCTCTCCACACTGGACGATCAGGTTTAGGAATGTCCCCCTGTCCCTGGCCAAATGTAACAAGAGCGGGGGAGAGAGGAATAAAATTATTCTTTTTTAATAATAATAATAAATAAGTATTTGTTTTTGTGACGAAGCTCCTGTACTCCGACCAAGTACCTCTGCCCAGTCCGCTTCCTAGCCGCTTACAGGGACCCTGAAACGCTTCAGCCCCAGTCACCGAAGCCTGACTAGGATCCCTCCAGAACTCTTCCAACTGATACAGATGCAGCTCTCATTTCAGGCAGTTATCATCCCCTCTTCCTATTCTGCTGCAGCCCTTCTTCCAGGCATGGATTGTCCCCTCTGTCTATTCTGCTGCAGCTCTCTCTTTCCAGGCAGTGATCATCCCCTCTGCCAATGCCACTGCAGATCTCTCCTTCCAGGCAGGTATCGTTCCCTCTGTCTATTCCACTGCAGCTCTTCCTCCTGGCAGGTGTCCGGAACACTGCCTATAATGTGAAAATGGTTATTGACTTTACAAAAGTACTTGCGGCTCTCAGGTCTAGCTCTCTTAATTTATCCTAGGGCAAGAGGGATCGTGCAGCCAGCAAACAGGTCCAAAGACTCTGTCACTGGGACTCCTAAATGGGCACAGAGTGACTTAAACATAGGAGTCATCCAGACTGTCTTCCGGAAAGCCACTAGAGGCACATCTGCTTTGTTTTCCTGACACCATAGTGATCCTTTAATGTTTCTGGGGAGTACAGTGTGTGACAGGAATCTCTCAGGGGATATGTATGGCATTCATCAGATCAGAAGACAAATGTCATACGAGTACTTATATTGCCAGGAGAAAGATTGCTTCCCCATATTATGCATTTTATTAATGGGGATGGGTTTATTGCATCAGATAATTTTACAAATAAATTACAGAAAGTTCCTGGTATCAAATCCTAAGCAAGCAGCATTGTATATTTTGACATTTAGAGCAGTGTGTGACTACCATGGATGCAGGAGTTGCAGCGGCTACTGGGCCTGATACTCCACAGGGCCCAGCCACTTCTGCAACCCCTGTGAGCGTGAGCAGCCGGGCCGGCATAACCTCAAGACCGGTGCACTGTTACACCAGTGGTTGGCGGGTGACTGACAAGAGGGGAGTCGAGTGGACTGTGGCAGGAAGTACTCACAGTGAGAGAGCATTTCCAGTTAGACAGGGTACTGCAAGCAAGTACAGGAGGGGAGAGGGAAGAAATACATGGAGGGGCTGGGGGATGAGACAAATGGAGGGGCTGGGCAGTTTTTTCACTGGAGCCCAGTGTTTTCTTGTTTGGAGCACCCCTTTTATTTTAAGAACTTGTGTCAGTTATGCTACAGCATTTTGATGTCAGACAGGTATGAACTTTAAAAAAAAAATTTCAAAAAAAATTTCAAAAAACAAACCTTACAATTTTTTACAATAACTGATTTTTTGGTGCCCTCATTTGGCAAAGTTAGTAAAAGAAAACTATAGTTAAGAAATACATGAACTTGCCATCTTCTGCCTCCTTATATAATAGTTCTTCTTCTTCTGTAGGAAAAACAAGTACTTCTGCATAAGGAAATAATGTGCTTAGCAGTTGATAGATCCAATCTAAAACAGAGGACAGCAATATTACAAGAACAGCTAGAAAACCAGACCAAAGAGTTGGACAAACTCCAAAATATTCATAATTTTCAAGCAGAACAACAAATGATGAATTTCTTATCCGAAAAGGTAAATTAAGGAAACATTTTCTAATTATGCACATACTATTGATATCCTTTTATTTTATTGTGGTTTCACGCATAATTTTAGTCCTTTTCTTATTAAAGGAAACATTTGAGTAGGTAATGTGCACAGTTAGTCTCATCGGCTAAAAGTGGACCAAACATTAGATTTCACTGATGCTAACGAGAGACACAATAATAGTAACGTCATTTTAAAATGAAATCAAAGTGCTGATAATTAAAGTGCATATAAATAATTCAAACTGTTGAAGAGCAAATCGAACATTATTTCACATACTTCAACCGAAAACGAAGAACAATCTTCCAGGTGTCCAGATTTAATCATAGAAAAAAAAAAAAAAGTAAATGTAACAGATCCCGTATACTCCGGCTGAGTATATCTGCTGAAGACTCTCCCTAGTTCCGCAGAGTGAAAGTGTTATAGCCTTTGCATCCCCAAACATCAGCCAAGACTTGATGAAGGGTAAATCAACTAGTTTTATTCAGGCAAACATACAGGTGTTTACACATTGACCCCCAGCATGGGGTCTCTATTCATTCTGGCTTAAGCCCACCCAGGCTTCTCTGTGTCTGGGAGATAATTGAGTTGGGCCTCGGTAAACTAATTATCTCCCGAATTCAGAAGACACAACACAAAATACCCCGAAAACAAGCATAAAAGAACAATGTACCCCCACAAGCTACATATCCCCTGAAAAGTGGGATCCGAGTGCCCATTCTGTCCACTGGGTTAAACTTTGGTGCCATGTCATGGTCTTTTACTGAGGGCTCCAGCTGGTTGGGAAAAGGGAGCGCCCTGCTTCTCACAGGGAGTGATTGTTCAGGGGATGGAGTATAACCTAAACTCCAAGGAGCACCTGTCTAGATCTTTGGAAAAAGGGTTAAAACAAGGTCTCAAACTGACCGGTTTGAGGCACTGGCCGTAGCCAGGTTGGAGTTCCAGAGAGGTTGAACAACGGTTGGTAGGGCAATTCGTGGGGGAGTGTATATTGAGGAAGGAATGAGAGTGATCACAATCTTTTAGGCATAATTTATTTCAAGTACAAAATACTCATGACATGTAAACTAAATATAATAAAAGCATATAAACATCTGACATTCACGAAAAATAAGTGCAACAGTCACATCAATAAATTTATGCTTGTTAGATCTCACTTGGTGAGTGCCACAAACTACAATTAACTCTTTCACTTGATTTTACAGAAGATAGAGTTAACATCATTGCACAGACATCTTGTCCATCATGGCAAACTAAGCTGCTTATATGTCCTCTCCTACAAAACATACTTGCCTCCATTATGTCCCTTTTTTTTCAGCACCAGGAACCTGCCCCCTTTTTTGGTGCCAGGAACGGAACTATGAATAAACAACTGAAATGACCATGTTTGTCCATTAAAGATCTCGTTTGCTCGGTTATACGCCCTTATAGCGCTTCAGAGTTACATAATTCGGCCCATATTTAAAAAAATTGCAATTCATCCAAAACCAAATGCACAGGTCTAGTTGATGTAATGTTTGAATATTTTGATAGACCAGACAATCACTGTGTGACGTTTACAGTATGTTTCTGGTGTTTTAATGGAAATGCTAATTTATATATATATTTTTCCTTTTAGAATTCCCTACAAGATGCCATTTTATCAAAGGAAAACGCAATCAAAGATCTAAAAGGTATTTACATCTTCAAAAAAATATCTTTTTTTCTTTAATGACAGATTTTGTATTTTTCATACATTATGATTAGCTATATACAACCTGACCATGCTATGTAGTGCAGGTGAACAACTATATAACCAAGTCTGGGAGATATATTTAAACTTAGTATGGCTAGATGTATCTTAAAGGGACACCATAGTCACCAAAACAACACTACTTTAATGAAGCAGTTTTGGTGTATAGAACATACATACATACAGCCTCACTGCTCAATTCAGGAGTTAAATCACTTTGTTTATGAACCCTGGTCACACCTCCCTGCATCTGACTTGCACAGCCTTCCTACACACTTCCTGTAAAGAGTCATCTAAAGTTTATCCTTTCTTTATTACAAGTTCTGTTTAATTTCGATTTTCTTATCCCCTGTTATGTTAATATCTTGCTAGACTCTGTTAGAGCCTCCTGTATGTGAATAAAGCAAGAGATACAATTGTTTAAGGTAAATTACGTATGATTGAAATTGAAACCAGTTTTATTTTTCATGCAGGCTGTGTCAATCATAGCAAGGGGAGGTGTGGCTAGGGCTGCATAAACAGAAACAAAGTGATTTAACTCTTAAATGGCAGTGAATTGAGCATGATCTATACACTAAAACTGCTTAATTGAGCTAAAGTTGTTTAGGTGACTTTAGTATTCCTATAATTCTCCACTGGGGCTTACATGACTTTAAAGTGTATATAGAATGTTTCAGGATGTCTGCCTAGAAGATCCAGATTATTTTTTAAGGGCAGAGTGAGGCAGAGTGAGACAGAGTGAGACATAAGCAGTGGATTGGGAATGCTTTGATCCTGATGGGTATACAGACTTTGTTCAAGTGAACTTTGGAGCCCGCATAGACCCAGTGACATGTGGGGAAAAACAGGACCAGGAGCTTGTTCATTTATGCTAACCAAGAGGCTTTCGAATCCCTGTTCATCATTGCAACTTTAAAGGGGAGCTGTCACTTCCCAAGAATTAACATATTGCACTTTTTTATCCCTATATCTGACAAATATGTATTTGTGAGGTAAAGAAATCCATACCTATTTATCCTGCAACTGGGTGCCTCCATCTTAGCTCCATGTCAATCATTTGTTATACGTTCTGTCTTTTGCACCTAGCAGTCCGTATAGAGAGAGCATACAGAGAATATGAGATATTAAACAATGCTTCTGTTCCTCCTCTTCATTTGCAATGTGTGTCCTGGCTGTACCTTGCCTGGGATGGATTAAGATATCATTTGTAAAATGTTTAATATAAATTCAAAATAAAATGGAGTATCTTATTAAAAAAAATGTCAATGCACATTATAGCTCAAATTCTTTGTTTTATATTCCAGAAAAGTACCAATATTAAAATAAAATCCCTTGCGCCAATGCCTCCAAACATGGAGAAATCTCTCCGTACTTCCCTAATTTAGTAAATAACAAATACAATTACCATGTTGCAAAATTAAAAGTACTTGAAAAGTATAGGAAAAACACATTGTGACAAAAGTAGGTATCCTGTAGACAGGTTTGTCCTGAAGGTAGCTTTGTGCTATCATTCTGGTTGAATGTTTTATCACAATTTGCAAAAACATTCTTTTTAGATAGAAGGTTGTGCATGTTTATTTCAATTTTTTTTATAGTTTTAAATTTTTCAACTTTTTCTACTTTATAACAGAGCAATATGAGATTTTGCTACAGCAAGCAGAGAAGAAGCAGTTTAGACTACTAGAGCAATTACACACTCAAGCGTAAGTTATATGAGCCACATTTATACAATAATTACATTTCTTCATGGATTCTTATATATGACAATGTTATACAGTCATTAAGAGTTAATCACTTAAGGAACTTCAGACAACCACATGTAACTTAGCCTATCGAATGTGTACGCTAAGTTACCGTTAGCTATGTTTTTTGTTTGTTTGTTTTTTGTTATTTTATTAATCCTGTTTATTTATTCAGCATTAATAATTCTGGTTCTTTTCAAATAATAGATTTGCTCCATAAGCCCGCCCTTTGTGACCCTTCCTTTCAGCCTGCAGCGCTTCACTTTTTTTATCCAATAAAACATACGTACATAGAAAGGTAGGCAGTGTCTTTAGAGGCTGAGTCATTTCCTGGTCAGGACAGAGAACACAGAAGAAGCTGTAAGCCTCTGGATCTGCCAAAAATGCATAAAGAAAATGTATAAGCTGCAAATATGAGTATCTGTTAAATTTTTTTGCATTTTTATTTTACTGTTTACCACATATCCTAAGTACATTGGAAATAAATTTGTTCACGTTTACACTGTGATGTGATGAAAAAGGGTTCATACACAAAGCACATTAGTGATTCCGTTTTACTAGAGAGTCTCAGTTTACAACTCTAATTCCAAGTTTAAGTTCTGCACATTTCCAGAAGAATAATGAAAGTCCAACTGGTGCACCTGTGGACCCAAAGTGGTAAAACCCTTTGCAGATGCAATTAGAAAGTAATGGATCTCAGCATTTCAGATTGGAACTGTAGACATTGGGAAACAGAATACACAGTGATAACAGGTCCTCAGATCCATTAACTTCTACTTATTATTTACAACTCTAGCTACATGAGTAAGAGTAGTTCAAATATGGCGAAAGGGAAAGTGTCAGAAATCTCTATAAGCTGACATTGAATTTTGTTGCACGAGACAGCAAAGCAATATTAATATCAGGTGAAAAGTAGAGCTGAGCGGACACCTGGATGTTCGGGTTCGGCCGAACTTCGGCAAAAAAGTTTGGGTTCGGGGTCGAACTTGACCCCAAACTTGACCCCGAACCCCATTGAAATCAGTGGGGACCAGAACTTTTGGCCACAAAAATGGCTCTAAAAAAGTCCTGGAAAGGGCTAGAGGGCTGAAAAAGGAAGTAAAATGGAGGTAAGAGTAGGACAAGTGCCCTGCAAACAAATGTGGATAGTGAAATCACTTTAAATAACATAAAACACATAAAATAAGCAGCCATTTAGTAGATAACTCCTTAATTCCCACAGTATTAGGGAGCTATCTACCAAAAGGCTGAAAGACCTAAATTGGTCTTTAAAGCCAAATTTACTAATATCAAGTAAAGATTACTTAGTATTAGTAAATTCAGCCCCTACTTGATATACCGCGAGTAGGGGTGTGTCTAGTAAACAGTGAGAAGCCAACGGCACCCCTGTGCGACGAGTGGGGGCCCTAAATAAGAATGTGGAGCAGTGGACCTACTGTCCTCCCCTCCGGCCCCACCCTGAGTGGCAGCTGGGGGCCCTAAATAACAATAAGGGGGGGACCTACTGTGCTCCTCCCCCGGCCCCCAGCCATGCGCGGCGAGTGGGGGACCTAAATAACAATAAGGGGGAGACCTACTGTCCTGCCCCCAGCCCCCACCCCTGCGCGGCATGTGGGGGCCATAAATAACAATAAGGGCGGGGGACCTAATGTCCTTCTCCCCCGCCCAACACTCCAGTGGGGTGGGGTCATAAATAAGAATTTGGGGGGGGACCTACTGTCCTCCCCCGGCTCCCACCCCTGTGTGGCGGATGGGGGACCTAAATAACAATAAGGGGGGGATCTACTGTCCTCCACCCCAGCCCCCACCCCTGTGCGGCGGGTGGGGGCCCTAAATAACTTATGTCCTCCCCCCCGGCCCCCACCCCTGAGCGGTGGGTGGAGGTCATAAATAAGAATTTTGGGGGGAACTATTGTCCTCCCTCCAGCCCCCACCCCAGCACGGCGGGTGGGGGCCCTAAATAACATAAGGGGAGGGACCTATTGTCCTCCCCCCGGCCCCCACCCCTGAGCGGTGGGTGGGGCCCTAAATAAAAACTGGGTGGGAGGACACCTACTGTCCTCCCCTCCGGCCCCCACCCCTGAGCAGCGGGTGGGGGCCCTAAATAAAATGTAACCCCCACAGGTGACTAGGGGTCCCCAAACCCCTAGTCACCCCCCTCCCCCCAAAAAAATAACCCCAACCTACCCCCCTCATCCTAAAAATAATGAGGGGGACCCTTATCTAAATACCTGTAAAAAAACAAAAATAGACTTACCATTTGATGTCGTCTTTCTTCTAAACTCTTCTTTTTTCAGCCCCAAAAAAGGCCAAATAAAAATCCATTATAACCGACGCACTTTAAAACACAAAAAAAAACTAGCACAAAAAATAATAATCCATTTTCACCCATGGAGGGCTCCGCGCAGACTGAGCTCTGCAGGGCAGGGGGAAGGCTTATAAAGCCTTGCCCCGCCCTGCAATTAGGCTCAGAGCACTCTGATTGGTGGGTTTAAGCCATCCAATCAGAGTGCTCTTACAGATAAATGAAGAGACTGACAGGTAAGTCTCTACATTTACCTGTCACAGCACTCTGATTGTTTGGCTTGAAATCCACCAATCAGAGTGCTCTGTGTCATTTTACACAGCGTGGGAAAGTTCTTTGGAATTTTCCCACGCTTTGTAATTTGACTCATAACAACACTCTGATTGGTGAAACCAATCAGAGAGTTATAAATCAAATTACACAGCACTGGAAAATTCCAAAGAACTTTCCTACACTGTGTAAAATGACACACAGCACTCTGATTGGTGGATTTCAAGCTAACCAATCAGAGTGCTCTGTGTCATTTTACACAGCATGGGAAAATTCCAAAGAACTTTTCCACGCTGTGTAAAATGACACAGAGCACTCTGATTGGTGGATTTCAAGCCAACCAATCAGAGTGCTGTGACAGGTAAATGTAGAGACTTACCTATCAGTCTCTTCATTTACCTGTCAGAGACTCAGAGCACTCTGATTGGATGGCTTAAACCCACCAATCAGAGTGCTCTGAGCCTAATTGCAGGGCAGGGCAAGGCTTTATAAGCCTTCCTCCGCCCTGCAGAGCTCAGACTGCGCAGAGCCCTCCCTGGGTGAAAATTTATAAAAATTCTTGCGCTCTTTTTTTTTTTTTTTTTTTTTTTAGTGCATCGGCTATTATGGATTTTTATTTGGCCTTTTTTGAGGCTGAAAAGTTTAGAAGAAAGAATACATCAAATGGTAAGTCTATTTTTTTTTTACAGGTATTTAGATAAGGGTCTGTACTTGGACCCATTCTCTTTAATATTTTTATTAGTGATATTACAGAAGGTCTTGATGGTAAGGTATGTCTTTTTGCTGATGATACTAAGATATGTAACAGGGTTGATGTTCCAGGAGGGATAAGCCAAATGACAAATGATTTAGGTAAACTAGAAAAATGGTCAGAATTGTGGCAACTGACATTTAATGTGGATAAGTGCAAGATAATGCATCTTGGACGTAAAAACCCAAGGGCAGAGTACAGAATATTTGATAGAGTTCTAACCTCAACATATGAGGAAAGGGATTTAGGGGTGATTATTTCTGATGACTTAAAGGTAGGCAGACAATGTAATAGAGCAGCAGGAAATGCTAGCAGAATGCTTGGTTGTATAGGGAGAGGTATTAGCAGTAGAAAGAGGGAAGTGCTCATGCCATTGTACAGAACACTGGTGAGACCTCACTTGGAGTATTGTACACAGTACTGGAGACCGTATCTTCAGAAGGATATTGATACCTTAGAGAGGGTTCAGAGAAGGGCTACTAAACTGGTTCATGGATTGCGGGATAAAACTTACCAGGAAAGGTTAAAGGATCTTAACATGTATAGCTTGGAGGAAAGACGAGACAGGGGGGATATGATAGAAACATTTAAATATATAAAGGGAATCAACACAGTAAAGGAGGAGACTATATTTAAAAGAAGAAAAACTACCACAACAAGAGGACATAGTCTTAAATTAGAGGGACAAAGGTTTAAAAATAATATCAGGAAGTATTACTTTACTGAGAGGGTAGTGGATGCATGGAATAGCCTTCCAGCTGAAGTGGTAGAGGTTAACACAGTAAAGGAGTTTAAGCATGCATGGGATAGGCATAAGGCTATCCTAACTATAAGATAAGGCTAGGGACTAATGAAAGTATTTAGAAAATTGGGCAGACTAGATGGCCGAATGGTTCTTATCTGCCGTCACATTCTATGTTTCTATGTTTATATGGTCCCCCTCATTATTTGTAGGATGAGGGGGGTAGGTAGGGGTCATTTTTTGGGGGGAGGGGGTCACTAGGTGTTTGGGGACCCCTAGTCACCTGGGGGGAGTTACATTTTTATTTATGGCCCCCACCCACCGCTCAAGGGTCAGGGGGGAGGACATTAGGTCCCCCCCCCAATTTTTATTCATGGCCCCCACCCATGTCCTCTCCCCCAGCCCCCACACCTGAGCGGTGGGGGTCATAAATAAGAATATGGGTGGGATCTACTGTCCTTCCCCCCGACCCCCAACCCTGCACGGCAGATGGGAGCCCTAAATAACAATAAAGGGGGGGAACCTACTGTCCTCCCCCCCGGCCCCCACCCTTTAGCGGTGGGTGGGGGCCATAAATAAGAATGTGGGGGGTGACCTAATGTCCTCCTCCCCGGCTCCAACCCCTGAGCGTTGGGTGGGGGCCATAAATAAAATTTGGGTGTGGGGGACCTAATGTCCTCTCTCCCAGCCCTCACTCCTGAGCAGTGGATGGGGGCCATAAATAAAAATTGGGGGGGGGGGGGGCTAATGTCCTCTCCCCCCAGCCCCCACCCCTGAGCGTTGGGTGTGGGCCATAAATAAAAATTGGGGGGGGACCTACTGTCCTCCCCCTAGCCCCCACCTCTGAGCGGTGAGTGGGGGCCCTAAATAAAAATGTAAACCCCCCCAGGTAACTAGGGGTACCCAAACCCCTAGTCACCCTCCTCCCCCCCCAAAAAAATAACCCCTACCTACCCCCTTCATCCTAAAAATAATGAGGGGGGACCCTTATCTAAATACCTGTTAAAAAAACAAAAATACACTTACCATTAGGTTCCCCCCCAATTTTTGTTTATGGCCCCCACCCACTGCTCAGGGGTGTGGGCCAGGGGGGAGGACATTAGGTCCCCCCTCCAATTTTTATTTATGGCCCCCACCCACCGCTCAGGGGTGGGGGCCAGGGGGGAGGACATTAGGTCCCCCCCAATTTTTATTTATCACCCCCACCCATGTCCTCCCCCCCAGCCCCCACACCTGAGCGGTGGGGGTCATAAATAAGAATTTGGGGGGGATCTACTGTCCTTCCCCCGGCCCCCAACCCTGCGCGACGGGTGGGGGCCCTAAATAACAATAAGGGGGGGGAACCTACTGTCTGCCTCCCCCGGCCCCCACCCCTGAGCGGTGGGTGGGGGCCATAAATAAGAATGTAGGGGGTGACCTAATGTCCTCCTCCCCAGTTCCAACCCCTGAGCGTTGGGTGGGGGCCATAAATAAAAATTGGGTGGGGGGGACCTAATGTCCTCCCCCCCAGCCCCCACCCCTGAGCAGTGGGTGGGGGCCATAAATAAAAATTGGGGGGGCCTAATGTCCGCCCCCCCAGCCCCCCCCAGCCCCCACCCCTGAGCGTTGGGTGTGGGCCATAAATAAAAATTGGGGGGGACCTACTGTCTGAGCGGCGAGTGGGGGCCCTAAATAAAAATGTAAACCCCCCAGGTTAACTCCCTTAACCCCTAGTCACCCCCTCGCCACCCAAAAAATAACCCCTACCTACTCCCCTCATCCTAAAAATAATGAGGGGGGACCCTTATTTAAATACCTGTAAAAAAATAAAAATACACTTACCATTAGGTCCCCCCTCCCCCAATTTTTGTTTATGGCCCCCACCCACTGCTCAGGGGTGAGGACATTAGGTTCCCCCCCCCCCCAATTTTTATTTATGGCCCCCACCCATCACTCAGGGGTGGGGGTCAGGGGGGAGGACATTGGGTGCCCCCCCCCCAATTTTTATTTATTGCCCCCACTTACCGCTCAGGGGTGGGGGCCAGGGTCGAGGACATTATGGCCACAGGCTGCTCACTGTTTAATAGACATGCCCCTACTCACGGTATAGCGACTAGGGGCATAATTTAATAATACTAAGCAACCAACTTATATAGAGGCTGGGTCACATGCTGCACTGGCCAATCACAGCCATGCCATTAGTAGGCATGGCTGTGATGGCTTCTAAGGGCACACAAGTCAAACGCTTGTTTCAAAACGTGTCATTATATCGCTGAACACCAAACTCCAACCCGAACATACACTGATATGTCCGTGTTTGGGTCCGGGGTCCAAAAAACTTAATGTTCTGTAAGAACCCGAACTTTACAGTCCGGGTTCGCTCAACTCTAGTGAAAAGTATTCTTGAAGCCATATAATTAGAGCCCAAGAGTCTACAATAAGTCTGCTAACAGAAACAAATAAATATATCTTTTGGTGGAGAAGGACCCCTTTAAATACATTTCCCAAGTATCTCTAGGTAAATGGTGTTGAACAGAGCATTACAGCTCATTGTCAGTCAGGGGTTGAGTACATGGGATCAAGGGGCAGCACCTTACTATCTTACCGCCACTCAGCAATTTAGATAATTTTTGCACGCAGTGAGCTGTCAGAGTCCTGGGAGTGTTAATGGTCTGCAAGGACTCTTCAGTTACAGCAGGGACAATTAATGCCAGTAGGGATTACATTATATCCCCACTCTTTGCACACAGCTCCCGGTCCGGCAATTCTAAGAGAGCATGACTGATTCTAGGTGTCCAATTTCCTTGCCACTTGGTCACAAAGGAAGGAAACAGGAGAGTAGTGAAATAAGTATGCAAAGGGGATAAAAGCGAATGGACAAAAGTAAGAAAGCCATGTAAAGACGGGCAAAGTGAGGGAATGGGGACATGGACAGAGACTGTCAGCAGGTGGAGTATATTCAAGGTTGGATTTGTAAAGAGGCAAAATGATATTTGGATCACATGAATTAAAACCCTTTTACATAAGGAAGCACCTGCTAGAACAGAGGTAAGCTTTAACTGTATTTTATTTTATTTCTAAACGTTGACTGAGGGGAGTGGACCAGGATATAGGAAGGCTTATTCTAACCGAAACCAGTGTTTTCTTAAAACACTGGTTTTGGTTAGAGTGCCATTTAATATTCAATAAGTTTAAAATATTATTTTCAGATTTACTTTCTACACAAATTTACATATTTTAGTTATCTACATAATGGACCACAATCGCTGTAATCATACTAAAAAAGACTGCCGCGATGGATTTTGGCTGATTTGGCGTGTACCTCATTGCTTTGAAAGAGTTCAGTGAAACTTGGGATAAACACAGCTGTCACAAGCAGAAAACAAAATCAAGAATAAACATGTACTATAAGATAAGGAATGGACAAACTATGCGGGAGAGTTGGCTTTTTATCACAATGTTTGTTTCTAAACATTTTTTCTTCATTTCATTTTTGTTCTTCATTTAAAGGACCCAATGTATAAATATTGTTAGTATGATGAGAGACTACTGCAATGAAACAAGAGGAAACAAATCACAAAAAGTAGACAAATCCACTGAAGAGGAAACAGGGATTACAGAGGGATTTCCCTTTTTACCTGTAGCAAACCAAACTCAAAATAAACTGTATAGATCAAATCTAACGCACCCAAAAACCAACAATAGAAGCATCAGTCTAAATGCAGCCCAGCATAAATGGGTGGACAATGTAACTGACTCAGGTAAGTACTGTATTTTTATCAAACGTTATTGATTTAAGGCAGGGGTGGGCAATCTGCAGCCCTCCAGATGTTTTGCACTACACCTCCCATAATGCTCTTAGGGCCATAATGCTAGCAAAGCATCAAGGGAGATGTAGTCCAAAACATCTGGAGGGCCGCAGATTGCCCACACCTGATTTAAGGTAAAATAGGAGTTTACCTGTATGCATGGATTTACCAGGGTAGTGTTAAAACAATTGTGAAACAAAAATAGTCTACATTTGTGAATGTTTGATTAATATTAACTCACATCTGCCAAGATGGCTGTACCTGCCTGTGAAAGGTCCATGACCACCAATAAAAGGAAAAGGTCTGCCCATTAAGGGGGTTCGATTGCCCCTTAAATGGGTGGCCATGATGACTGACAGCCTTCCCCTTCAAGTCACACTATGCAAGGAGCACAGCTGTAGTGCTCCGAGCATCGTCCTAGTGCCCTGTCCCCTCCTGCATCCTGAAATATGCATGGCAGATTTTTGTGGGAACAGGACCCTGAAATGCAGGACTGTTTTGGCAACATCAGGACTGTTGACAACTATGTTACCTACACCCAAAATTAGCAACAGATAATAGATACATGATTACTTAAGTAGCTCACAAACACACTCATGTGCCATGTAACTCTTTAAAGCACAATAATTTCAAAGAGCAGTCTCAGCACCATAACCACTTCAGTTCATTGTAGGGGTTATGCAACATCCCCAAAGATTTCTGTTAAATCATTTTCAAGCAGCTTGATTTGACCAAACCATTTTTGATCACTATGACACAAACAAAGTCTCACCTGGTATTTACATTCAAGCAACTTAAGCAACTTGGCTAATGATAATGTGGATGTTCTCCTACAACTTTGGGCAGCAATGCAAGTCTGAGCGTGCTGTGTTAACTGAACACCAAAGATATATTGCTTAGATGACAAAAATAAGTTTTGTCAGGATAGCAAGCAGATTTCATTTTCAAGCTTTGTAAAAAAATTCGTGCACTGAGCAATATAGTTTTTCCAAACTGTTTATATATAGTCAATTTATTATTTTCCAATTTTGTTCTTAAAAATGTATTATACATTTTACAAACCTAGACCTTGATTTCATATTTTTGGATAAGCTTTTCAAATAATTTAATATTTTTGGATAAACTTTTAAAATATGTATTTTTTTTAAATATTAAAACATAAAAAATCTATCATATATACAAAAAATATATTTCAATATATAAAATATTATTATATATTGAAATATTTCTTAAATATTAAATCATTGTAAAAGCCTATCCAAAAAAATATTAAATTGAGGCCTTATTTTGGAAATAACAGAGAACTAGAATGATGCATTAATAATTCATCTTCATTTTTTCGCAGGTGGCAATAAGTATACATCCAAAATAGACCATAGAGTGGAAAACAAACATACTTTCGAAAAGGAATTTAGGTCATTTGTAAGAGACAATGAAAGCACTATGCAATTAGGGAAGACTATTAAAGAGTTAAGAGAAGAAAGTGCAAAAAAACAAAACCTCACAGATGCTCTTAACCAGGAGAAAACAGGTGAACAAAGTGTGAAGGACATTTTAAAACGAGAAATCAAAGAGGTAGAAGATAACATTCATATGGATAATGAATGGAAACGGAAAGGATACAGAGTCAAAGAGCTTGCACGAATGACAGAAGAGGAGAAAACACACAAAACACAAAAGACTCACGATTTAGACAATAATGTATTTGTTGGTGGACAAGGCGAAAACAAAGTTCCAGAAAAATTACTTTGGTCACAAGATGATAAAACACAAAAGACTGAAAGCCATGATTTCTTAACCACAGACAATAACAATAAACTGACTAATATATTAGAAGATCAAACTTTAGAAGACAAAGTAACAGAAAGGAAAAAAATGACAGAAAAAAAGAAAACAATAAAAAAAGAAAACAAGGATATTCCAGAAGCTAAAAATAACAATGAGTGGGTTGAAAACAAGCATGTAAATGCAACATATAATCAAAAAGAACCAGAAATAGGAAACTCAAAACAAAATCTAACAAGAAGGATCAGCAGATGGAACGTTACTAACAAAGTGAAAAATTATTATAAAAATGAAGTTACGGGATATAAGAAGAAAAAATATAAACAAAATGAAAGAACTAATTTATCAGTGAATAGAGACAATATCAAACCTAGTATTGAAAAGCAAAAGGACACAAAAAGGGGGACAAATGTGAAACTCCTAAAAAAAAAAGAAAGTATCTAACAATGTCTGAAATATGACCTTCAGTGAGTCACAGAGGCAACATCCAGATATTATAGTAACACATGTATCATTAATACAACTGACATACTAAGATTTGTAAAAACATGCCTTTAAATTCAAGCAACACTAGCTGGAATGGGATGGGAAATGGAATGTTGTCATGGTCGTCTTTTTCAAGCATTACTTGGCTGGAGTTCCAAGCTTTATAAGTGTAATTTGGTGGCTTGAGCAATTAAATTATCAAACTATGTTAAGGCACAATTCACTCAAATGCCAAGTTAAGTTTACAAATAGCCAAAAAATATAATTAAAAAAAACAAGTATGTTTTTTAGAGTTGCCACAGATTGTTTAATTGAGAAGGGCGGCAAACTCAGGGACTGCCCCGGGCAGCAAACGTATTAGGTACGCCACTGTGTACGCCACATTAATGAGAATGTATTTGAATTTACATATGTTCTTGTTTTCTGGTTTTCCCACACAAGTGGATAGACAATCCTGGATTGGCCAGCAAGTTTTTGTATGACCTTGCACACAAACTGGGGTTTTTCCAGGCACCCAAGGCCTAGTCCCTCGTTAGACAAAACAAGTGGAGCTCCCACATAAGTATTCAGGAGAGAGGGGAGCAGGCTTTGGCTACCTGGGAACCCTCAATGTGCATAAACCCGTTCATAAAATGTTTCTGGTGCCATCAAGTACCTAATAAGCAACACATGATCTAACAAGTATTTGTGAAGCTTCAGTGACTTCCATTACTTTCCAAAATGATTAAAATCAAAATGTATCATAATTTTTCTATTTAATGTTTCTCAACTGTGAAATATATTTGGGGAAAAATGTGAATTAAGTCTTTCTGTTCACACACACTGCACTGCACCTCTCACACACATTTCACGCTTCACACACATTGCACCTTTCACACACATTGTACCTTTCACATGCACACTGCAACCATCACACACTGCACTCCTCACACACTGCATCCCTCACACACACATTGCACCCCTCACACACACTTACAACCCTCACCCCTACATAAACTGCACCTCTCATACACACTGCACCCCTCATACACACTGCACCCCTCCACACTCTTTACTCCTCATACACACTGCATTACATTTAGAAACTATATCCCTTATACACACATTCTGCATACCCTATAAACAATCTGGATCCCCTGTGCACACACTAGATCCCCTGTATGCAGAAACATGCACTACGTTCCCTAAATGCACACTCTACAGCCCATATACTACAGCCCATATGCACACACGTGCTGCATCCCCAATAGACACACTTTGCCCACTACAAATGCACACACTAGAGCCTCTTGTCACATATATAACAACACAAACACAACACAATTGAAACCAACCTATTTACACAAAACATAACACTACAACCAGCTCATTCTATTTGCACAATACTCTTTCCTGGCTATTTTGTCCTCTGGTAATATTCTAACACATAGGGCAGCACACATAATAAAGAGAGGGGAAATGTACAAAGGGCAGCGGTTCGGCCACAATTTTATGGCAGGACAGGAGGCTTCATATTTGCTTTACCTTCTTTACTGAAACCTCCAGCAGCAAAGAAACAGTTAACAGAACTTTTCAAAACAACCAATCAGAACAAAGCAACAGTAGTATAAAACCCCTAAGCAGGCTCTTCCACTTCCTCTTTCTTTGCTGCTGCCTCCAGGTGAGCACTCACCAACTCAGAGTTGTCTCTGCTCTGGGTTGTTTTTTTATCCTACATGCTGCTTGTTTATTTAATCAGTCTATTTGTTAGGTTTGTTTAGGCAGCTTAATTGCTGGTTTTATTTAGGCAGGGTTCTTGCTGGATTTAGCTAGGCAGTCTATTGCTGTGTTTAGCTAGGCAGTCTATTGCTGTGTTTAGCTAGGCAGTCTATTGCTGGGTTTAGCTAGGCAGTCTATTGCTGGTTTAGCTAGGCAGTCTATTGCTGTGTTTATCTAGGCAGTCTATTGCTGGGTTTAGCTAGGCAGTCTATTGCTGTGTTTAGCTAGGCAGTCTATTGCTGTGTTTAGCTAGGCAGTCTATTGCTGGGTTTAGCTAGGCAGTCTATTCTGTGTTATTTCCTATACCACTTCATGCTATGTAGCTGCTGTATCACTTGTTAACATCTGTTGCTGTATTTAGGCCATTTATCTGATAGATTCTGGATACTGCTCATTGATTTATTGTTATTCTGGGTTACTTTATTCTGTTTTCTCACTCTGCTGTATGGGGAATGGGTGCCCCTGCTATGATGCTTTGGCTCTGCCTGTAATCTGTTCCCCCTCCCCAGGTTCCCCTGCTGGGCTCTGTCGCCCATACCCTTCTCCCTTGTTCCCCACCTGCTCCCTGTGGCCCCTGGCCGCTTGCTGAGCAGCCTTTTCTACCGTGGCAGTGCCGCACGATCACCACGCGGTAGGCCGCGCTCTGTTTTTGCAGCCACGGCAGCCATTTTGTTGGAGCCGCAGCGGCCATTTTTCAGAGCCACATGGGCTCTGTGCGTTGCAAACAGCCAGGTCTCACCCAAGAACTGGCCTGCTGGCCATGTGGCCACCCTCCCCTCTCCCTATATCAGGGGAGATAGCCCAGTTTTTCAGCTATCCCTCTACTTACTGTGCCTGTCTCACATGCTGCATATGTAACAGATCCTGGATAGCAGGGCACACTCACAACTGCAGCTTACTATGTCTGATGCAATGTGACTAGGTTCTCTATCTTAGCAGTAGACTTGTCACACTTTTTTACTATTACATGTGAATCTCAGATTTAAAGGGACACGTTACTGCTCAAATAAAAATCTTTGTTTAACAAGACTATGCCACATGTGTTATATGCTAATCAAGTCTTTCTCTAAGGTTCAGTGTTTTTCTCATAAAAATTTAAATGGCCTGTTTTTCAGCACCTAGCTCCCCTGCCTAGGATTTGCTGCCCTTCCTGCAAGGGACTTAAATTTTCCACTACACATACAATTCAAAAGTGAATCCTAATATAATACCTGAGTGGTCTGTGAGTCAGCTTCTCGCTATATGGACCCTCCTACCCCTCAGGGGGGCTACTGGCCCCACATTCAGACCTGTTATTATTGGGGGGTGAACCCCCCCCCCCCATCCATATTTCTGGGGCTCTACCCGCTACTGGACCATAATAATGGACGTGTGACACCATTGTGGGCTGGGTGACCCCCTCCCTCTGGCAACAGGGCTACCTATGAGTACCCTGCTGGCTCTACGGCATCCTGTAAGATTAATGCTGAGGGTGACCCCCTCCTGCTTCCTATATTAATGCTCCGGCAATGTCCTGCTATTATCATACCGAGGGGGTACCCCTCCTGCAGTCTGCACTGCTGGACCTGCAGCATCCGGGTATTCCCATAAAAGAGGGTACCCCTCCCACTGATTGAGCTTCTGTTCTTACAGTGCCCTGCAATACGCAGATACTGAGGGTGACCCCCTCCTGTGGACTACTCTGCTGGACCTACAGGGTCCCATTATAACCATAATGAGGGTGACCCCCTCTCGCTGACTACACTGCTGGGTGTACAGACCTCTATGATACCACACTGAGGGTGACCCCCTCTTACCTACAGCACTGCTGGATCTGCAATGCCCGGTTCTGGTTATATGAGGGTGACCCCCTCCTGCCGTCTACACTGCTGGACTGGCAATGTCTGGTTACTTTATTATACGGCTAACCACTTCGGCACTACTGTACCCACAGTGTCCGATTATGTTCAGACTGAGGGTGACCCCCTCCCCTGCTGGCCTATACTGCATGGTATGCTTGTGCTTGTTGGGTGACCCCCTCTTGCACGCTGGGTGACCCCCAGCTGGCCGCACCACTGTACCTACAGTGTCCGATTATGTTCAGACTGAGGGTGACCCCCTCCCCTGCAGGCCTATACTGCATGGTATGCTTGTGCTTGTTGGGTGACCCCCTCTTGCACGCTGGGTGACCCCCAGCTGGCCGCACCAGGTATCATTCCGACAGTGTTACCTCTATGGCAGTTGTGCAATCACGGCTGAAGGACAAATCTCCTGTACCCAGAAGGTCACTTGGCCTGTCCTCTTGCCGCCCCGCTGACCTCACTGCCAGAAACCATCGGTACCCTACGGGAACATTCCACCGGCCATCCTAGACGCTACACCAAGCACCCCTGGTACTCGTTGGCTAACGGATGGATTCATCAAGAGGATCAGTCTTCATGGCGGAGTCCGGAAAGGACACCGCAAACACCTGACACGGGGTTTGCACTCTATCTGGGACTAACCAGTGGATGTCAGTGACATACGGACACAGATGTTTCCTCGGGACGAACGGCGCGTTACCGCTTGGAAAGCGGAGAAGACTAAATTCCCACTGGGAATGGACCGATATGACTTATAGGTATCGCCTAGTTGGTTTCTACCCCTGAGAACCGCAAAACGGCCCCTGTCCAAGCTGGACATCAAACTGATGGATTTAGCATCCAAGTGCTGGGTCTGCTCTCCGGAGTTACCCTCATGTACAAATTGAGCTGACACATCTCTATTCATAGGGTTCCACCTTAGCTAATCACAGAGGTCTCTCGGACCGTGCCCGGACTCCAGATCAAGGTTGCGGAACCTTGGACCGTTCCATGAGCAATACGCATGACCAAAAGAGGCATCCGTTCCGACTCATTCCGCAGTTGCCCTGCTGGGCAAAGGGTGCGGTGGAGTGGACACCCGCCCCATCCCCACGCTACATGCTCCCAGTGCATATGTCGTCTGTTGACACATTTTGAGATGGAGGGCACTCATCCCCTCTGAGAGCTGCTCGGCGTTGACGATTGATTCTCTCCCTCAAATGCACATGAGAGAAACCCGCATGGATTTTGCCATCAACATGGACATATTGAATCTGACTCACTCCCAGTCAACCCAGTTTCCGGTCTTTCATGGAATATTCGGTCCAGGCGGTGCTCCGCCTCCCGAGGACCAAGATGTCCGTCTTCAAGGAAAATACCAGGTATATACTCTGCAACCCGCGGGTTACACTTAGGGGCCCAACCCGGTTAATTGACCGGTGCCTATTCGCCATGGAAGCCATACCTCCAGGATCCGGTACTATCAGCCGCTCCAACATGGCGCTTTCTCGGGTCTTTGGCCTTGTATGACCAAATCATGTGACCTTCGGATGAAGCTCATCTAAAACTTAATTGATGACTCCGGAGGAGGGACTCCTTTACGCCAACTGCATGGAACTACCTGCAGGTTTGTTCAACATTCACAGTATTGCTCGCTACCTTCCGGTATGGACTTCTCACCGGTTGCCCACTATGGACGGCAGTCGGATCTCACATAGGATCGCTATCTATAGCTTCTGGACAAGTATTCGTCATTTGTGACAGAATGTATGCGGGACGAGACATTCGTGTGGCGGACGGCTTCACCCGACCATGGAGAGACCCCGATGTTTGGTTGCCTCACCCTCCAGGATCTCGAGTACTGGCATGATTACATTCGGTGCGAACCGCCATATGGAGCGGTTCTCCAACTGGCTGCCGGATCCTCGGCGAGGGACGAGTTTTCCAAGCTTGGTCTCCTTCGGGGCGTACGCATCCCGTTTACCTACAGGATACTTTGGGTTTTGCTTCAGACCGAATTTCTGGAAGTGTCGTTTCGCCTGGCCAAACCACTTCGGAGGAGTCCTGCGTGCTTTCCTCTTTTTGCTGGAGTTTGCCATGGGAAGGCAATCTACGACTCCCTGTCTCTTAATGCCACAGGGGTAGCCTGCCATGAATGGTGTTTGGGTCCCAATGGCGGTCCTTATCATGGCTGTCCCCATTGTCTGGCTGAGTTGCCCTCTCAGGGTAGGATCGTATGGGGCCATTCACGTCCTATGTCAGCTAGTGGACGACTCATGTGCGTTTTCTCAAGATTCTGGCATTGCTAAGGATCTCTTGGTCTGCAGTCTACCAAGAGGAGTATACCGTACGGGAGCCCTATCTCTCGCTATTCCTCAAGTCTAGTGGTATCGTGTGTTCTGGATTTCATTGAGGAATGACCTGATGACAAGGTGCACCAGTTTTTTCCACTTACGGTTTCCCCCCAGTACATCTTTTATTTCATCGCGTTCTGACGTCATGGTATCGACGTGTCTTCTTCCTTCTTGCCGTTCAGTACATCGGCTTCTGCTCCACACATTTCATTTTTATTCGTCCTCTGTGTCGTACCCCTATTCTCCGGATAGGCCACGGCTCTGTTGACAGATTGTACACGACCATGTAGATCCAGGATCTGGTTCTTTCGTCCGTCTACTCATGGACAGCTGTTTATTTCTGCGTACAGCCGTTTTGGACTGTTTCTGCATCTTCGCTCACCCGTTGGATTTGGTGGATCCTCTCATTGACTGACCTTGAGTTCCTCTGGGACACTTTTGGTTCAGGGTGCTGTCACCTCAACAATTTTGAAAGCTGTTGGGTCCCTTCTGCATTTTCTCTACACCGCTGCTTGGTTTAGGGAATCAGTTTTTCCATTCTCCTTTATTTCAGTCCTCTATCTCATATTGCTTCTGGTTCTACTATTTGGGCGTTAAAATTGCAAATATGAAGCCTCCTGTCCTGCCATAAAATTAGGGATTATTCTAGCCTCGGTGAGGGAATAATCTAAATTTTATTAAAGACAGGAGGCGAATATTTCCCCCCCTTTTTTTTTTACGTTCCCTCCCTGGATCTGAGTTTTATTCTATTATAAATAATTGGGGATATTGTTATGTTTTGTGAATGCATGGTTTTACATAATAAAGGTTATTTCTAATATTCAGTGATGGTTGTCCGTGTGCGTTTTATTCATCATGTTTGTGTTGTAATTATGTTTTGTCAATGCCTTTTAGCTTAGGTACATACTAGGTCTTCATAAGATCTGTAGACTTTGTTTATTCATCAGGTATTATGATGTGAAAGTGATATTGTATGGATATGACATCTTGCCTTGACAGTTTACTTTCACAATGTTTTCTGTTTTCTTGCAGTGTAATCTGTTTTCTCTCTGGGCTTGACGATTGTTTCTCTGGATGTGTCTGCTACAAGGTGGATTCGTTGGTTTCCTTGCTCTCCTGCTCGACCTCATCAAAGAAAGAGGAAGTGGAAGAGCCTGCTTAGGGGTTTTATACTACTGTTGCTTTGTTCTGATTGGTTGTTTTGAAAAGTTCTGTTAACTGTTTCTTTGCTGCTGGAGGTTTCAGTAAAGAAGGTAAAGCAAATATTCGCCTCCTGTCTTTAATAAAATTTAGATTATTCCCTCACCGAGGCTAGAATAATCCCTAATTATTAACTAATGTGATGTGTATAGTGGATGCATTGAATTGTTGCCTGATATAAGTTGTATGATTAACTACAGCAAGGATTAATTTTGTTGCCTTTATCTCCACTAAAGGAATGAACCATCTGCCAGCTCACAGGAAAAGCTTTGCACATTGAGGCCTATTTTATTGTGTTAAATTTAAACAAAATGATGTGGAATAATTTGTAATCAGGTATTTGACTTCTGGTTCCGTATCTGGTTCTGAGGTTTAGTGATCTTTATCACCAGGCTTTATCAAATAATCTGTCAGTGACAAATGAGATAGAAAGCCACACTTACAATGTATGTGGTAAGTTCAATAAAGGGTCATTCTTCACTTAAAGGTTTTGAAGTGACTTTAGATGCTATTTTGTTTTTCAGGCCACTATGTATGTATAATAAATATATATAAAAAATCAATAAGTTCAATACCGCACTCAAATATATGAATTTATGAAAAAAGAGTTGTGAGTCAATTGATATATATGCAAAAAAGAAAAATGTATTTATTATACAAGTTATGTACACCAATTCATGGGTAATATGCGAATCACGTAGTAATTTGATGATATCCTTATGAATTCATTGATTTTACAGACTTCATCGTATATACATCCCGGAGTATGTACAGTTATTTATAGTCTACATACACAATATAAATAGAGTTCGATAGTTCATTGATGTTCAAGTGGATCCACCGCTAAATAGTTCTCTATGTTTAGAAAAAATGTATATACATCACAGAAAAAATGAAAAGTGTAGAAAAAATGAAAAACTGAAAAAAATAAAATAATGAAAAAAAGGAAAAATATAAAAAAGAGACAAATATGGAAAAAAGGAAAAAAATGAGAGAAAACTTGATAAATGAATATTCAATGTATATACAGAAAAAAAGTAAAAAAAGAAAAAGTTGGTTGGATCTCACCAATTGAGGATTGCAATCCCAAACTTCCAATAATCCAATAGTAGTAGGATGTCCAATAGTTGTTAAATAAGGTTTAACACCAGAGTCCCTTGATCTGCAAACCGGGAAATCAGGGTAGACTCCTACCCCCTCACCCCCCAAAAAAGGATCTTAATCTGTGCGTGTCTTAACCCGCCTTTTGAATTTCTTACCCCTTTCTGTGTTTCTTGTCCCATCTGTTGAATGTTTTACCCCGTCCACTTTTGTGTCTTACATCCCCCTCTAGTGTATCTTATCCCCAATTCTTCACTTTTGTGTCTTACACTTCCCTTGTGTCTCTTATATTCCCCCTTTGTGTGTCTCTTACTTCTTCCCAGCCTCTCTGTGTGATTATCCCCTTCCCCAGCCCCTCTGTGTATCATTGTCCCCTTCTCAGCCCCTCTCTGTGTCATTGTCCCTTTCCACAGCCCCTCTCTGTGTCAATAATTAAATAAACATATTATTCCACAGCCCCTCAGTGTGTAAGGGGGAGCAAAGTGCAGGTTTTAGGTTTGAATACATTCATGGATTTTTCTAATTACCTGTCTCCCTGCAGCCTGCAGCCACTCCAGGGTGCGACAGGATCTGGAGTCTGCATTCAGCAGCCAGTGGAGTCGGTCGGCCTCTCCTGATAATGTCAGGAGGAGGGGGCGTGACTTCCTCTGCTCTTTTCCAAGGACCCCCCCGACCACCACAAATGCATCTTTGCCTGTTTAACCAAAAATCATTGCCCTGGTTAGACATTAGGCAAAAAAATGATTGATATTAATCGTGATCACATTGTTTTATAATTCACAGATTTTACAATTACCATGACGTAAAGTCATGATTTTATTAACGACACGGAGTATTATGCTGCACTCTTTTTTTATTTCTCTCAGCTGCAAAGAAATTTAAAAAAAAAACATAACGAGTACATAACATAAACAGTCTGAGAGTAGTATCTTCTTAGACAGAGATGCTGTGACAGAGATGCCTTGTGTCAGGCAGAGTTGCCAGAAATTCCGTGCCATGTTCGCCAGGACCCTCAATTTCGTGCCTCCTAGATGGTTGATATATATCGGACTGCTGATATATTGTCTATCTTCAGAAGGATAGAGCACTGAGCTTGAGTTGGTAAAAAACTGCAGATTGCAAAGGATCCGGCCAGGAGTTCCAGGCAATTGATGTGGAGGGATGATTCCACGTCGGACCATCTGCCACCTGTAGATACATTTCCACGGCGAGCACCCCAACCGCGCAAACTCGAGTCGGATTCTATTATGAGATCTGGTGTGGTGCCGAAAATGGCGCGACCATTCCAGGCGTCCATATGGAAGAGCCACCATTTCAGTTCGTCTTTCGCTTCTGAGTTCAGAGTGATCAAATCTGTGTAGGAGACCCCGACTCTCAAATGGGAGGCTTGTAGACGTTGTAGCGCATGATAATGGAGGGGGCCCGGGAAGATGGCTTGTATGGAGGCCGCGAAGAGACCTATCACTTTTGCCAATTGTTTGAGAGAAAGCTGGGAGTCACCAGCGTGCGTCTGATTTCCTTCTTGATATTGTTCAGTTTTGTCGTTGGTAGGTGTAGGGTCTGAAGCGTAGAATCCACGATGTAGAACTCTATGTGTTGTGTGGAGACCAAAATGGATTTCTCCCAATTGATGAGGAAGCCTAGATTTTGTAGTAGTGTCTGAGTCCAGTTCAGGTGAGTCCTGGTGAGTTGGGTAGACTGTCCCATGATGAGGATGTCGTCTAAGTAGATTATGAGACGTACTCCTCGACTTCGTAGTAAGGCGACTACTGGCTTCATAAGTTTAGTGAAGCACCATGGGGCTGAGGACAGTCCGAATGGGAGGCAGGTGAATCTCCATTTCCTTCCCTGCCATATGAATTGCAGGAAGTCTTGGTGTTGCAGTGCAATCGGCACTGTAAGATAAGCGTCTTGAAGATCTAACTTCACCATCCAATCCGATTGTTGTAGGAGATCTCTTAGACAATGTATGCCCTCCATTTTGAAATGGTTGAAGGATAAGTAAGCGTTGAGTTGTTTCAAGTTGATCACTGGGCGGACACCACCGCCTTTTTTGGCAACTAGGAACAGGTTGCTCACATAGCCTGTTGTGGCCATAGGGATTTCTGATATGGCCCGTTTCCTTTCTAAGTTCCGAACCTCCTTGGTGACAAGGGTCGCGTCTTGTTGGGAAAAACTGATTTCCCGTGGTGAGTGAATGTTGTATCGGTATAGATAGAAAATCTATTATGTACCCTTTTATAGTGTTCAGTACCCAAGCATCTGATGAAATGTGAGACCATACATGGAAAAAATGACGGAGTCTGCCCTCCACTGCCCATAGGGAAGAAAGAAGTTTGAGAGGACTTACCATAAGGTCGTCGTCCTGAGTGAGCACTTCGCGGTCCTCGAGCAACCCATGGCCGCCCACGTTGTGGGAAGAAGGCTGGGGTGTTGCGCTGCTCCTAGAAGCTAGCTCATCCTGTATAGGAGCCTCGGTTCTGTCTAAACAAACTCCTGTTAATATGACCGGACAGGCGGCTTCCGGCCCCACCAAAAACCTTAGGGTGGAATACTTTGCGCATGTTTGATTGCGCTATATCAAGAGCAGTAAACGTATGAACGAAGGAGCCGAGCTCCTTGACAAAGTTGTCTCCGAATAGGAGACCTTTGGCCTGGGTACCCGGCTCATTCAGAGCCATATTTATCAGCTTGGGCTCTATTTTTAATAGAATTGTTTTGCGACGCTCCGTGGCCATCGCAGTGTTGGCGTTGCCAATTAAGCAAATAATTTGTTGGATCCATCCACTTATGGTGGCTCGATCCAAATCTTGGTCGTCTTCGACCATTTCAAATATCTTAGTTGCAGGACCCAATATGTCCAATACCTTGTCCTGGCAGTTGCGCAGGGAAAAGTCCAAGCCTTTATTAGGCTTCCATCCTGTCTTACTCAAGAACTGGATAATCTTTGGGTCTACTGCAGGTGTTCTGCAGGCATCATCTGGCACCGTGGGCCGAGGGCATTCTGCCCGAAGTTTGTTTCTCGTCACCTTATCTAAAGGCTTGCATACCCTTGACGCTACATATCTTGCCACATGGTCCGAGGGAGACCATTCCGCCGACTGTGGGTGGCGAAGCTCATCGGGGTCAAATAAGGGTTCCCCATGGGGGTCCAAAATTTTATCAGCGTCTCCTGGGGATTTTTGCTCAAGATCATATATCTCAGATTGAGGCGTATTGCGGTCCCTGGGGGGAACGTAGTCCTCGCCAGGCTATTTGATTCAAGATCTGATGAATCTTCTGAATCCATATATGCCTCCTCCTCAATATCGCTGAGATCAGACTCAGAATCTAATTGGGCTTTTGCCCTTTTCCATAGTCTAGCCGATTTTGCCCGGCTAGTGGCTCTTTTGCGCATTGGCAGATTATTCGCGCCCTCTGTGACAGGTGCATCGCTGTCCATCTGTGATATTGAGGAGTGTTTTATTTTAGCTAAGGCTTTGCGGCCAGCCTGAGGTTGGGTAGCAGTCGGCTGAGCCAATTTCTGTGCCTTAATCAAGGCATGCGTAAGTGTCTGTGATAGGGAGTGAGACATAAGACCCGTAGCCGATGTAAGGGCTTTAGTCATGGCTTGTTACATAGTTTTGTCAATCATAGTCTGCATTGTGGCAGAGGTATCAAACTCCATTGGGGTTATTACCTTATCAATAAATACTCCTGAAGGTGCTTTAGAGCTACCTTGGTTTGGGGTATGAAACCCAGAGAGGGTGGGAGTATCCTTGTCAGAAGACATAATGATATGTAAATAAGCTGGTTGGAGAGTAATTGTAAATAAGCAATAAAATTACCAGAGTAAATAACCTAATAGAGGGTTGAGTAACCCAAAGGAAAAAACAGCTAGTGGGAAGAAATAAATCGGTACTTACAGTGAACTAGTAATAAGATTATAAGGTAAAGCAGAGAGCCGTCCGACCGCCACTAATACTAAGCCCCAACTCCGAGATGCGGCTGTTGGGGGCAGTATTACAGTAAAAAAGCGGGAAACCAATAAATGGCCGCCGCGAACCCCGAAAGTCCCGAAAGGGACGCAGGAGTGTTCATATGAACCCGCAAAATCCTGGTAATAAAAACTTCCTAATACTAGAGCGGGTGTCCTAAGCGTTCGTGAGATTATCTCACGAATGCCGCAGTGTAGGAGGTATGAAGGCGGTTTCACCAAATGCAGTGCGCGCACGCCTGCATTCAGTGAATGGCGGTCTGGCAGGACACAGGGAAAGAGTGGCGTGAAGCGCCGAAACAGGGCAGAGGAGTTCCAGCAAACGTCCCCAAGCCTGGTTCAGTAGTCCTGGGCTCGGGGGAGGGGGGAGCTGGAACTAAAAGCAGTTCAGGAAAGGATATAGAGACATCAGAAAGACATTAGAGAGAGATTAAAATCCATCTGAAACTAATAGCTATTAACAAGTTAAGGAGTAGTTATTAATCACAATATTATACACAA